TGTAGAAATGAATGAAGTTTGTTTGCCCATCTAGATCTGTAGGTTTTGGTATCACGGTAAAATCTATCCTGCAGTGAGAAGATTTTCTGTGGCTTTGGTTATACTCGTATCGTGCTGTCAGTTACATTAATTATATGTTATTGATTCCTGAAACTGTTGTTATTCGTAATTATTATGCAAAAAAAACTTGATCTGAACTTGTTATACATTGTACATCGCTATGTAATATTAAGGTTAATGATTCCCACATTAGCCGAAATGTATTTGTAACAATACCGGATTACCACAGCAATGTTTTTTATGACGTAACATTTTATTTATAATTTTTAGTTATAGTTATTATCACTATTTTAGTATTCTATAAACTTTTTTATTCTAATTACTATTATTTCGATCACTTTTTTCTCATATTTTAATGTCTGAAATATATTTTTAATTATGAGGAATAAAACTTTTAATGGTTGAGGTCCTATTAGGCACTGAATCTGTATACGTACCAAACGAATAGATGTATGAAGAAAGGCTACTGACAAAAAAATGACGTTACAGAATCAGGAGTCCATTTAAAGTCAGAATTTCGCAAATTCTAAGGTCGTTATAATGATCTTAATTGCAAATCCAGCCTATCGTTGCCTCTTAATTGAAGATTCATACCAGGCGTTAGGGTTTTTTCGAACTAATCTTAACTACAAATTATTCCGAACTGGGACTCGCCCTCCAATATAGTATACTATAAAAACATAGACAATGTGTTCCCTCAATAATAACGTCTGTGGACCTTTTTGTCACAAATAATTTTTTGTCAAATTTTTGTCAAGGAAGTTTTGCTTGTTAGTGCCCCCTATAAACTGAAAATGTTTGGTCGAGCCCCCAAAACTGAAATTGCTGAAATTGACTGTTTATAATCTATATCATTTTCAATTACCTGGTAATGTCCACATTGTCTTCTCTAGATCTATTGCACATTCTCAATTACTGACATCTGCTGCTGTTTAACCTATAACGCTTTTCGCGCGTATGTGTATCTATTTCTTTTGTTCGTAGACAGAGCATGCCATTGTACGAAAGCCCAGAAGATTTTCGAAACTCGAATCTCGAATGAGCTTTCGTACCATTGCGTATTAAATCAACTGGAAGAGAAAAACATCATAGGCAGATGATAATGGTATATTGATATATAAATGATATATGGAGATATGGATATGTAAAAAACTTAAGGGAAGTGGACGATAGAAAAGTTATCAAGTTTCTCATTGTTAGCTGTTAATTATATGGATGTCTCTGGTAAAGCATGCAAATATGAAACAAATTAAATCTAACACCCTCATAGTTTATTTTATTTTGAGTTCAGTGATGTATATTGCATCAACATATGATTCGTCGATATCTACCAAATGTGGAACTAAAGACCACAGTAAAAAACCTCTTATCATGTAAAGGTTTTGAGTAAATTATGCTCTTAAGGAATATAGCAGGTTGGCTTATCAAAAAAGGAAAATTAGTACCAATGAGAATTCCAACAGATTAAATAGATATTGTCAATGAGAAATCCAGCATCTTGTGTTTGAAATCAGAATGATTTAACCATGTGATTTTGTAGCTGACCAATCAAGAGATTAAAAAAAAAATCATTTTTAAAGAAGGAGTACATGTAGTTGCCTATATATGATGTCAAAACACCTGCTCTTAAATTTTTCATGATGAATGATTGTACACAGTATTGAAAAGTAATACGTTTTGACACTATTAAATTTCGCAAAATTTCATAATAAACTTCTTAAGGTTCTTTGAAGTTATTTGAAGTATCCATATTTTATAAGCACAACTTGTTGAATATATACTAGTATATTTTGTTGCACATTTCTGCTAAACTTCCCCCTTCACTGCTGTTAATATTTCACGAGGAATAAAGAAAGAGGCTTAGAAGAAAATTTACTACATCTTGCTCTGTATTTTTGCAGTATATTAAACAGTAGTTTCTGTGGACTAAATTTCGTTCGAAATGCAACCTCCAACCCCAAGTTTCATATACAGGTGGCAATTTTAAATGCGTAAGGTTTCTGTCAAATAATTTTTTGTTTAATAACTTCTAATTCAATTCTTCTCATATTTCGAATCTGAACTTTTAAAACTCACGTTTTCATTGATAAAATGAAATTAAGGAATGATTACTAAGGAAGATAACAATAATGATAGTATATAGTTATACAAATATGAATATAGCTTTATTTTTTCTCCAGTGCCTTCATTTGTTATGCTCTATTTTCAGAAGAGGCTTTTTAAAGCTGTTAAATCGGTTCAACTTCTTATTTCCTGTTACTGTGCATTCATTCACAATTATATTTAATTATATTTACATTATAATTAACAGTCAATAGACCTTGTAAAAATTAAAAGCATGATGTTTTATTTTAATTTCCCTCCTCGACACGTCACTTATATTTGTCTTTAGAATTGTTTCAGCCAGTCAGTGCCATTGTCCTTTTGATGGTGTTTACAGCATTTAATCCGAGCTGCAAAAGTACAGTATTTAGCTTTAAATGATGCATTTCTTGCAAATTTGATAACGTTTAAATGTAAATGTTTATTTCATGCACCGATCAAATCTAAACTCAGAATAACGTCATGCCATTGTCCGTCATTATATCTAATATGCTTTGATAATTGAAATGATATGCAAAACATTTCACCTTATAAATTAAAAATATTAGTAAAATTGAATGATATATAAAGCATTACACCTTATATGTAAAAAAATATTAGTAAATTAGCAAAATCTCTAAGGAGAAATGTATCATTAGAGGTCACCCATTGGCTAGTTATATATTAGTAATTTGTGCTTATAATCACTATAATTTTATTGAAAGTCTGGATTTTGAGTAGGCGATAAATATCGAAGTGTTGTATTCTGTACAAGTCAAATCAGCGTAAGTGGTAATACTAGAAAGAGCAGGAAATTAGTGCATACAGCGTTCTCTAGAATATGTCTCATAACGATTTATGTAATGTCAAGATTTAGCTACCCAAACTCCAAACTACCAGCAAAATAGTACCCCAGTGTAATTTCTAAAAATACATGGATGTAAGATTCGTAGAACATTATTTTGCATATCATTACTTGCAGACATAAACTCTCTAATCTAGAGGTTATTTACATAGAGTAAAAAAAAAAGAATTTACATGTAAGTAGGAAAAAAGTATTATTGGCGTCATACAAATAGTTGTTTTAAAAGTTTCAATTGCATTGAACCTTACGCACGTGGGAAATATAGTTAAAGACTGACTAGTACAATGTAGTACACTTCTATTTTTTTTCTCTTTATTTTTCTGCTCAATTGCGGTTCATCAAAGTGGATGCCATCCTTTTGTATGTTCGCAAGAATTTTTTTTTCAAATCTGAAGTTAAAGTAGCATTTTACATTTTTAATTCGTTCAAGAGGATTGTGACTACACTTCCCTGATGTGTAAGAAAAAGTGAATGCATGTACATCAGTCTTCAAAAGTTTCTAAGGAAAGTACAAAATAGTTTAAATGTAAGCATGGTTTATAAAGGTATAGATCTTTTGTCTTGCTCCTTTCAAATACAAGCTAGATTGATGGATTGTATGTTGTTTAACGTCCAATAGAGAATTTTTCACTTATTTAGAGACTTTAGTCTGGTTTAGGTAAAGTGCCATGCATGGTGCTTACGGCTGTAGCAGTGAGAGATCTTTATGGTGCCAACGCCTACCGTGCCCTTGGGTTTTAAAGACCCATGATTTACACTTCTAGTGTCAGGCGCTTAGCGAGGGAACAGTCACTACCTACTTTAAAAAAAGTGGTTAATTAGTTAAAATACTTTTTTTTTCTTTGTCAATGATGCATATCAGTGATTTTAAATAATAAGCACTTTAAAAACTTTTACATGAAATCCAGGAGATGTGTTTTATACGCTTATGTATCGATATTCTAAATATACAAGATTATGCATCATTTAACCTGCGTCATAATGGAATAACGGGGTATTAAATTCTATAAAACGTAGCTAAGTCAAAGTAGGACTGTCCGTCACCCCGCCGAGATTTTCATTAATATTAGATATTTGTAAAATGATACCTTGTCGATCAGATCCTCGGATAACTGTTTAATCATACTCTATACTTGCCCAATGTATGAGCAAATTAAATATTCATGACAATATAAAAGTAATAATTCTTGTGTATTGATCCTTTAAAAATGAGGAATTTATTTAAAAGTGCTGAGAATATAAAACCTTAAATTATTCCTAGACGAAGGCTGTGATCATGACAATGATGTCAAGAATAAATTACTTATGTATCATTTAGAACTCGGTTTCTCAAACATTTCATCAATCACATGATTAAATTTGAAGTAAAGGACAATCCAAGTATTGTTATTTCATATTCAGAAAAGTCGTGAAATTTGGAATTTTTTATCATTCATGTATATTCTCATTTGGGATTTTTTTTCAAAATCATCATTTTTATTAAAGGAATATTGTTAATTTTATCGTTATTTTGCAAAAACAAACAAAAAACTATAAAACGCTGAGCTTTTGTATCAAAAACTATTTTTGTTAGCTACACTAACAATCTAGAAAAAAAAGTTATGGAAAATTAAAAGGAGTTGTTTTGCATGGGTAGCTTAAATTGAAAATCGCCTCTGTTAAATAACCTGATTCCTGATGAAGAAGATAATCTGTTACTTGCATGAAAAAAATTCTGACATTAATACTTAAATTATTTCAGTGCATCTTAATTTTAAATTAATTTGTACACATGCAATTCCAAAGCTATGTTCCTAAGCTAATGTGCAAGTGTTATTATTTAATTATATATAGATATGCCATATATTTATAATATAATATTTCAATAAGATATGCAGACAAGGTTTTATTCTAAAAAGCAAAAATTGTTAGACAAAATGCATGTTACTCTTAGAAAAATATTAATAAATGCAAACAGAAGCATGTAAAGCTTTCGTCATGAAACGAAATCGTTTTAGCGTCTACGCATTTTTACATATGCTTCTATGCTGACTAGAACTTCAGGTGGAAGATTTCGAGATCTAGAAGCTGACAAAGCAAAAGTTAGATCATTTTCCGCTACCTGTTTATCAAATCCGTTTTTATGCGCACTATCATATGCTTCTAACGCAGCTATTACTTCCGGAGGCAGGCCTCGTCGTGAGGCAGATGATCCAGCTGAGGTTCCGTCATTTTCTGCATTCACATCCTCTGTGGGTGATGAAACAGCAGGTGGCACTGGAGTCACCTCTTTCTTTGGACTGACTGGTGGAACATGAGGATTTGATACTGGCTTTTCGGTTACGTTTTCCTTTTCTTGTTTCGGCAACACTGCCGCTGCTGTCACTGCTGCGACAGGGATGACATCAGACGGAGTAGGACTAGATGAGGGAGTTCTTTCTCTGCCCAGAGACTGTAGAGAAACTGAAGGAGACGGTGAAGGGGTTTTGGATTTTACCGGAGATGGTTGATTTGGTTGACCGTCTTTTGAAACTGCTAATGGTACAATAGGAGCAATTAAGTGGTCATCACCAGGTGTATTGGTAGACGGTGTCCTCTCCCTATGTGGTTTCGGAGTAGGGTTGGGTGTCGGTTCTTTATTCGGAGATGCCGCCGCGAGGGGAATTATAGGTACCACATCTATATCCGCGGACTTTTTAGCGGGAGAAGGAGATCTGGTTACTGGAGACGGAGATTTCTTAGCTGGCGAGCTTGATGAGCGAGATTTCACATCATCATGCATTGATTTATTGTCATTTATCACAGTTCCACCCACCACTACTGCAGCTGCAGGGACATTGTCTGGCCCGGTAGAGTCTGGTTTAGGACTAGGTGTTTTTTGGTTCGTCCTTGGCACGGGTGGCTCTGGGGTAGGTGTCCGTTTTTTCAACGGAGCTACGACTGTTCCACCGACGACAGCACCTGCGGCAAAACCCGCCATAGGCAGAATTCCAGGTGAATTTCTATAATATCCCCTAGGTGATGGAGATCTGTTCTTAGGAGAAGGGGTTCTGCTTCGAGCGCGAGGCGATGATGACCTTCGCGGTGGGCCTCTGGATGGGGGTGTCGGCGTTCTCCGCCTTTTGTGATCAACAACTATAGCAGCAGGTGCGACAACATTGTATGGCGGTGATTGTGGACTATTTTGAATATGTTCAGGTTCTGGTTTCTGTTGTGGTTGTGGAGGCAGTTCGGGTGTCACTCGTTTTAACGGAGTCTCGGCTCGTTTATTTGGAACACCAACAATGACAGTTTTAGGGACTATTTCAACCGGAGTCATTTCACGAATTGAAGGTTCAGGACTAGAGATAGGCGTTGTCTGTGTCCATCTGGAGCACCGCTTTTTACGTTTTAAATCATCTGTCCCCGTGGCCGCTGAAACCATCAACACAGAGGCACCTACTGCAATTCCGCTTCTCTCTGCTTCGTTTATGAATGTTTTCTCTTTTTCTGGGGTTTTCTCTCTTTTTTGATCTAAAACAACAGGAAGGGGATGTGGAGGTGTATCATCTCGGATTGGCACTACTTTTGGAGTTGGTTCCGGACTTTTCTGTTGTTGAACTGGACTGATCTTAGTTTCTTCCCTCTTCTTTGAGTCCTCTCCTTTTTTGTCTTCTTTTAAATTGACTTCTTTCAAACTTGCGATAGATTTTTCCTTTTGGGTTGGGGATTCTTGTTTTGGTTTTTTTAATGGTTTTACTGTCTTTTCAATGTCCTTCCTCTTTCTGAATGGATAGTAATTTTCTTTCGTTAATTTATATTCTACATTACCCTGATAAAGAGCAGGTCGTCTAGATAAACTATCCATTTTAGGAGGCTTATACTCCGTTACGATGGGCTCATATTCCCGTCCTCTATATTCATGATTTTCATAATCCTTAATAGGAATGTGTGGTCCCAGTGGCTCCTCGTAACATACATATAGTTGGGCCCATTGATAATCGGGAGTCCTCGGTCTTCTTTCTACCGCTGGAATTGGCGTGAGGACTCGTCGAGGAGGCTTTGGTGCTTTGTAAAAGTTCGGCTTGTATTCTTTCACTTCATACTCCTGTATATTGTTGTACGTCCGTATATTGTCGTATGTATGATAGCTATCATACGTGTGAACTCTGAGAGGCTCGTGAGCTTTGTTGTAATGATGAACTGTGTCATAGGTCTTGGCCTTATAAGAATAGAAAGTGGGTTGGTGGACGCGGTAATCAGGTCCAGTACCATAAACGGGGCCTCGAAGGGGTTCTGTTGGATCTGGCATAACTTGATCTGTTTGAAACCATACATAGATGCATTATTTTAAGACACGATTTTTCATTTGCTTTTGATCGATTTTTCCACTTTTTCAGAAAGTTATATTCGAATACAATATATAGTATTTAAAACACAGCAAATTCGCTATCAATAAGCAAGAAAAATGTTTTCAAATTCATGTTATTTCCATCTTAAATGTTATGTGTAGTCTTAAACTAAAAATTTGATTTTTCTGTTCAAAGTAACTCAAAACAACTTTTTGTTAACTAATTTTTACACTGCAATATACTTACATGTTTGCACTTTCTCTTTTCAGCTCTTATCTGCATATATGAATGCGAACTCAGACATAGATATATGTTTCGACAGTAATTTTGACGTCAAACGCGTATAACTAATCGGGTGCTCAAGTGCGACACCCTTTCATTGTTTGTAAGGACATTTAAATCCACTCTCTAGAAATGCCTCTTACTACATCAGAATGCAATATTATTTTCTACGTGACATGCTCGTTCCGCTTCCCGAAGTCAGTCATTTTAAATTTATTAAATTCCATTCAGGAAAAATATCATGTCATACAAAATATTTACTTCTCCAGGGAACTGGCCTGATATAAAGATTGACGATCGCATTCTAAAAATAAAATCTCTCTTCCAAAACCCTTTCTATTTTGTAGTTTAATATTATGACATATCGGTTGAAGACCTTGCTTTTGTGTGTCAGTTCAAAAATAAAATAAAATCTAATTATTTTTTTAATAATTATGATATATATTTTTATTCAAATGTAGAAATCTGGAAAGAATTGTGCGTTCTTCAAACTTGTAATAGGTACATCTTAATCATTTTAAAGAAAATCCGATTCTAATACATGTTGAAATAAATATCATTCAAGAAAGTAAATCAGCTGAACGACTTGTACGCACACTTTAAAATCAAGAGTACACGACATTTCCTTTTGTCTGATGTTGAATAAATTACAATTCCGTGGATTTTTATTACTTTTAAATCATCCTAAAGTTATATAGAAAGCTTTTTTAAAACGTAACAAGTCATCAAGAGCAGAGGCTTTGAGATAAAAAATATATTTATTCAACAGATAATGCTACGTATTATAAAGTAAAACATTTGTTTTTATCCCAGCTACCTCTCTTGAAGAATTCGACCCTAAGGCCGAGTACACAGGCCACAATGGAGTGGACAGTAGATTTTGGCCGCTTGGACATTGGCGCATATGTTGATACCATCTAGTGCACTACAGTCCATCTTAGGGTCATCCTGACAACCTAAAAATAGAAAACATGTTCATGTAAACAAAAAGGTTCTTACTTATATAAATAATGATGATTATATTGTTCAGTACATGTATAGCTCTTTTCAAAACCTTTGCCGTCTTTAGCGGCAAACTGACATTCTTATCAGGCCATATTATTCTTATGTACATGTAGTTCTCTGCATTTCTTCAACAGCTTTTTACAGATATTAGCCCTATCATATGAAAGACAGAGAGTGTTATGTTTGTATGTAAAAAAGACCATTTCCTTTAACTATGAAAATAAAGAAACATTTTTTTTATAGTTGCTATAGAAATCAAAGTGTCAGCGTCATTCTTTTGTTGGTTAGTTGATTTCTATAAGATTGAAAATTTTGAAAAACTTATAAGTCGTACGATAATAAGATCACAAGAAAATTATCTCCCTTGTCCTGAACAGCATTTTAACGAAATAATTGAAAAATTTTACATCATGCAATTTCTACTAATCACAAAAGAGAGGAAGTGCATAACCCTAGACTGTAATTTAAACAGCTTTACACAGTATACTGTGAGATTTTTTTTAGTTAACATGTAGTGAAACTGTATTTCATATTGACGTAACAATGATTTTAAGCTTGGAGCAACTAAATGTACTAGTATTTGTTTATAGATAGGCGTGTCATTGCTTTGTCACTTAAGGGAATATATATTCATATATATACTTCAGAGATTTAATGAACTCTGATAATCATGATTGTATTGTAAGAATTTACTTTACTTTTTTTATTTTTTTTTTAAAGGGGGTGGGGTGGTAAGATGCTTTCAATGTTGTCGCTGTACTTTTTGCAATTTTCTCCTATTACTTGAAAACTATGACAAACTTACTCATACGTACGTGAAATAAAAAATTCTCTTTATGGGCCGTTCCTTAAATGATTTTCAGGAATCTTAATTAAAGCATTTATTAATAATGTTTGTTTAAAATAACACTAGATAAATATTGAGATCATGATATCCTGTATTCCTTCATTACAAACGTTTGTTATTCCTTTTACTTAAACAATTTTTAAAATGTTTTCTTCTTTTAATGCGTGAATTAATGGTTGCAACTATTTAAAAAAATTACATAATCCGCATGAGTTAGTACGTATTTTTTTCCAACTGTTGCAACCGTTAATCCAGCAATATCAAACAAAGAAGTATGTCTGTATAAATACTCGTTTAATCTGTACGCATTAGTTATGTTTCATTGATGGTAAAGCCCGCTGCTTAAGAAATCATCCATAAACATATGAATTTAAAAAAAAAAACTCACTAGTTCAGCCCTAATGAAATGAATAAGGGAAGTAATTTTTCACAAGAAATAAAGGAGAAAATATTCAGTGAATATATTATGTAGATAAAGTTACCAACCGGTGCTAGGGTGACCATGGCCGTGTCCGCCGTGAATCGAGGATTTGTCTATGAGATTACGGTTACAAAGGGGCGTGTCACAGCATTTGACCTGCACGGTCTGACCCTGTCGCTTAACAACGTCCCGTCTTCCAATCGCATTTCCCTGCAACGCGTCGCACACCTAGTAGCGAAAAAAGATCCAATATTGTCATGTTAACAAAGAAATAAATTGCATACGAACCTGTCAAAAAAATCACATCAAGATTTATTGCAGTAAAAGCAAAGTTTTGCCATAATTTGCAAATTGATCTATATAATGATTCAATAGTCGCTATTCTTCCCAGTGTCATTATAAGATCTTGTTAAGGCCCACTAACCAGTTTGCTTTGGCAGGTGAGGGAGAATCTCGTCTCTCCGTTGGCGATGTAAGCTGCTTCCTCACATATCTGGACAGAAAGGGAGCTTAATGCTTAACGAAACCAATGAGGATAAAACATACCACACTCTTACAACATCGACTGATCCCAGTGTTTCTGGATCACATACACATCAGTTCAACTCCTGTAAGTTTCTCAGAAATTCGTCATGTGGATATATTTGCTATTTTATATAGTTTCATATCTGACTGACAGCTTGCGAAAAGATTATTTCTCAGTAAATTTGAAAAATAATTTCTACGAATTTTTTCTACTAAATACGACTGTTGCCTCGTTTCAACTCCACCCAAACAATTCTAATAGTTATGTCAACACTTATTCTAATAAATGATTTAATAAAAATTGAGCCGCAAAAACTATAATTTCGTGTACTTTATTATTGCTGTTTGGTGTCAAAAGGAAAATCGTTGCCTAGACCTTACTGACAAGAGTCTGAAATATAGCGCCAAATCTTCCACTTTTTTTTTTTATCGGAAACAAAATTTCATTTGCATCATACCTTACGCAAGCTTAGAAACAACCTTATGGACTACTTAAAGATAGACCATGGTTTATATTTGGACATCATTGTAATTTATGTAATTGACGAAACGTTTCTTGTTCAAATATATGTATAGTATATGAAAGTATAGAAAATATAATTTTAGTAAGAGGCATTGGCACGCTAGCAATAAAAGTGTTCTGGAGCTACTTTGATCAATTAAAGTATTCTTATATACACGTGTAATGAGTATTTTTTATGACTTTGACAGGAAGTAGATAAGGTTAAAACTTCTTGTGCCCTGAAACTGACCTCTCCAGCGGAGCACTGCATTTCCTCGTTACAGGTAACGGGGTCTTGTACACCATCGCAATGGTAGCACTTTATACCATGTGCTAAATGAAAAAAATGACAGATATCCTATTTTGAATAATAAAGACAATGAATTCCAAAAGCAACAGACTTAGACATGTTAAAAGTTGTATTCTGTTAAAAAAAATGACTCCTTTCTGTCGGAAGTTTAATGATGTGCGACGGAATATACCAAATCACCTCTGCACATGATGGCGACGTCTTTATCATGGCCACAGGAAGTCAGGCCAAACCTGTTATGTGTACAGACATCAATTGATGTCTCGTTACCCATACATCTCACCCCATCCAACCATACAGTAGCAGGTGGGACACCGAAGTTAGTGGCCTGCATCAGTGTTGGATTATCACTAAAAATACAACACATACATTCACTTACATGGGGAATTTTTAATAAGAATTTTATTTGTGGGTTATTCTAGTATGATGATGTCGTATCGATTTATGTAATTACCTTGGATAACCAATACTGTTGCAAATTATTTTGGCTGCAGTTTTGTCAAAACCGTTGTTGCACACTGTACCCCATCTGCCCTCATGGAAAATCTCTAAACGCCCTTCATAAGGTGTGGATCCTCCAACAAGACGAACAGGGCTTTCTATTGTACCTGGTTAAGACAAACATACACATCCGTAACACAGTGATCTAGAGTCACGCTTCCTTTGCTCAAAATGAAAAATCTTTTTGACTTACCTGAATTTACAAATAAACTTGTATAAACTATTGTCAACAGAAAGAATGGAATGTAGATGGCAATACATCATCAATTCGAATCCAAATTAAAAGAATTGCTATAATACTTAAAACAAAACAGTATTTTAAAGTCTGTAACATGTATACCTTGACATGTACATGATATAAGGTTAATGACGTATTAACAGTTTCAAATTTTTTTATCGTACTGTTTTTTTTTAAATAAATTCAAATAAACAGGAAGACTAAAGCACTTTGTTACATGACGACTTACTTCCGCAACGAACTCCTACATCTTCTGAGTGGTCGCAGTTGTTAGATCCCCACACCTGATGACGACACTGAACTATAGAGTTCTCCATCCCGTTACAGTCCACATTGTCCAGCCATATCTTCCCAGTCCCCGCTCCAAAGCGCCCTCCAGTGACGGCTTCAGCGTTACCTCTGTAAGCCATTATATATAAAATATACACTAGAAATGGGTTTGTATTCAAACTCCTCAAACAAGTCGAAAAATTAAGAGAAGAAATCTTCAGGCAAACTTTAAATTCAGGTGAAATAAACATATAATTATGACATACGTTGGAAATCCGAGCATTCTGCACACTACTTTGGCGTTCGTTGAATCAAATCGATCGTCACAAACTGTACCCCAGACTCCATGATAGAGGACTTCCACACGACCTTCATTCGGAACCTTTCCGTTGACAAGCCGGATGCTTATATTTTGGTGGCCTGTATAAGATAAGACTGCAATTTCACTAGATGTTCAAGAGGCAAAAAAGAATTACGATCTGTTGTTTTAATGAATCGGAGTAGTTTTTAAACCAATCACTTTTCAAAACTAAAACGAAAAACTTTAAAAATGGTTTTCTCGCAAGGCAGTATTTTACCTGAGTAAAAGGTCAAATCCTTTGAGGTCATTACATAAAACAGAATAGAGTCTGGTAAATGTGTCACAAGAGACACAATCATAAACCCAATAAAACGGATTAATATATCATTTTGTTATACCTTTGAAAATTGTTTCCTATATAATTCTATACTTAAAAAAGTCTAACATTTCCAATGTTTTACTGAGCGGTCATAAAACAAGAGGCCACATTGGGCCACAACGCTCACCTGAGTAACTTTGGCCCTGCTGTTTTTCGCTTGATTTCCCCCCTTGGAAAACCTAATGTGGCCCCGCCCTACCCCCTGTGTCATGATTTGAATAATTTAGAATCTGCACTACCCCAGGATGCTTCCACTTAAGTTTCAGCTTTTCTGGCCCAATAGTTCTTGAGAAGAATATTTTTAATGATTTTTCCTATATATTTCAATGTTAAAATTAGATTCCCTTTTGTGGCTCCGCCCTACCCCCCGGGGTCATGATTTGACGGTTGCTTCCACATGAGTTTCAGCTTTTCTAGCCCAATGGTTCTTGAGAAGTATATTTTAAAGATTTTTTTTTCTACATATTTCAATGTAAAACTGGATTCCCTATTGCCGCTCTACCCCCGGGGGTCATGATTTGAACAAATTAGAATCTACACTACACCAGGATGCTTCCATATAAGTTTCAGCTTTTCTGGCCCAGTGGTTCTTGACAAGAAGATTTTTAAAGATTTTTTCTGCACATTTCAAGCAAAACTTGGATTCCCTATTGTGACCATGATTTGAACAATTTAAAATCTACACTACCCCAGGATGCTTCCACATAAGTTTCAGCTTTTCTGGCCCAGTGGTTCTTGAGAAGAAGATTTTTTAATGACCCCACCCTATTTTTGCCTTTTCTTGATTATCTCCCCTTGGAAGGGGTCTTGGCCCTTCATTTTAACAATTTTAACCCCCCTTTACTGAAGGATGCTTTGTACCAAGTTTGGTTAAAATTGGCCCAGTGATTCTTGAGAAGTTGAAAATGTGAAAAGTTTACAGACGGACGGACGACAGACAACAGGTGATCAGAAAAGATCACATGAGCTTTCAGCTCAGGTGAGCTAAAAATCGATGTTTGACCGCAGAGTGAGATATTGGACCTGTTGATTAGACGTTGGACCACTTACGTCACAGTGTGGGCGGGGTCAGCTGTATCTTATTTGCCTTCGTTGGAGTTCGACAGAACTTTACGGAATTCACCGAGTTTAAATCGCAGTGCGGGTAAACAAAATTTACATCATGTTATGTCAAAAAGGTATAACAAAACATTTATTGACTGTTTTCTCGGGCAAAATGCGTTTTGTCAACCCCTGGAACCAAACTGTTTGCTTTCGGCCTAACGGCCTCAGGGAAACAGTTTGGTTCTTGGGTCCGACAAAACGCATGTTGCCCGAGAACCCAGTCAATAAATGTATAAAGTTACCCAACACACTTGACAGCGGGTAACACAACGAAATTTTCACAGGCGTCTCAAAACGTCAGGTGTGCGTTTAAAGGAAGCCGAATAAACTTGCCGTCAATCAAACTTGCGTCCGATTTGGCTTAATTGAAAACAACAAACAACAGACAAAAATGCTTGGGAGTGTGCAGAAATAAGGAAACTTTAGATGATAAAGGACTGTTTGAGTATCAAACAAACAACAAAGAGGTCGGTAAATCTTTTTCGAAGCTTTTTTATTGAGAAAAACAGAAGCGAGGAGTTTGACGGCTTTATAAATGTGAACTCAACAACGATCGACAGATTTTTTGCTAACACCCTAAATCAATAAGACATTCAGTACATGTATAATAAAAAAAAAGGTGCCTGTTTTGGAGGGTAACAGCTGAAATTGACACCCCTCGAAAAACCATTGTCAACCTCCGCTGACGAGTCGGTTGACAATGCTTTTCCCTGGGGGTGTCAATTTTGACCGTTACCCTCCAAAACAGGCACCATTTATATATTGGTAACTATATAAATTGATTTCTCTGCGAAGTTGTTCTTTCCATACTTATATACGATAGAACTTTATATAAACAGAACTCACCTGCGTCACAAATGACGCTTGCGTCTTCTGTGTGGTCACAGTCGCTTTGACCATACCCAGCAAAGCTACATGTTGCGATGGTATCCTCAGTTCCACTGCAAGAGACGTCGTCTAGGAATATTGGTCCCGTACCAGGTCCAAAGTGAGCTTCAGCTAATCCAACAGCTGTACCGCTACAGTAATAAGATTGAAAGCCATAAGGTAATCAAATTTCATTACCTCATACCAATTTTATTTACATTCAAGACTTAGCACCACGGTTCACACATAAGGTTTTTTATCACGCTCTCGCTCATAATGTGTGACATTAGAAATCAAAGTTGAATCATGTGATGGCATATTCCTGTTATTCATATAACCTTATTATAATTACCGTGTTATAACTGCGGTAGTAATTTAAATGAGGAAGTAAATATTCTTATGATTTTGCCATTTCGTCGTCAACAATTGTGATAGTTATTACAACTTTACAAGATAACTTTACATTAAAGTGTCCCCTATTTGATAAGATACATCTGTAAACTGAGTTGCCGATATACTTTTCCTAACAGGGTTAACATTTGATAAAAGTTGCTCTATGACGATATAAACTTTGTGTTTATTTAATGACCAAAATAAATGGGATGATAAAAACAATACACGATACTATCGACACCGACTTGGAATAAAAATTAGCATAAAGCCATTGAATTAATACATAAGAAAAGGAAGACGTATATTCATTGACATCAACAGAGTGGAAGAGAAAGAGAGAAGTCAACGTACTTGAATCCCAGCATACGGCAGAACACCTTGGCTTCCCTGTCATCAAACTGGTCGTCACACACAGTACCCCACGTGTTGTTGAAGAACACCTCGACACGCCCTTCTTTCTCATTGGCTCCGCCCACCAGACGGACTTTAAGAGCTTGTGAATTTTCTGATGAAGATAATTTCAAAAGAGTATTATATTAATTGTATGCCTTTATTTTATATTCATTTCTTAGAAGGCATTTTCATTTGGATGTATGTTGTGTTCTTTCAATTTCTTATTCAGTTATGTGGCTTTTTTGTTTGTTTTTCTCTTATAAGCGATGTTTGTACCTTGTTTTTCTCTTATAAGCAATGTTCGTACCTTGTTTTTCTCTTATAAGCGATGTTTGTACCTTGTTTTCTCTTATAAGCTATGATTGTAACTTGCTGTATTAATTTGTTATTTAATTTGTTGGAGTTTCCAAGAGTGAAATCGAGATTTTCCTCCATCATATAAGGAAGAACACTTTTTAAAACATTTTCAGTATAATTGAGTTAAAGAGTGTACCAAAGCTAAAACTACCAACTTCCCAACAGTAAGTAAATTTTTACTCAAAGACAAACACGGACTATACACGCCTTTTACAGCAACAACTTTTTATAGGACATACCTGCGTGACAAATAACACCTGCGTCCTCGGTATGGTCACAATCATTGGATCCGTATCCGGCAAAACCACAGCTCGCCAGTGTACTCTCAGTCCCCGTGCAATTTACGTCATCCATTAAAATACTTCCGGTACCTTGTCCGAAGAAACCTTGCGCTACTGCTCGTGGAATACCTCTGGAATCAAGTCAAATGGTCCGAATTGAAATCGTACTTCATTAGTTTTGGTTATTTTAGTAAGTGTCAATAAACTTGAAATTATTTATATCAGTAAAAGTTGACTTTATAAATGCATTAATTCCGACAGAAAGACATTAATAGATTGATATTATATTGTTGAATTATATATTACTTCTTGAACCCTGTCAGTCATTCAAATGAAGAGAAATCGGCTGTCTCACAGTATATTGTAATTTTTTTTAATGTACATGTGTATGTAATTGTATGAAATTATAAAAAGTTTACTTTCATCACCAGTATGCTCCCACCTCTGTATTTTAATGTTACCGATATGAAGCCTGCTACATACGCATTTAATGCCCTAGACTACAATTGTTTCATTTTCAGTGTTACTGAATGACGTCTGCTACATACCCAGTGAATCCTAGCATGCGGCAGACCACAGCTGCTTCATTCGAATCCCACTCGTCATCACAAACTGTTCCCCAGCCGGCTCCAATGTTAACCTCCACTCTTCCCTCGTCAGTCCTAGCCCCACCAACAAGTCGGATCTGGAGTTTTGGTGGGGTATCTATGAAGTTTGATGAGAAACATCGTAAAACCATCAGCATAATTAAATTTACAAGATTTCAAAGAGATTAATCAATGACCTAATCCAATGCAATATTGTACTTATTTTTTCATGTGATAAAATGTTACCTAAGGTTTATTAATGTTTGAATGGGCAAATGCAAATTTTATTATGCTAGTGATAAACAACTTTGAATAGGTCTGTATAATTCTTATTTTTACTACATGTTGAATATGAAAGATCTCTTCAGTAAGTGTTTATTTTTACCCGTGCAGACGACGCCGATGTCCTCTGTGTGGTCGCAGTCGTTGTTGCCGATTTCTGTCTGGTTGCATTCCAGGATGTTACCTTCACTTCCTGTGCACATGACGTCATCAAGCCAGATGGATCCTGTCCCTGGACCGAAATTGTTTGGAAAAGCATTTGCACTGAAAAGTAGGTAAATGTTAAAGCTTCATTAATTAAAGTTGCATCTTAGAAAAAATGATGTTGAATGTCCTCATTAACTTTTCCTTACAAAGAAGCATAAAATTGCCCAGTTACAGGCTTCAATTACATGTATATCACCAAACTAGACTGTATTTGAAGGTATAAATGAGGCTTTATAATTTTTTACACGATATAGGATTAGATCATAACATTTATGGCTAATGGTTGGTACGAGGGCGGTTCTATCTGTCCAACGCTTCTTTTGCAGAGTCAATGTCGGGGAAAATATACCACTTACTATGGCAATCCGAGTTGTTTACACACAACTTTTGCCGCTCTTGTATCGAACTCATCGTCACAGACAGTTCCCCATAGTCCGTTCAGGTTCACTTCCACACGACCACTGTTAGAATCAGACCCACCTACCAGTCGGAACTTCACAGAATCTAAAGTTCAATAACAGGGTTACATATGACTGATGTTCAAACTCTCATCCGGAACAAAAAAGTCTGAATGCCTTAAAAGAAATGAAAAATTGAAAGAATGGAGCCGCATAGAAAACTTTCAGACTTCATTTAAAAATGGATCTATAATACTCCTAGGAAATTGGGTTAATGGGACAGTATTTCAAAGAAACATTTAAAAATTATTGTTTGCAATATCACTTGACCTGAGTCACAGATGACGCCAGCGTCTTCGCTGTGAAAACAGTCATGGAAGGAGTTACTGCGACATTGATCAAGGTCAGTCTCTGTACCCACACACTGCAGTTCATCAAAGAAAATCCGTCCGGTACCTTTGCCGAAGACTCCCTCTACTGTTGCCAGATGGACGTTCCTGACCAAAGAATCCAAAAATATAAATACGACTCAAACATCAATATCACTGTGCATAGACATGCAAGTGTTTTGTTATCTTGTCTTCTTTAAAGAATGAAGGCGTTTTAGGAAAGTACAATCCCCCGGTCTGTGACAATATATTTATCAAATTTCAAAGTTCATGGAAAAGTTATACCGATATTTTTCAAAAATTATGTTGTCAGTAATGTCACACAGTTGATTCGATCATTTATTTTATTAAATAACTCTGTTTTTAAACTGAGAGTTGAACACACTGTACACCTGTAAAATGGCTCAATTGGAGCAACACAAAAATTATTTTTGAAGATGGATGGTCAAGTCTCCATTCTACATAAACGTTTAAATGACGAAAAAGTGAATGTAAAATCTGTTGTTTTTTTAAATGGTGTTTGGACCCATTCACTTTGAAAAATCGACAATTTCTGAAAAATGACATGCATCAACAAACTCGTTTATCTAAACCACACTGACACCTCCAATGATATGAAGACTTTGTAGAGTAGTGGTTAACATTACGCCCTACCGCGAACTTTGGAGAGAGTTCGAATCATTTGTGGGGCTATTTTTGCCTTTTCACATACTTTAAAAACATAACCAAAAATTTAATTATTTATCAATAAGGAATATAATAAAATATAGGAATCAAATATGTAATAGAGGAAAGTGACTACACAGTTTTTGAAAAATATAACTTTGTGTGAACTTTTAAGAAATATCTTCCTCAAAGCAGGGGATTTTTCCTCGCCTTGTATGCCTCCATTAATTCTTTGATAAATCATATCATTAGACATAAAAATGATTCTTTTTTATTTCTTACCCCTTTGATCCCAACATTCTACACACCACCTTCGCGTCCATCATATCGAACTGATCATCACACACAGTCCCCCATATTCCGTCCTTCTGGATCTCCACACGACCTTGACCTGCTACTCCGGCCGGCCCCACCAAACGGATACTCTGAATTACAGCTTTTAAACAAGAAACCACCTTAATTATTCTTGACACATGATTTTTAAATTTACATATTGAAACGCCAGAGAAGTTATAAATGCAGACTTCTCATTTTCTTATGCTCGGTATAATTATCTTATGAGGAAGATCTGAAGACAAACGAGTTTATTTGTCAAATTGAACGCTTAAGAATAAATATGACAAGGTTTTGTTTCTTTTTAAAATCCATAAGGGTCTTTACTCACCTTGGCTATAGCCAAATAGCAAACCTGCATATGAAAGAACATTGCAACATCATTTGCCAATGTATGACAATTTTTATGCACAATAAAACATATAAACATATTACAGATATACACATATATCATAGTACTGAGTATTTGTAAAATTAATACTTATGAGAAACCATGTTGGAGCCATGTTTGAAGACGTCAATGTGACTTGGATTGCCTTATCAGGCTAGATAAGATCTGGTTCCCGTTTGATTATCACACACAAGTTCTTGGTCGGGGCATGATGACTTATAGTGAAGACTTTCAGATATACGCAATACTAGTACATCATACGGTATAAAGTACACTGTCATATATATGTATGTGCATATAAATTATGTACATGTATTAAAAATTCCAACTTTTGAAAGTATATAAAATTGTCTATATCTTAGCTTCTTTGTGAGACATTTCAGATCTTTTGTCGTCCAAACAAAAAAAGACAGAGCACGTTTTCCAGAACGATTACTCAGCAAAATCGTATTTAATTTTATTTCCAACATAAATTATCTTTCGAACTCTTTATATACTTTTATAAACTATGAGTCAAAAGTCTTGATGATACAATCTTTCTATCTTCTCATATTTAGTTCCGGTTTTTGTTCTGATTTCTCTTAATAGAGATTTGAAAGAAGATACAAGGCCAGATAATGTTGGTTTATTTTGGACATTCCTATATATACTATTGGTTATCGACCTTTTTGCTGACGAGGAATTTTTTGCAGACTTTAGCTTTATACTTTACCTCACTTGAGGCAGAGTCTCAAGGTTGGTAATTAAAATTTCCTAAAATGAAATTCCAAGTTCCCTTTAAAGAAAAGGAGATATAAGAATGATTAAGATATTATAATGAATAAATTTTGACAACCAAGGAGACAACAAGAATTAGCTAAAAGATTAATTGGAGTCATATGTAAACAAACCAGGACCAAAAGAATAAAAGTTCAGTTGGGCCATAGGAAGAATTCAAAGTTGATTTGGAATATAAAGGGAAAGTTAAGAAAAGTTTGCAAAAATCCTTTCCAGGAGAGCAAGGCTGTAGCTAGTCACATTAATTTGTAACCTTCATCAGTGTAGTTTCAAGTTTATTTTGAGTTATGACCATTTAGGCAAAGATGAAGCCATAATAATTTTGTACATATGAATATAAATGAAGTGTTCTACCAATTATACCAGTATTCTCCACAAATCCTTTCAAACTAATGCAGTCATTCCACTGCTTATATCACTATGTAGACATTCTAAAAAATCTTTTACAAAAACCAACTATAAGATAAGATAAGAGACAGGATAAAACAGTATCTATGAAGCGCCATCTGTGAAGACGTTGACGTATGTAGAAGGGAAGGCACCGTGTCTAGCCAGAACGCCATTCGTTTCCTGAAAAGATGTTGCCCTGTTGTTATGTTCTGATGAATTGTTATATAACTCTCTGACTCTTCATTGAATGCTAGCCAAACGATATCCATATTGGCACTGTTTGGATCTCTGCAATGGAAAAAAATGTGTATTAACTTTGTTGTTACATAACATTAATTGATAAAATGTAATTTCAAGCGGAAAAACTTACCCCGTTTTAGCAAAATTGGTCAGATACCTCACGAAGTCATCACTAAGTTTCTGTTCTTTTACTGTGTAATTAAAATTTTTATTTTGAAAGATAAACCACGTCTCATCGCCATGTTGTGCACCTGTCAGCCACTTCCGGCGGCGGGTAATGACTGGAAATGTGGGCTTATGAGTAAAAAGAAAGTGAAACGTCTTTTTCTCCATCGCCTTCCCAAAGCTTCTTAACCCTGACCGATGTCTTCTGAGTGTTTGTACTGCAGGTGAGGCATACAACATGTCACCATACATGTCAAGAGTTGCATGACCTTGAGCAAGAATTGAACTGTTTTTTAAATACATGTTGCATATTTGGTTGGCAATCATCGGGTTGGAATGAAAGTAATCGCGAACTAAGGCCTTTACAACCCCATCACACATTGCAGAGGTAGAAACTCCATCATCCAGATTAAAGTGGTAAACACTCTGCATGTCTTTTAGTTTTGACCTCAACAACCATCCATCCTCGTCATTGGTTCCTGCAATGATGTCAGCACTCATGAAAGTTTTAAAGCCTTCTGATGTTGGATCATTTATTATACGTTCTGGTGAATTCGAGAGTAATTCGCCATCAATAACAGGACCGGGTCTCATGATAAAGTCATATTTGTGATAGCTGGCTCGCATTTTTCCAGTTGCTATTAAAATATCCAGAGGTGATTTAGCTCGTAAACATGAAACAATATAAGAGGAGTTCACAGATTTGGCGTTATATTCTACAGTGTCGTTAAAACATCCCACAAACTTGGCTATTCGAAAAGCCGCGTTTCGGGCGTTATGAGTGACAGAACGTCTGTTAAGACCAAGCCCACTCATTGCAATTGCTCTGTGAAATAAACCAAAAGAATGTTTAGACAGAAGTAGTAGTCCAATGCTGTATCCTCCTGCAGAATGTCCAAATACTGTCACACTAGAGGGATTTCCGCCAAAATACCCAATATTCTCTTGTATCCATTTCAAAGCCTCGATTTGATCCCATAGCCCATAGTTACCGCGGGCATTTTCATCTTCAGTGCTCAGAAAACCGAACATTCCTAGTCTGTAATTTATCAGAATAATAATAACGTTACCAGTCGCAGACAACCGGGATCCGTCGTGTAAATTAGCAGATTTTGTGGAATACCCCCCTCCATGAATGTATACCATAACAGAAAATTTATTTGTATGGGATACTGACGCTGGAATATATATATTCATGTACAAGCAATCTTCAGAGACGTTCATTGATGGCAAAAACTTCTTGTAAGATTTACTGATTTTCTGATAACACGATGGACCAGGCTTGGTGGCATCAAGAACCCCGTTCCATGGCACTACAGGTTGCGGTTTTCTAAATCTCAGGGACCCAATAGGAGGCAAGGAATATGGAACCTTCAAAAATATATAAACTTCAAGTCCATTTACATCTTTTAGAGAACCTTGGATCCGCCCGTACTTTGTATCTACAGTGCCATTTTGAAATATATTTCCTTTCACGGAAGATAAAAAGATGCACGTTAGTAGGATCATCGTGCACTGAAATGCAAAGAAAAAAAAAGAATTATTACTGATATTGCAAGGGCATTTAATTAAAATGATGTAACGGAAAATTCCTTTTGAAATAAAGTCTGGTGTTTGGAGAATGATCACTTACGTTAACAGATGGCAATGATAAGTTGAATGGAATACCCTTGTTTGGTGTCGGGAGACATAAACACTTGACATACTTTGTCTTACCTCAACAATCGTGGAATGAAGTTTGTGTTAGGCATAATTAAATAGACGTGCAGAACAAAAATAAAAGAGTACGTCATTTTATGTATTCAGCAATGTAATATTAGTAGAAAATATTGTTGAGATGATTTTTGGAGTAAATTTTTATTTATTTCGACACGTAAATTCGAGTTATCATTCATCACGCAGGCATTCTGCAGATAACCATATAAACAAAATTTCATGAAAGATTGAATGACCTCACCTGGCCTCTTACACGCTTCTGTGTCTCGTGAAGCTCGTATCTTGATTTTTTTCTAATGGCATTGGAATTAGTTTCTGTAATATTTGCTAGACCTATTCTTAAGCATTGTTTTTATCCTTGTACAGTTAAGGTTAACAATATTCACAAGACTAAATATGATAGTGTCAGACATTTTTGAACTGTTGCACTTAGGAATCAGTCCTACCACAATTTTGGCTTAGAGGAAAAAACAAATTTCGCGCGAACCACACCACGTAGTGCACTTTTAGGTCTGTCTTTCAGTAATGTTTGATTGGCTGTTGTTTTACTTGAATCATGATGGGATCTATAAACAATGCAGTACATGAAGGATGATTTTTTAGTGGGTGATTCAAATGACTTCACTTTTGATGCATGTTGAGTATAATTCTGTATAAACCTATGACAAGTTGCTCCTCTTAAATCTCGATAGATATTTATTTGAGTGTACGTACTTCTTCTTATAGAACTAAGATAAAAATCATAAAATGTTATAAAAACATAGCTGTACATAATGTTATGTTTCCTCTCCACAAAATATCGAATTAGAGCGTAAAATCTCGAATAGAGTCTCATGATTGTGATTGTTTGGGATCCTGTTCTAGCATATGCTTCATCAACGTCGAAGTTTCAAATGCACTATGTATGTACCAGAGTCCAAGTGTTACAAATCCTCTAATGTATACGACATTTGCTACCTCGTTTGGATCCAAGAAGAATACAAAATACCGTCCTCTTTTGTATCGGAGATTAGGTCCAATTTAACATGTATAAGTGCGACTGAGATTTTTCCTCTACTGCATCAGATTTATCTTCTTTTGTATCAGTGACATAGTGTGCCAATCATCTACTGTATCAGTGTCATAGTGTGCCAATCATCTACTGTATCAGTGACATAGTGTGCCAATCATCTACTGTATCAGTGACATAGTGTGCCAATCATCTACTGTATCAGTGACATAGTGTGCCAATCATCTACTGTATCAGTGTCATAGTGTTACATAATCCTCATTTCAATCAGTGACAAAGTGTGACATATCGATATATCTTCTTTTGTATCGGTGGCAAACTGTGTTATATCCTTCATTGTTTCAATGGCAAAATGGGAAATTTCCTCTTTTGTATCAGTGACAAAGTGTGAATATCCTCTATTGTATCGGTGGAAAAGTGTGACATGTTATCTTTTGTATCGGCAGCATATTGTGACATACACTTCTCTTCTTTTATATAAGTGGCAATGTGTGACATATCTTCTTTTGTAAGAGTGGCATTGTGTGACATATTTTCTTTTGTAAGAGTGACATTGTGTGACATATCTTCTTTTGTAAGAGTGGCAATGTGTTACATATCTTCTTTTGTAACAGTGGCGAAGTGAGACATATCCTCTTGTATTACTGTGTGACATATCTTCTGGCAAAGTTTGACATATCCTCTACTATATCAATGGCAAGGTATTGTACATCTAGTTGCAAAATGTGACACATCGACATATTTTCTTTTGTATAAGTGGCAAACTGTGACATCTTCTCTTTAATATCACTGGTTAAGTGTGACATATCCTCTTTCTGTATTAGTGGCAAAGTGTAGCATATCCTCTATTGTGTCTTTGGCAAAGTGTGACATATCTTTTATCATTTGCAGGGAATAAAACATCCTCCTTTGTATTAGTGACACATCATTGTTTGTATCGGTAACAAATTGTGACATACACGTATCTTCCTTAGTATCATTAACAAAGTAGCATTGTGTGAATTCGTATCTTTTTGCGTAAATGGCCAAGTGCAGTGACATACACGTATCTTTAATTTTTGTATTAGATATAGAGTGCATCATATCCTCTTCTTATCAGTTCCAACATATCGAATTCCTTATTTGAGCCTGAATTTAACGTATCCTTTTTTTTATTTGTCTGACAAACGATTCCGACCCTTTGAAATATTTTGCAACTGGTCTTTGCGAAACTAAATCAAATATATGAGCTCCATAATCGTTAACAGTTTTTTTTTTCTAACACGTCTGTTTTGAAGGTAATCGTATCTGTCATATATTTTCAAGTTTCTACGATATTTTTCGTAAATGATTGTCTGGGGAATGGGGCATAACGGAAAAAGGTCATGGATTTTGCATCAATCTTATTATGAATAACCTATCCTGACTTATGACGACCGACCTCATTTGCATGAATGAATAAAAGTATCTTAGAATTCCTTCTGCTGTTTTTGAAAGATAAATTTAGATAGTAAATATCATCAAACACTAGAAATATACAAAGAAAAAACAGCACGCACCTAAAACCTAACTGACTTTAAAAAAAACACCAAAATGGTTTGCAACATTTGATGAGTATTTGATTTGACGTATCTAATGCCAGACTTCTTTGTGGACAGTCCGTTAGCTTCCTTTGTTGATGGTGGGCTGCTTATCAGATTCTTAGATTCTTGTTGTAACTTGCCATACTGATTTAAGTATTAAGAATTAAGAAGAAATGAACATTAAAATTTAAAAAAGATGACAATAAAGTGATTGTAATTTATTTCTGAAAAAAAAAACAAACATGCACAATCTGTGTAGAAAAAAACCTACGTAGAAGTTTACGTTACCAAAAAAAAAATTCCTTCAAGTGCGATCAAATGTATATACACTGTTCTAGTTTTTTACACGATGATTAATATATTTGAAATATATATATAAATCATCAGTAGAAACATACATTTGTGATAAATATAAAGAGAAATCGTACGACAAATGAAATGTTAGAGTTATAAATGGAGGCTGAGTTAGCAGACCGCTGATGACAATCCTTTACAATCCTCGGCGCTGTGTCTGTCCAGAAGTGAACTCTGTCTTTGTACAGTGATGACGACATTGTTATGTTTAGATCAAGTCTGATATAGTCTCTCTTGTTCACAGTGTAAGGTTTCCAAATACCCGTTGAGTTTACCTTTGGGTTTCTGAAATGGAATATATATCTCGATAAAACACAGCTGTCTATTTCACAAAATGAAAATGTTGTCTCCTAAGGTCAAGCAGCTGTCGATCATTACAGCACTAACATATTTACTACCTAATTTAGGCATCTGTATAGTGTTTCAGGTATTTCATGTATCAAAAATTATTACAGTGTTTTCAAAAAAATCAACTTGTGTAGGTGAAAAAAAAAGAATTTCAAATCTAAAGAGAGAGCCAAAATAATCCTCTTACTCTAAAAGATCCTTGAAGCACATTTATTCACAGGTCATGTTAACTATACAAACAAAAAACCTATCACAATCAATCCTTCGACAGGAAAAGCAATATAATTTCCAGAAACAGTCAAACAGGCATCCAAAATTAGTTACTATTACTTTTTCATTTCCTAACATAATTTTGCAAACAAGTATTTCTTTGAAAGAAAGGATTCGGAATTGGATTTCTCAGAAATGGCAGAAATTATAGTCAAAATCTACGTGATCGAATTAACTCTAAGCATTATTCATCAATTTACCATTTCTAAAGGTAAAAGAGTACTTCTCTTTCTAAGTTATGAAAATTCTTATGCACATAGAGAAATACACGCACCTACATGTACACTATATATGTAAAAATCGTTGCATTTCAAATTACATACCAAAAGTAAAAAACCTATAGAACATAGTACAAATCTCTTTTCTGCTTAAACTTTTAGTAAGCGTGACATTCTCGGCGATACATAATTATCGTCTCTCAAATAGAGACCTATATTCTCACTGGTTGCCAGATTAGCTCATCAATACTGAAATTTACACAGCTTTTTATTCACGGGTGAAATACACATGGGATAAAAATGGTTCAGACGTCTACGAATGACGTAAGGAACCAATTACATCGTTTCGTACAGTAAAGAGGTGTGGCTTATGTCATCTCATTGTTTGTCAACAACAATCTAAAATTGCGAATGTTATTAATTTCATAACCAATGAGAATCTAGGTCACCATTTGAGAGACGCTAATTATGTATCGCCGAGATTGTCACGCCTTACTGAAAGTTCAAGCAGAAAAGATATTTGTACTAAGATTCTGATAAAATTCAAAGAAAGCTGCAAGTCTATAGCAAGCAAAGAATGTGAGAGCAAATAGTTACATTTACCTAATGTCTCAAATGGAATGTCTGCATCAAAGTGTGGTTCGTGTTCGAATTGTGTAATTTCTACTTCGTCATGAAAAGGGACATGTGGCGGATATGACGGTCGACAGGGGATGTTCACTCCTCCATGGCATCTGATCCTACCTCTGTTTGCAGAGGATCGTATTTGTATTCTTTGATTAGATTTTTGAGCATGATTACCGTTCGTTATCTTCACATTTCATTTTCTATTTTACGTCAATATTCGTATTCTTAGAGTGTATGTTCTGTTAATTTCCGTATGATTTGTATCTTAATCTCAATTGTAACTAGAAGTCTGTGAGCCAATGCTCACTAATAATACCCCCGCTCTGATGTGAATACACAAGTTCAGTTATGGACAGACACAATGATAATCAGGAAGTTGACATTGGATTTGTACAAAAATGAATCCCAACAGAGAGCATGCCTAAATAAAGAGTAAGTTAATATTTCAAGCATCTGAGATGACGGTAGTTGCTGAGATAACTGCGCATAAAATTTGTTATGTATGGTAGGGACAGATGCACGGATAAACAGGAAGTTGACATCAGATTCGTACAAAATTGAATCCCACCATATGGCATGCGTAAACAAAGAGTGTGCTAAAATTTCAAGCATCTGCAATGAGTAGATGCTGAGAAAACTGTGACCAAAAGTTGTCAGGTATGGTAGGGACAGATGCACGGATAAACAGGAAGTTGACATCAAATTCGTACAAAAATGAATCCCACCATATGGCATGCCTAAACAAAGAGTGTGCTTAAATTTCAAGCATCTGTGATGAGTAGTTGCTGAGAAAACTGCGACCAAAATCTGTTACGGACAGACACACAGACAGCTAGACAGACAGACGGACGGACAGACAGACACACAAGGGAAAGACAGTATACCCCCCTCTCCTTAATAATAATGGTGATCATGTCCTAGAGCATACTCTTCCACTGAGCGTAAGAATTCATGTAACGCGTTCTTTGCGTGCACATAAACCTAAAGGAGTAGCTATGACCTTGTTAAATGTCTGGTGAGTTGTCTTCAGCAGAAGAATCACCACAAGCTTATCGATTTATCTTATAAAAAGACACACACACCCGAAAAAATACAGTTCTTCCTTATACATGTACTAACATATTGATAATAACTGAAACCAATATAAATTATATATGTATTCTAACATCTCTATATATCCCTATAAAACATAGCCTCACATAAAAATTACTCATTATTTAAAACACCTACATATTTCCAATATTTATCTATTGTTTTCTTATACCGTCCACCTCCTAACACTATATTATTCATTCGCTCATACGTCAATATTGTAGGAAAACACAACACGTGACTGACTTAGGAAACGCCCAACACATGCAATGACCAAAGTGATTCACGTATGTTTTTAACCTGAGGTGTTATTATAGAGGAAAATTAATATTGATAAAAATAAATACACTGTATTTCGAATTTATATTCTTACCCATATTTGGCAAAATTTGTCCAATACTCCATCATTTGATCTGCAAGAGCTTGTTCCTCTTGCGTTATTTGGACATTTGACGGATAGAACGTCTTCAGTCCAAATACAAACGGCAATTCCGATGCGTGGTTTGCTCCCTTCAACCACATTGGGCGCTCTCCAATCACTTCCCAAATAGGTCTGTGAGAAAACAGGTACTGAAATGTTGACCTGGTTGATTGAGCATGTGCATTAAGTGACTTGATGGTAGGTACATCCTCCAGAAAATCTCCATAAAGATCCGCAGCCATCTGAGACTGAGCTTGGAGTGTCGCTGGAGGGGTTGGTGTGTATTGTTTACATATAGCAGTGACCAAAGCAGGACAGTTTATCTCATAAATTTCCCTCACAATTGAAGGTGCAATTTCATCACAAACTATTCTCGTTGGCACACCTACAGATATATTAAATTTGAAAATTGAGGAATATGGTTTTAGATTGAAATAAAGCAGCCCGGAGTCTGCTGTGTTAGTGCCAACAAGTAGGTCAATACTATAAAACTGTTTGTGCATCAGAGAATTAGGATTTGACATTGCAGCATCGGGAGATTCTGGAATGAGTTCCCCGTCTGTGATTGGACCAATGGATGTCGTTAATGAATAGCTATCAGACCTCGACTGTTTCCAAGAAATTTCGCCCCAAACCTTTAATAAATCACTAGTGTTCTTTGAACGAAGACAATCCAACATTTCTGTTTCTGATGCTCTCTGACACGACAGCTTTGCAATCACTTGGTGAGAGGTGTCGCGCGTCTTTGTTTCATAGTCTCTTCGTGCAAGAAACGATCCACTCTCCCCGATCACTCTCAGAAACATTCCTTTGTTACTTGGTATCACACCTTGTAGAGTGGTAGAGACTCCACCAGCAGACTCTCCAAATAACGTTATTCTGTTGGGATCTCCCCCAAAAGCAACAATATTTTCTTTTACCCATTTGATGGCAAGCTGTTGGTCGTACAAGCCATAATTACCTCTAGTGTCCGAACTACCAGTACTGAAAAAACCAAAGATGTTTAGTCGGTAATTAATGGTCACAACTATGATGTCGCCTTTAAGAACCAGACGACTACCGTCTATGGAAGTTCCTTGCCCTCCTATGAATCCGCCCCCATGTATCCAAATCATGACAGCTCTCCGTGACGTCTGTCGGGTAGGAAATGGCGCGTAGATGTTCAGATGCAGGCAATCCTCAGACATATTAACATTCGGAAGTCTTGGATTATTTTTGTCAAGAAATTGAACACATGAAGGCCCAAATTCAGTTGAACCTAGAGTTCCATTCCAGGGAGTAACAGGAAGGGGTTTGGCAAACCTCAGTTTATTTAGAGGTGGTAAAGCGTACGGTACTTTCTTAAAGAGTGAAATTTTCTTAGAACTCACTTCTGTTAAGATCCCGCGAATTCTCCCCAGCGAGGTCGGAATTACATATTCTCCACTTCTACATGCGTGCACTATGTTTGGAATATCTTTATCCCAGAAATCCATCCTAGATCCATACAAAGATTTACCTGGCTTTAATGGTATATCAAGACTAAGATAGTGTCTGTCTCTCATGTCGAATGATTTCCAAAGACGTGTTTGTCCCGTATTGGGATTCCTGAAAATCAATTTGTACCGTATTTTGTATATACTCAGTACTCTGCAGTGACACTTGTAAAAATTATATATATATATATATATATATATATATATATATATATATATATATATATATATATATATATATATATATATATATATATAGATATAGATATATTGCAAAAAAGAAGAGTCAATTAAAAATATTTAAATCTACGCTTTAAAATCTTCATAAATTTACCCTGTCTTGGCAAAGTTAGTCCACATGTCCATCATTGAATGTGACAAATCAAGCTCTGCAGATGTCGGTGAGACTGTGTGCGGATACCAGTCCTCTAGACCGAACACAAACGCCAGTTCGGAGGCGTGGTTTGGTCCCGTCAGCCACGCCGGTCTGTCCTGGATAAGCTCCCAAGTGGGTTTGTGTGCAAAAGAATATTGGTAGGTTTTAGTGTTCTTCGTGTTCGAATGCAACTGAAGTAAGTAGAATGTTGGATAATTCATCGCTAAGTCAGCAAATAAATCTGCTGCCGCCTGTGTTTGTTCTAGAAGAGTAGCATTTTTTGCCAAGTTCTGTAAGTAACTATGGCATATTGCAACACTAAGGTCATCGCATGTTTTAAACCATTCTTCAGTTATAGCTGGGGCAATGTGTTCGCAAAGAATTCTTTCCGGGATATTTGCAGAGATATTGAAACCCCAGGACTTTTGGTAACCAGCCAATTCGAAGTATTCTAATCCAGCTTCGCCTGTATTGGTGCCTGCCATTAGATCGATACTCTGTAACATTTCATAAGCGGCTGAATTGTGATTTTTCAGATCTTTGAAAAGGGATTGGTTAAAGAGTTCCCCAGCAGGCGAGGAAAACACAATATTTGATGACATTGATTCGTAATATTTGGCCATCAAATAAGACGCATTAATAGACTGTAGACAAAGTATTGTCTCATCAATATTAAACCGTGAGCAGTTTAGGAGTTTGGCGGTTTGTTTCATCACATTTAGTGAGTCTGTATCATTAACGGGTACATCTGCTGGCACCATAACAGACCCACTTTCTGCGATAACACGCTGGAATAAACCTAGGTTACTAGGAAGAATACTCTGTAAGGTTACAGAAACTCCCCCAGCAGACTCTCCAAATATGGTGATGCTGTTGGGATTTCCACCGAAATCTTCAATGTTATCCTTCACCCATTTAAAAGCCAGTTGTTGGTCAAAGAATCCGTAATGTCCCTTAAAGTTAGAGTCGAGTCCAGCGTAGAGGAAGCCGAACACATTTAGTCTGTAATTGATAGTCACCACTATAACGTTTGTGCGAGAAGCGAGGTAAGAGCCATTGAACATCGTACCCTGCCCGTTTGTGAGACTCCCACCGTGTACCCAGATCATGACGGTGAGATTACTCTGTCTGTTGATATCTCCTGGGACAAACACGTTCAACTGAAGACAGTCCTCGGTAATGTTAAGGTTTGGAATCAGACGTTTGTCGTTCTCATAGATGTACTGCATGCATGATGGTCCGAACTCTGTGGCTTTTAGAGTTCCGTTCCAGTTCCCAAAAGGCTCTGGCTTCCGAAACCGAAGTGTTCCAACTGGAGGTTTGGCAAACGGTATTTTGAGGAACTGATGAACATTGACATTATTTACAACAGCAGTGCTGCCTTCTATCTGACCCAGCCTTGTTACTATGTTGACCCCAGTTGTTTGGGAAATAGTGTCCATAAGAAGAATAACAGATACCTTTATGATTGTTGAGTACAGTGTTTCCTGGGGCATCTGAAAAGGAAGAGACTATGAGACTATAATTTAACGTTGAAATAAGAAAACCATGGTTTATATTGTATCGTATTTCTCCTGTCACTATTTTCACTTTTGTTGAAAAAAAGATCCATCCTACATCCGATGAACTAGAAATACAGACTTTGAAGTTCGATAGTATAACATGCAACTTTAAAAGAAATAGCATAAGTGTCACCTTAAGATACTCGATCCTTAATGAAATAACTCTCAGTGATTGATAATTGTATATGAGCATATTCATTATGATTCATTATCTTTCTTTTTTTTCGTTATTTTGCTAAAAACTATGCATCTTTAAAAAAAAATTTTAAAAAAACGCATGCCTCAGTGTAATAGAATAAAAACATTTTACCTTGTTAAAAATTATGGTGTAGTCTGTTAAGTAAACGCTTTCATCTATAAATTAAATACTGCAGAAGATAAACTACAAACCGGGTCAATAGGATATTGGTGTATCTTACACACTTTGAAGTGACAGATATTTGTGTTACCACGATACAGTTCGAGTTTTACATTCAGCTCGGAAACCGAAAGGAATTATGCTTCTATAAATAAAATTCATGGCATAGAGAAGTATTTTTGCATCTTAGATATGGTTGAGGTGAGTCTGATGGTTTTTTTTAAATTATTTTTTATTATTTGATTTTTTTTTTAAATCATAGGTCCTTGAGAACAGGACCCAACCATTCCCGCCCCCTTCGACGTAGATACCTGGGCATTTACATGTGCACGATTTTTTTAAATATATAAATTATCTTTTTCTGACATATTTGAAAAAAAATATAAATATACATCACACCATTCATTTCATCTTTATTTCCTCTGTTCAGAGATTTTAAAAAGCGCGGATCCAGGATTTTTTTCAAGGGGAAGGAGGGGGAGGTTCATCCAAGACCAAAAGAGAAAATCCTAACCCCCCCCCCCCCCCAAAGTAAACTTCTTTCCCAAACGCGATAAAAAACCCAATATCGGGGGGGGGGGGGATAGGGTGTTGAGCCGCTCTCCTTCACTTTCTAAACTTCATATGTATGGTCCACAAATTCTAAGGAGGGTTCAAGGACATAATTTAGTTACTTTACTGTTTATGTTTGATAAAACCGCAAATTCAAGAACCCCCCCCCCCCACTAACAGAAGCAGGGATCGCTTTTTTCACATGAAAATGTACATACATGCATTTGGAAACTCGCTTTGCATAAATTTGAAAGATAGTGGAGCCAAACATTTTTTAAGTGTACATTAATTGTACAAAATCAAAGTTCTACATACGAAAGCCTAGAAGGATCAATTTGGAAAATAAAAAAAAAATAATAATAAAGGTCGTAAAACTTAAGAAACTCGTAATAGCGACTTTTTATCTCGTTCTGTTTGTCTGAAAAAAAGAAATTGTTAGAGAAAAATAATTCAGTTAAAAGTAGTAATTCATGTTTATTTTGTGAAAACAAGTTGGGTTAAATGAATAAGAGGCAAATGGGTCACAATAGTGAATAGTCACACTATTAAATCAACATTCTCTTCCTGGTACAATGTAACGTTGTATGTGAACACGGAGGTATAAAGAAACCACTCATTTATTGTTATATATCCGAATCAAATCTATTATTTTACAATTTTTTAATTACAGTAATTGGGATTTGGTGTCCATTTATAATAAACTGAAGCATTCTTTCTGATTGCTATCTTTTTATTTCTTCTTTAAAATACTGTCTTTGGAAGACGATTTTTAAAGTGCTTTCTAATTATTATCACATGCATATTATGTTTGCATATACTCATGCAAAACTGCATGTTTTTGAGTCCAGCCCAAGCCTCAGGGAACATGATTTGAACACGTTTGTATCTAATTATACATTAATCATACCACATTTTTAATGTGAAAGTTTTAAAGAAAGTGAAATATTTTCTTTCTGGTTAATTCTTAACACTGGAATGTACGAAAGTATATTATTATCAAGTAAAATAAAAAGCATCCCACTACTTTGTAATTACGAGAAAAATTTCTAATAATTTAAAGGAAAGATCTTGTAATAATACATGTACAATTATCTCGTTATTAGGAAGAAATTATCTCGTAATTACGAGATAATTAATTATCTCGTAGTTAAGAGAACAGATTTTGTTTCTATGAGAAAATTTGTTTGTAATAACGATATAATTATCTCGTAAAACGCAAAGTATTCCCTCAACCTTTCCAAAATGACTCACCAGAAAAATCTTTTTACAAGCGAAAAAGGAAAATAAAAACAGGAAAATTATTCAAACCAAAAAAATATTTCGGTGGGAAAGTTAAGTCAACTTTTTAGGAGTTTTTTTTTTATTATTATTATTATTATTATTATTAATCAATTTGGGAGGTTTTGACTATACTGCAACAGAAAGTTGAGGGAGGCAAACGGTCTTTCAATGAACATTTTCTTACTAATTTAACAGTAAGAGATAAGGTTCGGGGGAAAAGGGGACACACACCCACCCGATACATTTACTACGTACCTGTGACCACATCATAATAATGGAAAAAACCCAGACTTTATTAACATTATTCTTTATTCTCTGAATATACTAATATTTGCAGATTTTTTTTCTGTTTTGTATTACCGAGGAATAACACCGTTTGATTAAATTATTCAGCTGGTACATTTTCGTGTTTACCAAATCCAAACTCTTCTAAGTCTATTCAAAGTTTGTGCATATTTAAATTATTTTTCTCGTAACTACGAGTAAAATGTCACCTAATTACGAGAAAGCTATCTCGTAATAACGAGATATTTTCTCGTTTTATAAGATAATTATCTCGTAATAACTATATATATTTCTTCCTAAGTACAAGATAATTATTTCGTAATTACGGAAAAAGATTGCGAGAAATTTTTCGTAATAGCACTATCTTTTCTCGTAATTACGAGATAATTATCTTGTTATTACGAGAAAGTTCAAGTTCAAGTTCAAGTTCTTTATTTCTTTGCGTCATACGACACATCAGATAACATATATAAACATATATACAATATTGTAAAATATAACAATATGAGAGTGAGCGTAATCAATAAATAGCAAGTAAACTATGTAGGACGTGTTTTCTAACAGGCAACTGTAATTATGAAATACTTAAAAATTTACAAATGTTTCATTCTTCTAGTGGAAGCTTGATATAAATATTTTCCAAGGTTACAAAGTTCCTTTATATTTTGTACACTTAGAAGTTGAATTAATTTCCAAACACTGGATTTCTTATAATAATACTTCTTCAAATACTTAGATCTAAGGTCATGATAAAAAGGACATTGTAAAATAAAATGAAATTCGTCTTCGATAACATTCAAAGAGCACATTTTACATAATCTGTTTTTTCTAATTTCATTAACATATCTACCAGTTTCAACATTTAGATTATGTGCAGATAGTCTAATTCTAGCAATTTGTATTTTGTACATATAATTAATAGGTTTACGCAAGTAATATTGTATACCAAAATTATCAACCAAATGTTGGTATAGCGGGCTACGGGCATTGCTACAAATATTAGAAATCATAGTATGATTATTCACCTCAAGGAATCTTTGTTTTACTAACATGTAAGTATTATCATTGAAATCTGCATCAAATATATAGCCAAGTCCCAGTTTATTAAGTTCATTTTGAATATCTCTGATCCAACTATCATTATTCCTTACTCTTTCTTCCAAGCATGATTTTAGTAGAATATTTTGTGTCCCCTTTAGTTTCAAAAAATATTTTATAATTTTCAATTTTCTAGATTCCCTCATAGGCATTCTTCCAAGTTCGAAATACACAAGATTGTTACAGGCACTTTTTTTTAAACGAAGTAACTTTTTACAAAAGAGACTTTGTATTTTTTCTACATCTGGAGCTTTATGAAATCCCCACACCTCTGCTCCATAATTAAGAATACTACATACATACATTTCAAAAAGTGATATTTGAGTTTCGACATTAAAATCAAAGTTGCAGAATTTTTTGTTCAACGCATAAAATGCTTTTCTTCCCTGTTCAGCTACGTGCTTTTGAGTTATATTAAATTTACCATTATAATTGAAACACATTCCTAGATAACTGAATCTATCTACTATTTCAAGTTCTTTTCCATTGTAAACCCATTTTTCTTCATTTCGTAAAGTTTTACCATTTCTAAAAACTAAAATTTTGGTTTTATCTGTATTAACTTCAAGACCCCATTTCTTATTATAAGTACTTAATTCATTCAATAATGTTTGAAGTGACATTGGTGAGTCTGCAATAAGTACCATATCATCTGCATACATCAATAAAAAAATGGAAATTAACTGCAGTTCAACATAAGGACAATTGTTTTCTAAAAAATGCATCTCACAATCATTAACATATAATGAAAACAATAGAGGTGATAAAACCTCCCCCTGCAGTAAGCCCACATTATTTTCAAGAAAGTGAGGTGTCATTTTTTACTTGATACTAATAAAGGCTTTCGTATTCGAAATTTCGTATATAAATTTCATATATGTTTTTTTTTTATTCCTTTTATTTTCTTCATGGCTATTTTAATAGATTTTTTTCATGTAAATAATCAGTGTGAAGAATATTAATGGAAACCATATTTTGGGTGTTCAGTTATAAATTAACGCAGCATGAACTAATTTTCTATTTATGTAAACTTTATTTTTTTTAATTCAAATATCATTTATTCAAGGTTTGATTATTATTGGTTCATTCTTCAACTTACAAAAAAATCGCCCTGAATCACAAAATTGAAATGATAAAATTTCATTTATCAAATATGAGCAGAATGTAGCTTAACTGGTAAAAGGATAATACTGAAATTCCAGATTGAGAGATTTTACTATTTTTAATAGTAGACAGACCGAGTCTTTTTATCCATCTTTAGTCCGAAATATCTGACGTTTTCCAGGCGTTTTTCACGATTTTGATATTTTACGTGCCTTCCCTTGTTTTCTCGTGGAGAAGGACAACAAAGACCTTGTTTACTTACGAATTAATACTATGACGAAAATTGTTGACTGTTGTTGAATCAAATGACAATGAGCTAGTAATAATCATTCACAGGTCACAATTTGTTTAGTGTGAAACTTTCCTGGGTGAATGCACGGACGATTTCATGTGTACTCAATGCACTATATGCATGTATTAATGCTATGAATAAACAACTCGTTGCTGGCCGCCATTGTGATATTTAGAATGTTGAAAAGGGAAGAAAATAATAAATAATACACATGTACATGTTGTACAGATGTGAAATACAGCACGTGAACACAAAATCACGAGGGGGTATAATTTACAGGCAGGCACGTAGTATCAATAAGAAATTGGAGACTCAGAAAAATACAAATACAAATATTTATTGGCACAAACACAATTACAATAATTGGCAAAGGCACAACACATTATAAGAATCATCAATTGTTCATTCATAAATATACAATATTTTAGTATAGAATGTGAGGCTATACATAATTATAAATCATACGATTATTTGTATAATAATTATGTAATGCAATCATTTCTAGATACAAGACATTTTTTAATAAGTGAGTGTGTTACTTTTAGTATTTCTGGACAATGGCTATTAAAGCAAAGCTTAACTTTTTGAGTATAAGACATATTAGATATTTTTCCTTGAAAAAAATTCATCAAGTTCCTTTCAAAAGTTAACCTATGATTATTGTATTTATGGCAGCTGAATAGAAAATGAAATCCATCTTCAATCTCCCCTGTGTTGCAAATATTATATATGACAACTTATCTGTAAAAAAAAAAAAAAAAAAAAAAAAAAGCTCTGACAATCGAAAAAAAAGGAAATTTGTCCAAACTAGGAAATCCTAATTCATGTGTGTGAGAGTGGGGGAGGGGGGGTATCCAACTTCACCAAATTTTATTGATATCAAATACCATGATTTACCTTAACTACGCTACACTGGCTGATCGAAAAAAGAGGGGGGGGGGGTAACAACCAGCCTTTCAGTGAACATTTTCAATTGTAAAAAGACTTAAGTTACCTTTGGAATAAAAGGTAGGGGAACCAGGCCCCCCTGTCCCCTCCCCCTTGATACTACGTTCCTGATAGAGAGAGATGAGGATGTCATGCGAATAAAATATTTTCATCTATTATCCGGAACTTGGCTAATATCACGGAATAGGTCTCGAGACTTAGACAGCGCTTTTCATATCCGTTTTGTTTTTCAGGTGGGAGTGACTCACAGTCATTCACAAAAACAGCGATAAAATGCCCACCGAAAAGAATATGGACAAGTTTATTCTTTATTTTACAGTATAAAAGAAAGGACACCAGACAATGGCTGGAGCACCAAAGAAAAAAGCGTAAGTAATGATTTGGAAGCGGTATGATTATGGTAGACAGGTAGATGAAGAGGTGGGGTGGGTACCCTTGCAACTGTTGCAGCAGCTGTATAAGGTGACATTTTAAAATCAGAAAAGTGACTAGAGTGCTAAAAGATCATAGCCTTAGTCTGTGCAGAGACATTAATTGGTTTTAAATAGGCCTATATTTTATGAATTCAATAGATTCTTAACCCTGTTTATGTGCACTGGCCATATGAAGCATTTCAGCAGCACCGAGAAACTTCCTGTGTTCTATAGTTAAAATATTGTCCTATTCACTCAGTTTAATGATAGAATTTGTCTAGTCACAATTTTTAACAAAATAAATAGATGATAAAGCCAAGTCTTATCTGAAAGACCTGCAACTTTCACTTTAAAGTGCTGAGTGCTTGGATAAGGAACAGTTCATGCAACTAGTCCTCTACCAGCAAGTGTAATCTGACTCCCTTTAAAAATTAAAAAGGCCATAATTCCATCAAAAATCAATGAAGCAAACAAAATGCGTAGTTGCTCTACATGTTAAACTCATTAAATCACAATCCATTTTATTAACCTGTTAACCATTTATATATTTCTTTGAATAAATTCTGAAACATTACATCATCCTTTCCAAAAGCATTGTTTAATACAGAGACTTACAAATTTTCAAAATATTTTTTATGTATTAACTGAGATACAATATTGAATAGGGATGTACAGTTTTATTGGTATACTGGTATATTATGGTTTTTCTTATTGTGAAATATGTATACAAAAACTAAAATATCTACACTTTGTAAAAAAAAAAAATAAATTCCAGAAATACTCCTTTTTTTATTCATAGCTCAATTACTGTATAATTACCAAGAGTGAGGAGTGTGAAAAATTTTGTAAAACAACTGTACAGTATTCTTATATTCAGAAATGTATTAAACTTATTAGTTTTACTGAATGCAATAGCAATGGAAGTGGTTGTGAAGTCTTTAATACTTCATCTTATACAATTATTTTAATATTTCATAACTCATTTCTTTATTAATAACCATATTTGTGACCATAACATTTGGTTAATTTGTTTTGATTTACTTCATTAATTTTATTTTTTAATTATCTTGCTTAATTGTGAAAAAAGCAAGATATTTTTTACAGCATCATATTAGTTGGAAATATGTATAAATCAGAATGCATTTTATTCTAAAAAAAAATATTGGTAACAATTTTTTTTGTTCTCTCTTGTTAGGGATCTTAAAGTGATCATCATGGGGGACTATAGTGTTGGGAAAACATCTTTCATTGGACGCTACATTGATGGAGAGTTTAAACAGCATGAAGCTGTAAGCTTTCAATTGTATTCTTTCAATTTTTGATTGATTTATCCCTAAATGTACATTAAAATTAATTAGAAGAAACATACACATAAATTTCCTAAATAGCTCACCTCAACAAAATTGGGGGAGCTTATGTAATACCCTCGGCATCAGCATTCCAGGTTAAAGTTTTTGGAGTAGATTTCTTTTCATGTACTTCGAGGCCCTATATTAATCAGAGATGCATGGAGGATGCTTCTAGTGTTTTTCATTGTACCAGTCAAGGTTTCATACAATTTTAGCTAAAGAATGACCAGGTTATTGTTTTTGGAGCAGGTTAAAGTTGTTGGAGCAGGTCTCATTTCCAAGTAACTTATAATAAGCCCTATATTGACCAAACTTGCATGGATGATACATCTAAAGATGCACACTACCAGGCTTTCTTTGGATGCTAAATCTGACCTACATTTTCTTGATGAGTGACCAGGTTAAAGTTTTTGGAGTAGATCTCACTTCTAATAACTATAAAACCTATGTTGACCAAACTTGCATGGATGATACATCTAAGGATGCACACTACGGGACTTTCTTCAGATGCTGGATATGACCTGTATTTTCCAGGTAAATGACCAGGTTAAAGTTTTTGGAGCAGATCCCATTTCTAAGTAACTTTAAGGCCCTATATTGAACAAACTTGCATGGATGATACATCTAAGGATGCACACTACGGGACTTTCTTCAGATGCTGGATATGACCTGTATTTTTCAGATAAATGACCAGGTTAAAGTTTTTGGAGCAGATCCCATTTCTAAGTAACTTTAAGGCCTATCTGAACCAAACTTGCATGGATGATGCATCAAGGGACAAACACTTTCAAACTTGCTTCAGATGCTGGATATGACCTATATTTTCCAGATAAATGACCAGGTTAAAGATTTTGGAGCAGATCTCATTTTCAAGTAACTTTAAGGCCTATTTGAACCAAACTTGCATGGATGATGCATCAAGGGACGGACACTTTCAAACTTGCCTCAGATGCTGGATTTGACTTGCATTTACTGGATGAGTAACTAGTTTAAAGTTTTTAGACAAGTCCATTCCCAAGTACTGCAAGCCCTATCAGACCAAAATTGCATAAATGTTGCATCTAGGAATGCACACTACTAGATTTTTGTTTAGTGTGGGACTTTGCCTTACTTAAAGACAACATTCGTTGAGGTGAGCTCTGTATCTCTGATTACTTATGAGTTTTTTGGCATACACTGAGAACAATTTTGTACTATACATATTAGTTTTATGATAATTTTATAAAATTTTATTTCTCAACAACATGCAAGGTTTACTAATAATAAGCTACAGGGTTAGGTTGTATGAATTAAATGATAATAATTACTGTGGTTTACATTAAACACCTGAGCTGAAAGCTTTAGAGAGATTTTCTGATTGAAGGATGTCCGATGTCCATCTGTTGTCGCCATGTGTCATCTGTTGTCAGTAAACTTCACATTTTCAACTTCTTCTCAAGAACCACTCTGTCATCCTTCAATGAAGATGATTCACAAAGGGCCACAGCTTTCATGGTGAGATAATTAAAAATACAATATGGAACTTATTTAAATGGAATGATTTAAAAATCTTCTAAAGAACCACTTAGGCCAGAAAAGCTGAAAATTTTTTGAAGGCTTCATTACATAGTGAAGATTTTAAGTTTGTTTAAATCATGACTCTTTGGGTTAGGACAGGGCCACAATTGGCAATCAACATTTTTACAAAGAGTAAAAAGGAAAAATTTTGAAAATGTTCTTCTCAAGAACAGCAAACCCATGATTAGTCATACCGGTATTTATATGGAAGGTTGTGTAAGTGTGAATTTTTTTTAATCATGACCTCCTAGGATAGGATGGGGGCACAATATGTGATCAAAGTTTTACATAGACATACACTAGACAAAACTGCAAAGTCAGTATCAAAGAAAATTTAATTTTCATCTTTTCAGAAGTTGTTTAAGATGTACTGTACATGTATCAAATATATAAATATATTACCATGATTAAATGTAAGATTTTTAAATGCCCAAACTGGTAAATAGATAATTGTTAATTGAATTGTAATGATAATTGAAATGTAATCATTTCATAGAAATGCATGAAAGTCATGCTCATAGGTTTAAGAGGGATAAAATTTGCGGGGGGGGGGGGGGGGGGGGGGTCTTTGAAATTGTATTCTGTACATGTGATAAACCAATACTGAGGCCAATGCACTAAGCGACTACTGGGCAACATGTTAGACATTTTGCTTGACATTGTTTGAGAGACAGGATCACCATTGCTATTGCAACCTCTCTGACCATAGGGTGACCTACAAGCTTTTATCAGTGCACAAAAGGTGCACAATTGGCTGCGGAAATTTTTTTGCCTGCAAGAATGTTATTTGAGCATGTTACATTAAAATAAAGACATCAGCAGTAGGCAAAATGGCATTATAATAGATTTATTTGTGTCAATGAGGCAGATGTCATATTTTCAGATAAAAATATTAAGTGGTGCATTTTAATTTAGCAATTTTGTCTAGTGTATATTGGAACATTCTTTAAAAATCTTTTCAAGAACAGCAAAGCCTTCATTGATTAGTCAAATTTATAAGATCAAAGCTTCCTCAGGTATAGCGTAGATTCAGATTTGTTCAAATCATGACCCGGGGGAGGGGGGGGGGGGGGGAAGCACTATACGTGATCAACATATTTACATAGAAATATGTAGGGAAAACAAACTGCTGCTAAAGAACAGCAGGGCCATAGTGACTCAGGTGAGCATTATGGCCCATAGGGCCTCTTGTACTTATACAGACATAAAATTAAGACTTTTTACATGCAGGAAATTTTACTTAAATTGAAACATGTAAAAATATATTATTAAAAATTTGGACTTTTTACAGACAATTGGAGCAGCTTTCTTCCTTAAACAGTGGGGACCATACAATATAGCCATCTGGGTAATTTTATCTCTTACATTTCCCACATCAACATTTGCTGTTAGACAAAATGAAAGAATTTGGCATTTGAACAAACATTTGAATACTTAGGTTTTTTGTTCCTTTATATATATTTTTTCCATTTGCTTGTAGGCTTTAATGATCAAGAAGCAAAAAATGTTAAAAAAATTGATAAATGGCAATTTACCACAAAAGATCTTGCATATGTAACAGGGGTATCACTATGGAAGTATATAACACAACACTCCTGTCAGGGTTCATCAGATTTATTGCACAGTGGAGTGATTATATATATTGTGTTGTATTGTGTTGTATTATGTAAGCCCTGTAAATATCATAAAAACAACAATAAATATAATGTAAATAATTATCACACACAATGTTCATTATTTCACATGAAGATAATTATTGAATTATCATCGTTTATATTTACATTGTCATCAAAGGGAGATAACTCTCGAATATATAAATCTTTACATATTAATTACTCCCATAATATCATAAAAAAATATTTTCCAGATTAAAAACATATAAATCTAAATCTCACCATTCTATGGGAATAGGCTTTCCCACAAATTGTTAATATAGAAGTATCTACATGAATGGTGATCTGTAATTTAATACAATTTATTTAAAAATATTATCCCTTTAAAAATATATCAATTGCTCACTTTGAACAATATCATCAAATATATCTTGATCATCATAAAAACATATAATCTGATTAACATCAAATTACTTCTGTTAAATACTTAATATTGATCTTGTAATCAATAATAAATATACATCATAAAATAACTTTCTCTCAAATTCATTCATTCACTTTAGTAAGTGCAAATGGAAATGGCTTTTGCATACTATAGGATGAACATTTAAAATATGAAATAATATTAGTAACTTACCAGAAATGGAAATCTGTCCAAAGTCAAGAATGTCTTTTTTTAATATATATATAGTCTGGTCAAATCAACCTCTGAACAAAGAATGGTCTTAATAAAGCGGGAAAACTCCAACCCAGTCAATAAAACCAATAGAATCAGACCTTTCAAATCAATAACCAATAAAAACCAAAATAACAATAACCACTTCCAAAACACCTGACCAATGCCCTTAGGTAATATATATGTATGTACAGGTAAGGGAGAACTAAGGGGTGGATCTAGGTTTTGAATAACAAATTTAAATAAAAGTTAAAACATATATTCTGGCAAGTTCTGTTACTTTATTTTTGTACAAATCCAACACTATTACAATCTCCCCCCGGTCGCGGAATGACGTCCACGTCATTCAAATGGGAAACTATAATCCTGAAATATAAAGCATAAAAATACATAATATACAATTAAAACATTACTTAGATGATGCAGACACAAGATTTAACAAGGCTAACTGGCAAACACTGGAGTCAACACTCTCTAAAGTTCCTTGTTCCATCAAACTCTTGATAAAATTGGCTCTCTGTAACCAGTCTGGCTGTGTCTGGCTCATCATCACAAAGTCCTTTGTCCAAGGTGGTTTACTTTTGTTTCTAGTTGATCTCCTTGGTGCTGGTACTGGTACTTGGGTATCTTGTGTTGAAGGCTCTTGCTCCTGATGAACAGTATCATCAGCATGCGAAGGCATATCATCATCAATATCATCGTCAACTTCATCAACATCATCATTCTGCTCTTCATCCTCTTCAGCATGGTTCTCAGGCTCATCCTGGTGGAGAGCGTCCTCTCCAGAATCCATAACTGAAGATTCCTCAGTCAAAGAATGGTCGTCACCATCTTGACTGGGAATTCCTTGGTGTGAATTTTCTGACTGCCTTATAGGGTAACCTATAAAAGAAAATTCGCTATCTGAATCTGATAAATTCTCATTAGAAATTATTGTTTCTATTGGAAATTCTCTTCTTGTTGCCTTCTTTCTATATCTTGGTGGTTTTGATGGAGGAGGTGTAGACTTCTGTAATTTAGAACCTATTGGAAGCAATAAATTTCTATGTAGAACTTTACATCTTCCTTCACCGTCCTCTCGTTGAACTTTGTAAACAGGTATGTCTTTATTAGATTGAGCAACGACTACATAAGGCTCATCTTCCCACTTATCAGCGATCTTATGCTTTCCATCATACGATACAATTTTCACCAAAACTCTGTCTCCGACCTGTACAGTAGCCGCTCTTGCCCTTAAGTTGTAGTTTTCCTTCTGCCTTTGTTGGGAATGCTTTATTGCTGTATTAGCTAGTTTATATGCATCTTGTAGTCGTTCTTTCAATCTGTTGATGTATTTAGTATTGCATTTTTCTTCATCTGACTGCTGAGGAAATCCAAAGATGATATCAACCGGTAATTTAGGCTCTCTCCCAAACATTAAGTAAAATGGCGAGAATCCTGTTGAATCATTTGTTGTGGCATTATATGCGTGAACCAAGGAATTGATGTGACTTTTCCAATCAAGCTTTTGGGAGTTTTCTAAAGTTCTCAGCATGGAAAGAAGAGTTCTATTAAAGCGTTCTGTTATACCATTACCCATCGGATGGTAGGGGGTTGTTCTTGATTTGGAAATTCCTAACAGAGTACATAATTCTTTAATGATGTTGCTGCAGAAATTTGTTCCTTGATCCGAATGTAGTTTTTCTGGAATTCCGTAATGTAAAATGAAATGATTGAAGATAGCTTCAGCAGTTGTTTTGGCTGTCTGGTTTCGAGTAGGTATTGCTACAGCGAAACAGGTAAAATGGTCTGTAATGACTAAGATGTTTTGTACTCCTCCCTTTGCTGGTTCTAAAGTTAGGAAATCCATGCATACAAGTTCCAGTGGCTGGGATGTTTGGATGTTAACTAATTCAGCTTTCTGGTCACTTGTCTTAGTCTTTATACATCTTTCACAGCAATCAATCCAATCGATGATATCTTTCTGCATCTTTGGCCAATAAAATCGTCGTCGCACTAATGAAATAGTCTTGTCTCTGCCCAAATGTCCCATCTTATTGTGCAGGTGATGTAATACAGTTGGAATGGTTGACATGGGAATGACAGATTGATGGATGGTGCTATCTTCTGTTTTCACTTCTCTCAATAGGATGTTTTCTTTGACTTTGAATTTGGAAAAATTTCTGTAGAAAATCAAGTCATTTTCAGTGTTCAAAGAATCCCTATCTGGTCTGGTTCCTAATTCCACTTGGGTTTTCCAGAAAGAAACAGTAGGGTCTTTATCTTGAATAGCTGATATGTCCAGATGATCTGCTATTTCTAAACTTGGCTGCATAAGCTGGCAAATAGCATCATCTATGGCTAAAGTCTCTGCATATGGCTGTCCAATTTGGCATATAGCTTTAATAGAGTCGCTGTCAATGGTTTCTGTGTTGTCGAGTCTGGAAAGTCTATCCGCATCTGTGTTTGATTTTCCCGGTCTGTATAAAATTTTGAAGTTGAAGGAGGCCAAAGCAGAAATCCAACGATGTCCAGTAGAATCTAATTTTGCAGTACTAAGAACATAGGTAAGTGGATTGTTGTCAGTGTAGACAGTAAATTCCTTTCCTTGTAGATAGTCGGAAAATTTTTCAGTAATCGCCCACTTCAATGCCAAAAATTCAAGCTTGTGAGTTGGATAGTTCTTCTCAGACTTGCTCAATCCTCTGCTTGCGTATGCAATGACTCTATCTTTTCCTTCCTGTTCTTGATATAATACTGCACCAAGACCTGTCTGGCAAGCATCCGTGTGCAACTTAAATGGTTTGGTGAAATCTGGATAACCTAGAACAGGTGGTGAAGTAAGCTTATCCTTAAGTAAAGTAAATGCCTCCTGTTGTTCTTGTTCCCATTTCCATTTTGGGTCTGGTTTCTGCTTCCCTCTAGACTTCTTTCCAACAGCCATAATGTCAATTAATGGTCTGGCAATTTTGGCAAAATCCTGTATAAATTTACGGTAATAACCCGCAAAGCCTAAAAATTGCCTAACTTCCTCTGCATTTGTTGGAACTGGCCAGTTTTTGACTTTCGACAACTTGTCTGGGTCTGGCTCAACCCCATCTTCAGACACGATGTGTCCGACATATCTAACTTTCTTCTTGAAGAGTGAACACTTCTTGGGAGAAAGTTTAAGCCCATATTCTCTGATACGCTGGAATACTTGCTGCAATCTGTTAATATGTTCCCTGAAAGATTTTGAAAAAATAATTAAATCGTCTAAATATATAAAACAAATTTTAAGATGTAAATCACCTAAGCATTGCTCTTGTAAACGTTGGTAAGTTGCAGGTGCGTTAGCTAAGCCAAAACTCATTTTATTAAACTCATAAAATCCAAGAGGGCCCACAGTAAATGCAGTTCGTTCTTTATGCTGCTCTTCGATTTCTATTTGGTGGTATCCTGATTTCATATCGAGAACACTGAAGTAGGTGTTTCCTGATAGTGAGTCCAGTATCTCCTCAATTCTGGGCAAGGCATAGTTGTCTTTTACAGTTCTGGAGTTCAACTGTCGATAATCTATGCAGAGTCGTAGAGATCCATCACTCTTCCTGACCAGTACGACATTGGAGGAGAAAGGTGAGTGTGAAGGTCTAATAATTCCTGCTGCCAACAACTCTTTAATATGCGACCTGACTTCATCTATCATAGCAGGTGGAATTCGTCGGTACTTTTGCTTAAATGGTGTTGAGTCATCAAGTTCAATTCTGTGTTTCACTTTGTCTGTTGTTCCAATGTCTGTAGCACCTGTGGAAAATATATCCTGGTATGACTCCACTAATTCTCTGAATGCTTGCTGTTCTTCATCTGATATATCCTCTGGCAAGTGAATTTTGGATATAATGTCTTCTAATTCTGGTGACACTGATGAAGATTCACTAGATGTTGGTCCTGTATCCTGTATTTCTACTGGCTGAATCTCACAAATGACGCTCTTTGGTGAAACTGAGATGGTTCTAGTTGTGACGTTGTTGATGTTTACTGGCATTATCTGATGATCCTCAAACAGATAAGGATGGAGAGTTGCCTCAATGTCAACATCACTTGGAATACAGGATTTGTTAGATTCATGCATCATAACAATACATCTGTGGTAAGGAATCTTCTTGTCAATGTACCCATTGATGGTAATGTTGCTGTTTGGAGGAATGATCACTCTGGATGTCTCTGCACTTTTCACTAAGCCTAGTGAATACCCATTCCTACTTAATTCCTTCTCTCTAATAGCAATACAGCGGAAGGCTAAGTACCAGGGTGTCGTTAAAGCTGCTTCTTGAAGAAATCTGGATCCATATTCCTCCTTTATGACATCTATAAGACTCTGGATTATGTTGGTTCCAATAAGCACAGGAACATGCATATTGTAGTTGCTATTTGGAACAACAAGGAATAAACAATCCTGGAGTCTGTCCAATGTTGGAATACCAAATGGTGTTAGGTTGACACACACATAACCACTATATGGCATCAGTTGTCCATCAGCACATTCTATATTAATAGCCTCTTCAATGGGATGTAACTCTACATCTTGAAGGTATTGATCATAAAATGACTGGCTAATGGTAGATACGGTAGCACCAGTATCTAGAAGAGTAGTACACTGAGTGTCGTTGATGGCAACTGTAATCTCATTTGGTTTTCCTATAATTTCCGTTCTGGGACTCTTGGTCCTCGAGCCAACTCCTCGTCCCCAGGGGTTGACTTGTTGTAGTTTAAAGCCTGGCGTCTGTGATCCACCATTACCCTGCATCTGATTGCAATGTGTCCGACTTGTCCACATCTATAGCAAGTAGGTGGTTCCTTCCTCCTATATCTCTGAGGTTCCTGCACATCATCATGTGTGACCTGAGGTGGAGGTATCCTAGGATTCTGTTTGTATCCTCCTCTATAAACTCTATCTTGTCTACCTCTTTGATAGGATGGTCTAGGTGCACTGAATGTTTGTGGTAATCGTCTGTTGTAAGTGTACTGACGATCCTTAAATCCTTGCATTGCAGTGGTCAGTTGATTAATCTTTGCCTCAAGATCATCAAGTCTATCAGTAGAGTGTTCAGCAGGTGTTGCAGCTTTTGCAATTGCTGATTTCTTCTCTTTGATTTGAGGTTGATGCTCCATCTCTACTTTCCTCACTGCTGATCTGAGCTCATCAAAGTTGAGAGTCTTGTCAAAGAGATGTCCACAAATATCTTTCAGTGATGGCCTTAATCCTTTGAAGAACATTGTCCGTAGCATCTCATTGGACTGTGACTGTGCAATAAGTCCTTTCTGTATGGCTTTGCTTAAAATGTCCTCTAATCTGCAACTCCATCTTGCACATTCCTCATCATCCTTTTGTCTAGCACTATAGAACTCGGACAGGATGTCCTCTTTCTCAGCTACAGTACCATAGATGCTATCTAGTTTCTTGATGATACTTTGAGTGGATGCCCCTGGTCCAAGATGCACTATGACACGACTCGCTTCTCCCTTCAACGAACGTCTAATGGCATGATGGATAGTGTCTGGATGATATGATTCATTGATGAGACATTCCACTTCATACTTCCAAACATCATAAGTAACATCACTCTTACTATCTCCTGAGAAAGTCGATATCCGTGGAAATGGAGTGTAAGGCATATGTTTCCCAGAAGATGGTGGAGGTTGAGCTGTGTTACTGGTAGCTGTGGTGCTTGGAGATTCAGTTGTCTCTGTAGGTTTTTCCTTAATAAATGTAGAGGTCATCCAGTCTATGAAGTCCTGTGGGGTATCAGCCTTAGGCTTCAACTTCATTGCCTTCCAGGCAATAAGCATGTTCTTCACCTCCTCCTTTGTCATCGCTGCTTCTTCAGACATGATTGACGAATGATTGTATGGTAGCAACAAATAATAGTACAAAATATTTACAATTTATATCCTACAGAATATAGTACAATATTTAAAATGAAGCAACTGTTTGTACCTGTAATTTATCTCATGGTGAAATAAAATTGCAAATAATTCCAGGAGGGTAGTTCAGAATGAACTAATAATCTTTGGGGAAGTATAAACAAAGTCAGAATATAAATAGAAAAAGAAAGTAGGATGCACTTCCGCTAAGTGTTGCACTTCCGGTCAATAAATGCACTCAAAATATTTTATCTTATGGCTGAAACACAAAATACTATTTACAACCTGCAATAAAGATAACTTTTAATTCTTTGCACTGTATTAAGCAAGTTTGGTAAGCGTGAAACAATTCAAAAACAAATCAAAAGTATCAGCGAATAATTTCAATACTGAAAACAAACAGATAATTTTGTCAATATGAACTTACTTGTCGATCAAAATCAGCTGATTTTATGCTGAAGAAATGAAGTGCAAATAATCAAATAAACACAAGGTTTTAAGCAGAAATATTTACCTGAGACGTAGGAATCTTTGAGATAACAACACAAGAACACAAAAACTGAATGCAAAGATTGTTGTTGAAGTTTTAAAACAAAATTTAAGTGCTGAAAACAAAAAAATCAAGAATTACCGAATCACGTTTTGTAAACTTCCGGTTTATGAATGAAACGGATTTCGAGCTCGAACGGAATTCGCAAAACAAAACCGAACTCGACTGAAATGCGGATAAGAAACCGAACCCGATCTAAATTGATACGAATGAAATTATACAAACACTACTGTAAACAATAAATAATATGTACAATTTAAAGGTAATGGGATTTTGGGTAATAGGGTGTTTGGGATTAACTACCAGACAATTACAAAACCACTGATAACACTGAAGCAACAATGACCTCACAAAATCTCACGACAAACTCAGATCAACTGACTTGAATACGACCAATATAACTAGTTAATTCAACGGTTGCAGTCTTACTGTCTCGTCTGTAAAATGTCAGATGAAAGATATAGCAGTTAGCTACTAATTAATACTGGGAATGGAATGAGGGAAATGTGTGCACTGTTAATTACACAACTTACCCATGCTCTCACTCTCACTGCAGTTCTTCTTACATCTTAAAGTTCTAATACCAATATGTGCACAACAAAAAAAATGATAACAAACCCAGTTATGACGGACAGAACAGACAGACAATGATCAACTTTGATCTATAAAAATATTACTAGCTAGCTAAATGTAGGCCTATTCAAAAATATAAACCACTGATCGATCGTGAATATTAAATTGTTTACAAAGAAAAAATATATATATTTACATATTCAACTCTAACGGTGCACCAAGTTAAATCTACAGTTTATAAACATGCATGTAACTCACCAGCTGATAAAGATAAATATCACAGATTAAATTATTGCATGCAGTCTCAAATGCACTACACCGGTGCCACTGATGATCCTTCAGAATGTCACTTGTTAGGCGCGGATCAAAGTTTGTAACTTGGGTGGATAAACACAGTCATCACAGGTAAGTTCATGCGTCACTGACGGCCTGACGATCTCCATGGATCCGTTAACGTACCACACACCATACACTCGTCTCCAGTCTGCACTCAAAGCCACTGTGTCCCAACGTGGGCGCCAAAATGTAACAGGGGTATCACTATGGAAGTATATAACACAACACTCCTGTCAGGGTTCATCAGATTTATTGCACAGTGGAGTGATTATATATATTGTGTTGTATTGTGTTGTATTATGTAAGCCCTGTAAATATCATAAAAACAACAATAAATATAATGTAAATAATTATCACACACAATGTTCATTATTTCACATGAAGATAATTATTGAATTATCATCGTTTATATTTACATTGTCATCAAAGGGAGATAACTCTCGAATATATAAATCTTTACATATTAATTACTCCCATAATATCATAAAAAAATATTTTCCAGATTAAAAACATATAAATCTAAATCTCACCATTCTATGGGAATAGGCTTTCCCACAAATTGTTAATATAGAAGTATCTACATGAATGGTGATCTGTAATTTAATACAATTTATTTAAAAATATTATCCCTTTAAAAATATATCAATTGCTCACTTTGAACAATATCATCAAATATATCTTGATCATCATAAAAACATATAATCTGATTAACATCAAATTACTTCTGTTAAATACTTAATATTGATCTTGTAATCAATAATAAATATACATCATAAAATAACTTTCTCTCAAATTCATTCATTCACTTTAGTAAGTGCAAATGGAAATGGCTTTTGCATACTATAGGATGAACATTTAAAATATGAAATAATATTAGTAACTTACCAGAAATGGAAATCTGTCCAAAGTCAAGAATGTCTTTTTTTAATATATATATAGTCTGGTCAAATCAACCTCTGAACAAAGAATGGTCTTAATAAAGCGGGAAAACTCCAACCCAGTCAATAAAACCAATAGAATCAGACCTTTCAAATCAATAACCAATAAAAACCAAAATAACAATAACCACTTCCAAAACACCTGACCAATGCCCTTAGGTAATATATATGTATGTACAGGTAAGGGAGAACTAAGGGGTGGATCTAGGTTTTGAATAACAAATTTAAATAAAAGTTAAAACATATATTCTGGCAAGTTCTGTTACTTTATTTTTGTACAAATCCAACACTATTACACATACATGTAGTTTATATAGAGTAGTTGAAGCAGAGTGATTAGTTAATGATTTCCTGTCTGTAGGATACAGCCGGAGACGAGCGATACACTGGTCTCTCCACGTTCTACTGTAGGAATGCAGGGGCTGCCATCCTGGCTTTTGACATGTCCATTGTCAGCACATTTGAATCTCTCTGGTATGTCTCCTTAATGTAATTGGCTAAAGATAAGGAGAAGAATCCTGTATATACATGTAATGTGAAAATTTTTGACAACTGAAGTGGCACAATTCCTTGGGTCAACTTAAAAATTGAAAATAAAAAAAGACAATAAAAAATAACTTGGTAAATTATTCAAAATATTATGTAGTTTAAATTGTTTTCATTTTAGAAGTTATTGAAATATATCTAGCCTAGTAAAGAACTTTGTAACAAAATTTGTAGGGCCCGATTCATCCCTTTACTGGATGCTGCCAATGAAGACTGTATTAAGGTTGTAGTTGGAATGAAGCTGGATGCGTTAGAGGAAGGTCAACGAGAAGTGACCGTACAGGAAGGAAAGAAATTTGCCCGAGAAATCAACGAAAAAATTGATCTCAGCAAACTGCCCAGTGACCCTTATTTTGAAACATCCAGTAAAACAGGACACAATGTTTCGGAAGTTTTTGAGTACATTTTTCAGTACTGTCTTCCCTTGTCCAAAGCACAGCTTCGTGATGCACAGAATTCAAGTACAGTGTCTTTAAGTGATAGAAAGGGACCTTCTCAAAACAAGTGCTGCCACAGATAGGGACATTCTCAAAACAAGTGCTGCCATCAATGAGGAGATTGTTGTACCTAGTGTACAGTAAAATTCTTTATAAAGTGAATGGAATACAGCTGCAATCGTCAGTTACACCAAGACAAGAGGCATCTCTCAGTTCCTGGGCATCTTTCTAAAAGTCATAATTATTGAACATTTTGAACCATGATTTTCATGTTTGTATAACAATGTATTATGTTTGCAGTTTAAAATTTAACTGCTATATGACATGATTAAACCAAACTAGGCCAGAATTATCATTTATTTGTAGCATTATTTACAGTATAGATATGTTCTCTATTTATTTCATTCTAAATGTAAAACCTTTATTATATTTTTGTATGTTATATATCTGTATTAGCAAAAGTATTTGATTTGGTTATGTGCATTTACATGTACAATGTCATGTATTTACTTCTGAAGTTTTGTACCTACAACCTTTATTAAACCATAAACCCAACTGTGTTACCACATCTGTATGTGAAAGTCAGTATATATGGGTTTCTTTCAGATTTAGACCTAATTAGAGGAAAAAATCATGATTGGTTACAGGTTACCAAATCAACTCTAATTTTCTGCACCGACCCAAATATTTTAATTTACTGAAAATACGGAAATGGTATGTCTGTATATTTTCATTTAAATGTAATGGTTATAGGTTTTAAGGCCATCTTTTTTCATTGTGCCATAATGAAAGAAAAAAAACTAATAAAACAAAGTTCTTCCTAACAACCTTATTTTTTATAAGCATGTAATAGTAAACAGATTATTCCTGGAGCCTAATAGCTGTAAACAAGAAACTTTTCTAATTGTACATGATTGGATGATGATTGCAACAAGTCCTTGATTTCCTACATGTTGATTTTCATAGGCAGATTCAGCAATTTTTAAAGGGGGGTTCCAGTGTGCCCCCTCCCCAAAAAAACACACTAAAACAGAGACATACACACAGGGAGAAAAAAAACCCTCATATGCATACTCCCTTTAATGACTATTTAAGTTAGTTCCTTCAGTAGATGGCCTGAAATGATAAAGCCAAACTTGCCAAAATATTTCGATGATATCAAATTGAAATCTCACATTGTGGTAGTATATTGAATTAAGAAGAATATTTTTTATCATTCACTCATAAATGAAAATGCTTTGCGATTGTCATTTTGTTTGATGCCGTATCCTTATAGCAACCTGCATTTTACTTATCCAACCAAATAAAAACATATTTTTGTGCATTAGGAAAACATTAACAAAGTTTTGTTCTTATTTCTTTTTTGTGTGGGGTGTTCTCCCCCCCCCCCCCCCCCCCCCCCCCCCCCCCCCCCCCCCCCCCCGGTGGGGATAAGCCTACATATGTATACCCCTTACCTGGCCCTTCACTCTCAAGTAAAACCTTGACTTCACATTAGCCTATATATATGAAGGTAAACAGACAAAAGGAAATACCAGGACTATCTAAGTGATCTAGAAAGTGGAATGGACAAAGATGTGAACTATAAGTTTATATTTAAGCGCATTAAAATAAAAATTTTATTCCAGAAGGCACGTTATATCCTCTCTCTCTTGGCAAAAACCTGGAACCCTCCCCCCCACCCCCCCCTTAGATCCACCAGTGATTTTAACTTATTTTTCCTCATAGATCATGATAATGTCCTCTTATTGGATGTGATATTTTTTTAAGGGGGGTGAAAGCTTGAACAAAATAGTAGAATATCTGAAATGTTGGGACTGCTGAATCTTGTAGTGCATGATCTGCATTCAGATTTAGGACTTATCTTTTTTTCAGGGGAGGGGGGTTATAATTTTGTTTTTTATGTATAATGCATTTATGTATTGAATTCCTTGACTTGATGTAATTGCATAAAAAACATCTCTTTGTCCACTAATATCACATACAATGTACAATATAAATAGTTTGCCCAGGAACTTTCATTCACATCACAACTTGGCTACTTTCAGGGGCATTTGTGTTTTACAATGTGTATTTTTTTTTTTGAAATGAAATATTACATCATTTTCAGGAACTCTTTTGTGTCACTGAAATAAAATATAATTTCTGTTAGCCAAGGAGAGTGTTGCTGATCTATAAATCCAACATTATCATGTTCCAGAGCTAAACACACACAAAAGAAAAATATAGGAACCTTGTTTTCAGAATATTTAATAGTAGAAAATATATTTACTGGCCACATCCTAATAATATGTAAAAATATATAAAACACAATTATGACAGTTTTCTGATAAATTTCAAATTGTAAAAGCATAGACACTTTAACATGCTTGAAATTATTAACTTCTCTTAATAATTTTTTTTCAAATTACACAGTTAACAACATGAATAAATATGAAAATATTTGAAAAAAAAACTGAGATTCATTGAAAAATACTTCACGTGCACAGAAACAAATCTTAACTACAAATCCGTATGCTTTGCCCACATTCTATAGACATCTAGAAACTACAAATAAACTGAAATAACTACACGTTTAATGATAAATTTTGCTACTTCTGTATTGATGCCATAACCAACTGTGCTGAACTAACAATGATGTCCTCTAAAACTAATCCACAACATTGATCTGGTTAACTTAAAATCCCGTGTCTCATCTGGAAAATGTCGTGTGTGAGGGGATGTGTGTGTGTTTTAATATAATTAATATGATAAGGTAACTGTATCTTGGCATGAAAAAAAGGCAGATGCCAACAATAATGTCTATCTTTTGAGTCAAATTTTTCATTTGATTGGGAAAAAATTTGATTTAATGCGATAATATCAAATGCAATAACCATAAACTGAACTGTAAATTTATATGAAACTGTCACAATTCAAGACTTGTTTCATTCATGTTGTTATGATAAATTCTATTCCAAAAATACCTACTGAAAATAGGGGCTCCAAATAACATGATATAACAGGCATTTACCCTCGAAGTGTCATCCTCATTCTTTGCCAAGTAAATGATTATCTGCAGGCACATTAATGACATTATACCAGAAACAGTGTACATGTATATGAATATCATCTGTCTAAAAGTTCATCCAACAGCTGATGTAAACATTCTGATAAAAACATTTTTTTCCTACAACCTGGTTCAAAAGATACAATTACTTGAACTATAATACACTGTATATAAGGATACATGCATATACACTATATTTTTTTCATGTACACATAGCTAGAATGACATATTTTGAGTGGTTACTGAACAGTTTGTAAACTGCTGCATATCATATCAGTTGATATTTTATACCATGGCTACAGTCTGGTGGTAAATATAAACTTGTGACATTATCCAAAACACCACTTTACATGTATAGAAAAGTTATTTTACATGTATAGAAAAGATAGCAGTATAAGTGTAGAAAAAAGTAATAAAATTAGGTACATTACGATCCTGTACTGCAAAAAAGTACAAAATACACTGTACATCCCTAAATCTGACTGGTTCATTTGTTCTTTAAGACCATTCTAAAACTGCACATAAAACTGTGCTAAAAGTATGTCAAATTATTGTAACATTTTTTATCTGGTAAAATCTATTTTCATACATATCAATTCACACAAAATATGCAAACTTCATACCAATCAGTTCAAAATGCCCCCAGTAGTGTGGAATGTTTCATTAAAAATGTGCAAAACTCAAAAATGATCTGTTGACTTCATATCTCATCAAATTAACAAAAGAAAATGCCCATGAAATCAGAGGTAAGAATGAATAAAACAAATTAATTCCGTATGAATCTACATAAATTAACTGTCAATAATACACCACCCTCATTCATCGACCCTCTCTGTCTGGAATATTTTGGTGGGAGTCCTAGTGATGACTATTTTGGGGGGTTCCCTCACAGCTTCCACAGGTGTATTCAATGGTTTCTCTGCTGAGAGATCCTTCAGTTCAGTGTCATTGTTATTAGACAAATTCGTTGTACTGTTAGATTTCTTGCTACTGGTGTCAAGTGCTGTATCTGGGGACTCGGGGAATGTGAAGTTGAATATCGGAGCAGTGCCTCTATGGACTTTGGCTGTGGAGGCCTTAGGTAAAGCAAAGTCTACGGAGTCCAATGGCTCAGCATCCAGCTTAACCTCTACACTTTTATCTAGTAAGGGAGATAACTCATCACTATTGGAGTCCGGAGATTTAAACGTAACATTTCTTGAAGGTATATCTATGGAATGAGTCCGAGACCTAGCTGGGGGCTCTGGCTCTGTTCTATTGTTGATTCCCTCGCTCCAAGATTTGCGTCGCCTCCAATTGTGTTTGTGCTGCATTCGGCTTGGAATGGCAAACATTGAACTTGGTTGTAAGACATATCTAAAATATTTAATTTCTATTTAAGCAAATGCATATCAAATATGGACAACATTATCCTAATCTTTTTTCAAAATCAGAACAATTTTAATCTCAAATAACCATTTACTAATAGATTATTGTATGACTTTAAAGTTTTTTATCTTCTGTCAGAAAATGAATAAATTTGATATGTTGACATCAATCATTTTAAAAAACTTCCCATTCTAAACTAGGTTTATACTTAAGTATGGCTATGTTCTTACACAATGTCCCCTTTCTTTAGTTTACACTGTGGGTGTGGGTTAATGATGATAAAGGATAATGGTTTATTGCTGAGTTCATCATCACCTGTAAAATGCAAATAAAATAGCATGGAATAAATAGGATATTCAATGTTATATGGTTAGATATGAAATTTATTTCACGAAGGGACAGGATTTATTTTTATATTTTCAAGTGCAAAACAATAGTGAAAATTTCGAAAAAAAATCCTGTCTAACTAGCGATATAAATGCCATATGCCCATATCCAATTATAAAAACATTGAATTTTCTGTTTATTACATTTTCTTGGGTTCTCCTTTTGACTTTATTACCTAAGAAGTTCCAGTTGTTATTTGTGAAAAGAATTCTTTATAAGAGTAAAATCTTGTGATAGAATTTGAACATCTCATTGCAATTACTGATATTAAAATTTGTTACAAAGAAAATGAATCTACCCTCAATTAAGCATGAAAAACTACAGGCTGCAGGCTGCATTTTTGAGTTTCAAGATTTATCAAAAAGATTTACAATCAATAAGAAGTTTAATCCTCGAGACATTTTTGCATATATACTAGATAATATTCTTTTTCTTCTGTTGGAACAATTTCCTGACAAACAAGATGTGTTTGTGAAACACTGATGCCCCCGTATGGCAGCTTATGGCGAAGGTTAAAGTTTCTCAAATGCAAGTCAAAATCTAGGCCAAAAGATAAAAAAATGTTGGTACCCAAAGAAAGGTCTTGTCTCGAGGAATATACCTGTGAAATTTGAAAGGCCTAGCTGCAACTGTTCAAAAGTTAGGGCGAAGGTTAAAGTTTTTAAAAAGTGAGTAAAACATCAAGGTCAAGGTCAAAGTGGTTGGTATCCAAAGGAAGGTCTTGTCACAAGGATTACATATGTGAAGTATGAAAGCCCTAGCTCCCACCATTCAAAAGTTATGGCCAAGGTTAAAGTTTTTCAAAAGTAGGTCAAACTCCAAGGTCAAGGTCAAAGGGTCATAGTGGTTGGTGTCCAAAGGAAGGTCTTGTCACAAGGATTACATATGTGAAGTATGAAAGCCCTAGCTCCAACCATTCAAAAGTTATGGCCAAGGTTAAAGTTTTTCAAAAGTAGGTCAAACTCCAAGGTCAAGGTCAAAAGGTCATAGTGGTTGGTGTCTAAAGGAAGGTCTTGTCACAAGGACTACATATATGAAGTATGAAAGCCCTAGCTCCAACCATTCAAAAGTTATGGCCAAGGTTAAAGTTTTTCAAAAGTAGGTCAAACTCCAAGGTCAAGGTCAAAAGGTCAAAGTTGTTGGTATCCAAAGGAAGACCTTGTCACAAAGAGTAAACATGTGAAGTTTGAAACCCCAAGCACCAACTGTTCAGAAATTATGGCTAAGGTTAAAGTCTCATAAAATTTTGCAAAAGTGGGTCAAACTCCAAAGTCAAGGTCAAATATGATGGTACCCAAAGAAAGGTCTTGTCACAAGGAATACACATGTGAAATATGAAAGTCATAGCTCCAACCAATCAAAAGTTATGGGCAAGGTTAATGTTGACAACAGACAGACAGACAAACAGACAAACAGGCAAACAGGACAAAAACAATATACCCCCGGGATCTTTCGATCTCGGGGCATAAAAATAGTCAAGATGGTGTACCTATTTCATATTGTTTGTACTTACAGCTGTAGCCTGATGGGTCTATAGACATCGATGTCATCCTACTACGGACAAAATCTGATAGATCGTTGGGGACAGCCCTCTCAAAGAACTGCTTGATGTTGAAGGAAGACTTTTTGACTTTGGTTGGAGAGGCCTTTTGTTCCTTTTTAGTGGTGTGATGTTCTTCCTACCAGAAAATTATTGTCCTTTTAATCATCAAAACACTCATCATACAGATAAACAAATCCAACAGTGGGTACTGTGAAATCACTAATTTGCCAAGGAGGTTAATTTTCCGAGTTAGTTTTCATGGTATGAAGAGTCCTACGAATTCAGGTCCTTCAACCATGAAATAAAATCCCCACAAACCAATTTTTTTCCCCAAACCATGAAAATTTCACCCCACAAAAATGTGATTTTACAGTAATAAGATACTACAATTGTACACGTATTCCTACAAATACTGTTTGCACATCATTTTTTTGGTATAGAGATTGGGGTGTTACCACTGAGAAAATTGGGAAAAAACTTACATAAAAAATTGTTGCATTTTGGTTTTCTGGTATTTTAACATCAATTTTATCATTAAGCTAGGAAAAAAGGATAAGAAAGTGAGGCCAAGATCAAAGGAAAGGTCAAGGTAAAATATGTTGATGATGTTGAATAGCTAACCTCAACATATATCAGCATATGAAGTTTGAAAAATATCTTAATTTGTTTCTTTGAAACTATACTAAACACAAATTTGAAGTCAAAGTCAAAGAAAAGGTCAAGGTCAAAACTGTTGATGCAATTGAATAGCTCTCATCAATATGTATATGCATTTAAAGTTTCATAAAGATATCTTGATTTGTTTCTTTGAAACCATACTAAACACAAATTTGAAGTCGATGTCAAAGAAAAGGTCAAAGTCAAAAATATTGATGCCATTGAATAGCTCTAATCAATATGTATAAGCAAATAAAGTTTGATAAAAATATCTTAAAAACTTCCTTTGAAATTTAGCTAAACACAAATTTCAAGAAAAGGTCAAAGGAAAGGTCAAGGTCAAAAATGTTCAAGCAGTTTAATAGCTCTAACCAACATGTATCAGCATATTAGGTTTGATAAAAATATCTTGAATAGTTTCTTTGAAACGAAGTTTAATATAATTTTAAGACAAGTGAGGTCGGGGTCAAAGGATAGGTCAAGGTCAAAAAATGTTGATGCAGTTGAACAGCTCTCATCAATGTATATAAGCATACAAGATTTGATAAAAATATCTGAAGTTTCTTTGAAATTGACATAATCACTAAATTAAGAAAGTGAGGTCAAGGTCAAAGGAAAGATCAAGGTCAAAAAATGTTGATGCAGTTAAATAACTCTTATCAATATGTATCAGCATATGAAGTTTGATAAAAATATCTTGAATTGTTTCTTTGAAAGTGAGCTAAATGCAAAATATGACAGAAGGACGCAAGACGGACTGATAAACATTATATGCCCCAGCCATATTCATGGCGTGGCATAAAAATATCTTCCTTTGTTTGTTAATGCAGGATTAATGGTTGAAACCAACTTAGAAAAAAAATTACATAACCTGCGTGGCTGCAACTGTTAATTTTTTGCAAATATATGATCTGCCATTATAGGCCAATGTTGACTGACATTTTTAAAATAAATTGTTAGGCCATTAATTTTATGCAGTTTACCCAATCAAGACAATGGGCTCGCAGTGGGTGTAACCAACTGACACAGGATGTTTACTATTTGATGGCAGCTGATCCCATCTCTGATGTTTAGAGGGGTTCATATTTGCTCTGCTCTCAATTTGCATTAACAAACAAAGCAAGCATTTTATTGTTCAAAGCAACCAAATGTTAAGCATTTGCAAATTTACAGAAATGGATATAAGTAAATAAAATCTTCCTATAAGAATTTCCTTCTCTTTTAAGGGGAATCTTTCTCACCTCATCACGTGTGACAAATACACTCCTTTTTTCTGATCTATAAATAGCAATCGGAACCTCCCCGGTGACCTTACAAAGGCCAATGTAGAGATCCCCATACGTCTTATACTTCACAAGTATGTCTCTCTTCACCTTAATCTGAAATAACATAAATATAAATTCATTAGACTTGGTCTCCATATATGGTTTAATTATATCTTTCATATTTAGAAATAAATGTATTTTAAACTATAACATACTTGATTAGTTTGTTCTCTTGAAGAATACTAGCATCATTTTGTAGAAAATCAGAACAATAATGCTTCTTAAAATTTATAATGATAGTTCTCTGAAAATGGACACCTGAGATTCTTCAGTACATTGTGTACCTATGTTTAAGCTGAATATTAAACATTATTCTATGACCTCAAAATCTTCTGTTGGAAGAAATTAGTTAGTCCCTGAAACCTATAACACTACTTGTCTTCAAAGTCTCCATTGTAACTACTACTGAAAGTTTCCTCTAATCCTACAGAAATAAAACAGCAAAACAAAGTACAGAACTAGTTGCCTCCCTTACACTTACACTGAACAGATAAATCATAAGAGTACAAGTCTTCAGTTGTTGGGGTATTTTACACTACATATATGTAGTTGTCTTCAGTTGCTTAACATAAAACTTACACACAGATCACACACATATATATATATAAATTATGACTCTTCCATTGTCCCTCTCATCAGTAATTTACATTAGACAGATATGATAGTACAGGTATTGTATTACCTCCCTTGTATCTGCATTAGACAGTAATTTCGATTTGCCTCTTTTGCAGTTTACATGATATAAATAACTTATGATAGTACAGGTCTTGTGTTACCTCCCTCATAACTTACACTTAGACAGTAGCTACAATTTGCCTTTTTAAATAACTTATGATGTACAGTTCTTAAGTAACTCCCTTGTAACTTACACTAGACAAATGCCCTGAGTTCTCCTCAGCATCAATGCCCAGCAGAAGTCGTACAAACTTGATGAGGTAGCCTTTAGAACAAGTCTGATACAGGAGAGTGTCCAACATACTACAACTGAACACCTGTCCTGCAACAAATGGAAGACGGAAAATATGAACCAAACTAGACCGCATCTCTTCACGTAGTTTCTGCAATATATGGTAGTGAAATGGTTGAATGTCATCATAAAATATCATTAAGTTTGTATCAATGATCCAACAGTCACATAAACCCAGCTAGTGTACAAAATTTTCCTTTGCCCAAATGCTCAAGATTAGCAATTTTTCAGTAGTCCTGACAATCTTCAAAGGAATGTTTAGTAATCTCTATGTTATTTTGGAATTTCTTGTTGGCAACTTTTTCATTGAATTTTGTACACTGGTAACACTACATGCACATGGTTCATATTCCATCAATAATTTAAACATTATCCCGAAAGCAGTATGCAAAGCAAATTCATGTATGTATACAAAGATGAAAGTTTGTCGATTCAAACCTTCTCTAGTCTTGCAATTTTCCTAGAGTATTCATCATGAGGCTGAAACTGCATGAATTTAATGTTGGAGGTCTGTGATATCTCAGTCAGAATGTTGATACTGGGGAATAATCTGAAACCAAAATCAAAAGACTTGAAAAACTGGTATGTTTCTCATTAATAAATAACTTGATTGGAACTGGTATTTATATTATTATTAAATAAATTGTTTCTCAAAAGGATTGAATATTCTTAATTCCAAGTGACTCACTTAAATATAGACTGTACAGTAACGATGGTATCTGCGTCTGTGAGAACGACTTCTTTAGCCTGATTGGAGGATCTGTTTACAATAACTAAATGACTGGCCTTGTTGATCCCTGCCCTCAGTAAATCATCCACACTGACAACAAATTCAAACATATTACTATGGATTTTTATATGGTATTTTTTTATTTTTACCTGAATCCTTGTATTTTTCATTTTATAATGTTACAAGGTTCCTTATCTATAAACCTCTTACCTCTTAATGTTTCCCTTCATCCAGTAGACCATGGGGAAGTTTGCCAGCCAGTCTACATACATACTAGAAGGTCTACAATATCAAAGAGTACTGATATAAAGATGTGACATCTATTGTACAAACAGTAAAAGACACTGTCTCAGATCTCATGGGTAGTTATATAAAACATGGAAGATTTAAACAAGGTACATGTATGTAAGGTGTCAACTTAAATCTCAGTGTCTGGGTAAGTTAACCAAGTCAGATAATAATGCTTCTCCTTTATCTGGAAATTTTTACTACATAAGTATATCACTTGCAAAGGAAATGAATCATATTCACATCAACTCTAACAACGTATCAAAGGGACATACAACATGCATGAGTTTTCTGGCTTAATTTTCATAAAGCTGAGCACATATCCAGACATAACCTGACACTATATTGGGTACATCTACAGTGTAAAGTACTCACTCTTCCTCCAGCATTAAAACAATGGGACTCAGAGACTTGATGCTGAGGAATTTGGAGCGGAGGGGCACAATAAAGTTGTACACGCCCACACAAATTTTGTCAGCTGAGAGGATAATAAGGTGATTCTGCCATCTGCTGTCTCTAGAATTCTTGTAATTCACATGGCTACAGTCCTAAAATATTCAATTGAAATTGATGTATGGAAGAAATCTACATAGTTTGTACATATTAAGTGACTTTCCAAAGGGAGACAGCTTGTAGGCTGGGTCCTTACCTCTGCCCATCTGAGACAGCAGGGATGGCGAGGATTCTTCACTAAGTGACACAGAGTCTTTCTGCACCCGGTCAGGAAAATGGGGGGACAACCGGTCACAAACCTGTACACAGAATTGAGTTAAGCTATAAAGCTCTATAAATAATTATGCATTAAATGTAAAATCGAACATATTCCCTTTTTAATTATACTTTGGTAATAACCATTAGAAATATAAAAGAATGAAACTTTTAGCAGATGTTTATAAACATAAACTAATCTTACTCTCTCTAATAATTAATCTTATATACATGTAAGTATTCATTCCCAAACCTACTTATTTCATGCAATGTAATATGAACAGTTTAAGGACATACACAACGTACCTTACCTACTGATAATTTTTCAAGATATTCTCAATTTAAATTTAAAATGCCATCAGATGTTCGTAGACAAAGTCAGCATGTATCACCAGGGGTTTTGAAAAGATATCAATTGATGAAAGTTCTTGTATAATTAAAAGAAAAATATACAAAAAATACTAAACATATATTCTAGATGTTTTATTTATCCAAACTTGTTTTAGAAGAAGTGTACAGCAGCATATATAGACATTAAAATGTAGCACACAGTTCCTTTAAGAATTGGAACTCTTCAACTCCAGGGAAAAAGACAGTAAAGTTCAAACTACGTTGCGTATGTCCTTAATACATGTGTACCAGGTACTTTCATTTTTAAATTTATTTCAACAATTTGCATAAATGAAAATGACAACATAATCTTTGCAGGAAAATAAACAATCATATATTTGTGGGTACCACAGTGACTACAATATAATTAAAAGACAACTATATATGTAAACATAATAATTAAAAACAATCTATCACTACTAAAAAATATATAAATACAGGTAATTAGTATTGCTTGGTAAAGATTGAAGAATATTAATATTAATAGGTGTTACTTAGAGCTTAAGTTCAATAAATTCTAAAATGTGCAATTATTAGTTCTTTAAATAAGAAATATTGTTTCCAACTTGATATATTTATATTACAATGAACATTCTAAATAACTGAAGTTGTCTGAACAGAGCTGATATTCATCAGACACAAAAATACATGTACCATGTGTGCATGTTTGGTTTGTATACATGTATCTCCTTGCGATAAAAGGCTTAAATATTGTACCCCACCAATCATTAAGCATAAAATGTAGGTCAGATGAAGCATTCAATGCACTCATCAGACAAACCATTCATTAAGGCACCAGATATGCAAGTTTTGATTGGATATTAACAGTGATAAGGAAGAACCAGGTCTGAATTATGACCTTAAAAGGAATTGATAAAGCATAAAATGCAAGTCGGATGTAGCAACCAAAGCCTGCATCACATTTAGCATCAGTCTACAGATGTACCAACTGCCCATGTGAGTTGGATAATCCTTGAGAAAATGTAAATGCTGAGCTTAACCTTGAATCTAAAGTTGTACTAGATGGAATGATGGACAGACAGATGGACAAGATGATTCTAATTCATCCCCCTTTCAACTTTGTTGTGGAGATGTGAAAATATTAACATACACATTGATACAGATATTTAAAATAATGTTTGTATAAAAGTCAACTTCAAATAATGTGAATTTTAAAATCACATATATATATATATATATATATATATATATATATATATATATATATATATATATATATATATATATATATATATATATATATATTAATTGAATGAGTTTTTTCACACTGTAGCTTAGGTACCCACACTAGATTCTGGTAGCCATTCCTAAAATAATGGCTCCTTTTACAGATAATCACTCAAGCATGGACAGTATACAGATATAGCAATATCAAGCATATAATCTCTACACATTTATATCCTAATTCTTTATATCAAGCATACTTTACTTTTGAACCTGTTAAGGATCATCGTGCTGTACTAGAAAGCAGGTTTTAAGCAGCTTTATTCAAAAGCTATACTTTACAAATTCATTTTTTTCTTCAGGTTTCCTTATGATACAAAACCATTTTATGCATTATTATAAAGTGATATGGTTTGTAATTTCGCTAATGCATTTTGATTAGCTTAATATTCATTTTGTCCATGAAATCTTTGGCAAAAATACATGCACTTACATAAGTATGCCAAGCATATCTCATTATCAAAACAGACCAATGTACTAATAGTTAAACCATATCACTTTATTTCTTAAACATTTTACCACATCACTTCTACTAAAAGTACAAATCTAGGATTCTTATTTCAAATTTTCTTACGTAATATGTTTTTGTTTTATACCAAATTACAGCCGTCAGTAACAAGAAAACAAAAGTGAGCTGATTTACAAGAGGTAGACTGTTCCTTCCACCACATAAAGGTTATTAGAAAAGAGTGGAATTCATCGTCATATCAAGACAGGTCAAAAGAAAAAGTTTTATTCTTAAAATTTTAACTCTATACTGCAAGACCAAAAGACTTGAACACAAAGCTCAGTATGAAGCCAGTATTCCATGCACAACACTGCAGCATTGGAAGTAAAGGCCAGTATATATCTCAGTATGGAGTATATACATGTATATGCTGCAATTCCACAAATGATACACACATTTCACATGCTCAATTTAAACATAGTATAAACTGTAAAAATTTTCTAACCAGTTATAGTTCATTTGATAAAATCCTTTAATTTGTAAAAAATAAAAACAAACAGTGGAAAAAGTGGAGAAGTCCTCATGAAATTCTTACTGTCATTAGTTTAGAATTGGACAAAATGATTAATGTAATAAATTGATAGATATATATCTAAGAGTCTAAGTGTGAGCTGTACTTAGATGAGGGATTATATTCCCCTCTGTATGTTTTTTTTACTGCCACACTCACCTGGACTTCACAGTGGGTTTTGCTTGGTCTACAGATAAAAACTGGGGTGTGGTCCTTTAACAAAATGTTTGGTAACTTTACACAATTATTCTTAAAGATATCAAATATTGTCCAATATAATTCTACCTGTATTTAGTTTATATATTACTAATAATTGACATGCTATATCTTTTATCTATCCTTTTAATACCCCTCAAAATGTTGCATGCAATATCTGCTTTGAAACAATTCAGCTTGGTAGAAAAATCTATATCTTAAACTTTTTGATTTTTACTTAATTATAGTAAATGTCTGATAAAAATTTTCAACATGCCAAACCAAGGCCAATGCAGAAAAAGCATCAACTTTTTATATTAAATGACAAAACATAAAAGAAATCAAACATGATAATGTTGACTCTATCATTTTAAAACATGATTTGATGTCAAAAACATACATTTATGTATTATACAATAACAATCTTCCTTCAATATCCAATATTAAAGATATTTTTTTTTATTTTAAAAAAATCATCATATGTCTAAAAAATAACTTACTGACACCAAGAAAGCTTAAATATTTGTACATATTATTGAGATATTAAATTCCTTAAAAATTATCATCACTTTATGTTTTGTCATTTTACTTAGATGACAGTAAAAAAAAATACCATCCACCTATTAAAGAATGCCCTCCTGCCACCATCCATCCTCAAACTCTAGATAAACATTAACATCACTTCATCTCCAATACCAGCCACAATGTTTGTTGTGAACATTGCAATGTTTTGTTGCCAACAATAAAACATGAATTCAAAGCTAAAACATATATTTATTGGCTGGGTTCCAGGGCAAAATGTGTTTTGTTGGACCCAAGAACCAAACTGTTTACCTGAAGCCATTAAGCTGAAAGCAACAGTTTGGTTTGAGGGTTTGGCGAAAAGCATTCTGCACATTACCCAGTCAATAAATGTTTTGTTATACCTTTTATGTAGGTGTCCAACATCAACAAATGTACGATAAATTAGATAATGACTCATGTAGGATCACATCTAAGCTGAGTTTTCATGAATGCAAATTAACTGTGATGTAAAAAAAAAACTCACTTTCATTCAATATCTCACCAAACGGTCAAACATAATATTTTGGGATCGCTAAGACATTAAAAATGTTATGACTTTTTTAAGCATAGATTTAAATAGCTAGGAAACAATGTTTAAAGGTATAACAATATATGCTGTAACAAATCTGAGACAGTCCAACATTACCCAATCCTTGCATGCTTTTATCTTTCACCAAAATAAACCCATACAACCTAAAAATATACCAGCCATGCACAGTATATCACTTTATACATTACACCCACCCATAATGCTCTTTACCCCATGCTCCTGCAAGAACCTACACCATAACAGACTTTCCTTAATCTAACTTTCCACAATGCCCATGTTCCTATCTACAACAATCCGGCCTGTTTACAGCCTAATTTTGCACCATTTCTACACATTACTACACTACTAGACATGAAACATTTTACCCTACTTGTAAAACACCATGCTCCTATCTACTTTTCCTTGATATTCTAATGATATTCTACCTATCTCCCCATCCCTTTACCTGTATCTTAACTACACTAGACCCAACACAGCCTAAACATTACATCAGTCTTACACAACACTACACCCTACACATTACATCTTCCTAACAAAACACCATCTCCAATTGCTCTTCTCTTCACAAATCCAAACCTGCACAGCACAACACCACCCCAATTAATACTTCACCTTACGCATTTCCTCTAACTCTCCTCTTACTCCATGCAAAACTGTGATCACCTCATGACACAGAAACTACACTTACTCTTCACTGGCCATTTCATTGTACATCAGCAATACATTGTGATTCTCAGTTGTGTTTCCCACACTCTCCCCGATCCCCCGCTGTAGGATATCTGGGGTTTCTGGAATCGGCTGGATGGGGTCCGTAATGGAGGAAGAGAAATCGATCCCCATCTGACTGGTGATAGTATTAAACACGCTCTCCTCCCCGGCAGGGCTGCTGTCCAGCTCAAGGTGGTTGTTCTCCAGAAAACGCTGCAGCTCACTCGCTATCTTCTCTGCTCAGAGAAAAAAAACAAGTCACAAATAAAATTCATTTTTTTAATAACATCTATGTTTTGATAAATCAAAAAAAAAAAAAACAAGAGGCCCATGGGCCACATCACTCACCTGAGCAGATTGGCTAGGAAAATAAGCAAAAATCAGTTCAGTATTGAAAAGTTTACGGGGGTAGGGGGGGGGGGTTAATTTTAAACTACCTAATGATGCTATCATATCACTATAACAAATGGCTTTGCTGTTCTTGAGCAGAAGATTTTTTTCCCATATATTCATTTGTAAAACTTTGATCCCCCATTGTGGCCCTCACACAATGGGGGCCCTCATTTGAACAAATTTCATTCTACACTCCCAAGGATGCCTCCATATTAATTTGACTACTCATGGCTTATCTGTTCTTGAGAAATAGATTTTTTCCTATATAATCCTCTGTAAACTTTGATCCCCCATTGTGACCCCATCCTATCGTATGGGGGGGGGGGGGTGTCATGACTTGAACAAACTTGAATCTACACTACCTGAGGATGCTTCCATATAAATATGACCAATCATGGCTTTGCTGTTCTTAAGAAGATTTTTAAAGCTATTTTCCTATATATTTCTATGTAAAACTTTGATCCCCCATTATGGCCCCACCCTACCCCCAGGGTCATGATTTGAACAAACTTGAATCTACACTACCTGAGGATGCTTCCATATAAATATGACCAATCATGGCTTTGTTGTTCTTAAGAAGAAGATTTTTAAAGATATTTTCTTATATATTTCTATGTAAAACTTTGATCCCCCATTGTGGCCCCACCCTACCCCCGGGGGTCATGATTTGAACAAACTTGAATCTACACTACCTGAGAATGTTTCCATATAAATATGACCAATCATTGCTTTGCTGTTCTTAAGAAGAAGATTTTTAAAGATATTTTCCTATATATTTCTATGTAAAACTTTGATCCCCATATGTGGCCCCACCCTACCCCCGGGGGTCATGATTTGAACAAACTTGAGTCTACACTACCTGAGGATGCTTCCATATAAATATGACCAATCATGGCTTTGTTGTTCTTAAGAAGAAGATTTTTAAAGATATTTTCTTATATATTTCTATGTAAAACTTTGATCCCCCATTGTGGCCCCACCCTACCCCCGGGGGTCATGATTTGAACAAACTTGAATCTACACTACCTGAGGATGTTTCCATATAAATATGACCAATCATTGCTTTGCTGTTCTTAAGAAGAAGATTTTTAAAGATATTTTCTTATATATTTCTATGTAAAACTTTGATCCCCCATTGTGGCCCCACCCTACCCCCGGGGGTCATGATTTGAACAAATTTGAATCTACACTACCTGAGGATGCTTCCATATAAATATGACCAATCATTGCTTTGCTGTTCTTAAGAAGAAGATTTTTAAAGATATTTTCTTATATATTTCTACGTAAAACTTTGATCCCCCATTGTGGCCCCAGCCTACCCCCGGGGGTCATGATTTGAACAAATTTGAATCTACACTACCTGAGGATGCTTCCATATAAATATGACCAATCATTGCTTTGCTGTTCTTAAGAAGAAGATTTTTAAAGATATTTTCCTATATATTTCTATGTAAAACTTTGATCCCCCATTGTGGCCCCACCCTACGCCCGGGGGTCATGATTTGAACAAACTTGAATCTACACTACCTGAGGATGTTTCCACGTAAGTTTCATCTTTCCTGGCCTTGTGGTTCTTGAGAAGAAGATTTTTAAATGATGCCATTATGTTTTCACTAATTCCTAATTATCTCCCCTTGAAAGAGGGCGTGGCCCTCCATTTGAACAAACTTGAATCCCCTTTACCCAAGGATGCTTCATGGGAAGTTTGGTTGAAATTGGCCCAGTGGTTCTGGAGAAGAAGTAAAAAATGTGAAAAGTTTACAGACGGACGGACAGACAGACAGGTAGACGGACAGATGGATGATGGACAAAATGTGATCAGAACAGCTCACTTGAGCTTTCAGCTCAGGTGAGCTAAAAATCAAATATTTCTTAATAAGCAAATACATTACATTCAAACATATTCATATGCCTTGTTCTTTGGAAATTCATTATAAATCATCTGCAAAACCGCTTTAACTAAATTTTTTTAATAAAAAGAATCTTCAAATAAAATGTTCTTTTCCAACCCATAAGCTTCAGCATTTTTCAGTGTTAAAATTTACATGGTTTTGGTTGCAGAGAAAAATATCAACCTTATTAAATACATTTATTAATAGCTGCATGACATCAAATCTCTGTAAAATGTATTTAGTTAGACTTGGAATAAAGTTATATGTTGTGTGTTTCTTCACATTTCATGAGGCAATGGATTTCAATCAAAATGGTACAAATTTTACCATGCTTCTTTGCAAAAACAGTGAAACATTCTAATGATCAAGATGCAGATCAAGAGAAAATGACAATAAACTAATAAAATCAAATTTTAGTTCAATATAAAGAATTAAGACTTTCGAAATAATGAAATTCTTCAATTTGATGATGATAAACATCTAACATGTATGATGGTCATACAAATATTTTAAAGTCATTTTTTTAGTTTTGTAAATTATTCATTATCGTGGACAACATGCAATTATTGTGAAGTTAAATGATTTGATGTAAAACACTTGTTATCAAAAATAACAAACAATTTGTTTACCTTCTAGGGTAACATAAAAAAGAATTATGTATTATACACACTTACTTACTCTCGCACTTAAAACAAAATCTTTTTACAGCTATAATTTAATGAACCACAAATCTCCTCCTGAAACAGTTTTAAATTTTAACTCACCATAGTTCTTCTCTCTTTGCTGCTGTTTTTTCTGATTTTTCTCCTCTTTGACAGGTTTATTGGAGGCTATTCTCATGTGTTCTTCTTTGACTTTACTGAGGTAGAAACAGAAATCAGAACCTTTAAGGATATAACTGGGGCCTGGGTTTAGGATCAGTTTATGGTCCATTTCCTTATCTTTATCTTTGTCCAGGTCTGTTTCCATGACAGCAATCAGAGACACACCAAATCTGAAAAGAGCAGAATAGATCTTACAGGACCTGGTCATTTCATTACTAACAAAATGGCAAATATACGGTGCATTGTGTCTACTACTAGTTTTAGAAAAAAAAAATCAAATTTGTCCTAAAGTGTATCTATAATCATTTGCTTCATTTCTCAAAGTTATAGTACATCTCAATGTAATACAGAAATTAAGGGCAGTATTGAACTTGAAGTATTACTTACTTAGAATGGACTTCTGCTGAAGTATGACAGAATGTCTGACCCTCATATTTACTGAAGAAGATGCTTTTACTGAGCTGTATGTGATAGACCTCATTTCCTGAGTGTCGGCCATACAGCTGCATCCAGGGCTCGCTAGCCATCTCTCCCTCACTGTAACATATGTACCACATTCTAATAAACTGTAAAATTGATAAATACATGTGCACAACAGGCTTATAATGTCTCATTTAAACAATGCTGATGGCCACAACTGTAGACTTACTATAATATATTTTCATAATACATGTATATACCAGTAGTACTTAAAATTTGTTTTAGCATTTGCTATTTCATTAGTTTACTGTTATAAAAACAATAAGAGTATTGAAGTATGAAGAAGAAATGTACAAGATATGTTTGTGAAACACTGAGACCCCCATAGGGCAGTTTAAGGCATACATTAAAGTTTTTGTTCAAATGAAGGCCATACTCCATGGTCAAGTTCATGAGGTCAAAAATGTTGGTACTGAAAGAAAGATCTTGCCAACAGGAATACATGAATGAAATATGAAAGCCTTAGCACCAACTGTCAAAAGTTATTGGCAATATTAGTTTTTCAAAAGTAGATCAAACTCCCAAGGTCAAGGTAATGAGGTAGGAAGTGTTGGTGACCAAAAAAAGTCTTGCCACAAGGGATATACATGTAAAATATGAAAGCCCTTAGGCTAGCAAAGACCATTAAAAATTTATGGCCTAGGATAAAGTTTAGTAAAATTCTGCAAAAGTAGGTCAACCTCCAATGTCAAATATGTTGGTACTCAAAGAAAGGTGTTGTCACAAGGAATACATATGTGAAATATAAAGGCTCTAGCATCAACCAATCAAAAGTTATGTGCAAGGTTAAAGTTTTTTGCAGACAGACAGCTAGACAGACAGACGAACAGAAAAATTATATGCCCCCAAATCCTCAATTACATGGGCATAAAAAGTCCTGCAGGATATAGTGATGACAGCAAAGTTAACTTACTATCCAGTGGAGGTGTGCACTAGAAGGGAAACAAGGGTAGACAACCCAGGGTACAAACAGTTATTGGCAAGTAGGGCATAGGCAAACTCATCCTCACATACAACATGCTCTGAAATAAAGTCAAATTACAAAAACTCACTACACCTTTATATCACATATAAACACTTGCTTCTTTAATCTATTTTAATTTCCAATCAGTGAGGAATCAAAAAGACACAGTGTGAACACAAGTGGCCACATATCTTGACAAGAGTAAGAACCAATTTACCTGCAAACTTGACATGGATTTTGTTCTCCGTTCTGAATAGTTGTATGAATTGATTTGTTTCCGGACAGAAATCTTTAACAGCCCAAGACCTCATGATGGTGTTATGATCCTAAAAATGACAGCAAATCATTATTTAATTTATATATTTTAATTTAATCTTTCCTTAATATTGATTGCTTCCTACATAAGTAATACAGAGTTACTGAGAACTTCTATAAAAAATTCAATGCTACAATTCTATGCATTTCTCCAGAACAATTACTGTCCAACAAACCTCTCTGTCCTTGTTGGTGCAGTTTTCTGGGGCTAATATAAAACATGCATCAGCATCATTCATTCTGAAATTTGAACAAATGCATAAATTTATGCAAAAAGGCTACTGAATACACACCATTTAAAGGGATTTAATTCTAATCCTGCACCACATTTGTTACCTGCATCGTTTCAGGTCTGCGGCCTTCAGCGCTGACCCTCTCATGTAAATGACCCTGTTGGCCCATTTAGGATCCTTCAGAATCATATGCATACTGGAATTCAACTCATCAGAGCTCAGCAAGATCACTGTGTATTCCTAAGGGTGAGTGAACATTTAGAATTAAGAATAACCTTTAATCTGTGCAGTTCACAAAATCACATTCACTGAAAATTTTCCACAACAGAAAATGCTTAACTTCAGATTTTATTTCTCATACACAGCTACATGTACAGATGTACAAGTGCTTGGTTGTTTCTATGCTTCAGCATAAACACAAGACATGATGCAGACATTTTTTACATAATATATGTCTACCATTTCATTTCCTTCCAAATATGACACATTATTTAGTACTTTTATATGAAGAAGATAATGTGATGATATGGAACACAGACCTCGTGTTTAGGGCAGGAGTAAAATTCCGTGAGGAAGTCCATAATGGCATCGCCCGCCAGATTCTGGGCACACACTACCACATGGTGATTCTTACGAGCTTGTCTGGTGTTGTATTCCCCTCCCGATTTCTTCCTCTCCACCCAGATAGAGCCAATACCCTCTATCTATACAAGTAATATAAGATTTCTTTGTAATACATACATGTATATATGCCGCAGTATATAAATGTCTACAAAATTTTCTTCATTATTCTGTTTTTTTCAGTATGCATTTTATAAGTTCTCAATACAGGAGGTCTAAGAGCCACAACAAAGTCAAATAATGGTTATAATACTTTAATTAACTATTTATGCTAATTTGACTGATTTTTAATTATTTTTTATCCTGTTTTAAAATTTGATGTCTACAAACCTGTCTTGGAATAAACGCAAAGGCGATGCAGATCATGAGGACCATAAAGAGCTGTCCTAGCCAGATATCGGGGGATATGTCCCCATAGCCCACCGTAGAGAAAGTCACAATGGTGAAGTAGAAGGACTCAAACAAAGTGAGGGACTTTTCCTGACTGGCTCGCTGGATGTGCTGGATCCCACACACACTGTAAATAAAGTACATTGGAACAGCTTTGCCAAGAATTAGAGACACTAATGTACTGATAGATACATACATGGTAAATATTAAAGACACTAATGTACAAATACATTGTACTGATGTGGAACATACAATCAAGCATTGGTATCTTGAACACTGATATCTCAAATACCATGGGAATCTCAAACTAATCTGGAAGTCCCAACCACTTATTATTTAAGTACTTTACCCTTGACATCTCGAAATCCTCGAATATCTCGAAGTTTTTTCTCAATCCTATCCATATTCAAGATAACTAGGTTTGACTGTATAAAGGACACAATGTACAGATACATACGTAGTAAAGATCAGAGACACTAATGTTGCTCCGAGTATCAGCAGCTGTTGAGACATGGTGACAGATATTGTCTGGAAACGTTGTTTGGTCAGGTGAAGATCATTCTGAAATACACATAAAATATTGTCATAAATGCCATCTTCTAAAACAAATAATTTTATCCGGTATCAAAACATAAATGGAAGAAATTTTCACCAAAATATTCTGATTGAAATTTACATTTATTTGCTTTCAAATATTCAAGTGAGCTATAGATGGCAGCAAAGGGAAAAACACCTAATGACCTTATTATACTCAGGAAAGCTTTCATACTTACAAATAATCTCTCCATGGCTCTTTTGGCAAGCCAACAATTAAGGAATGTTGGTACAAACAGATCCCTAAGCAGCATCGGGTATATTAGCTATGAGAGATGATAATGACAATGTATTCAAATAAATGATGAATGCATGCAACTAAATATTGATAAGAAATTAAGAATTTAAAACATTGGTTACACAAAATCTAATTGGTTAACAAATTTCAAGAAATCTTACTGTGACAATTAATGGTAGAGAACAGATGACTTCCAGAATAAAGGCTGGTTTTGTCATTAATTCCACTTTACCCAGCTGAAATAGTATCAACAAGTATCAGAAAGATTCATAAGGCATACAGTAGGAAGATTCATATGGCATACAGTAGAAAGATTCATATGGCTAACAACAGCAATAACTCCCATACAATCTCACAGCTATACCTATTATTCAAAAAGTACAAGTTCAAATATATTTCCTTGACCCTGTAGAATTTCCTTAATTCAACTTAATATTTGGAGAAATGTAAAAAAAAAAACTGCTGGTCTGATGAAAATACATTGACTTGTAAATACATGTATACCTCTACAGTTACTTTTTATCAGAAGAAATGGTAAAAAAAAAAATAAGAATATAAATCAAATCCATCTAATTGAAATGTAAAAACAAGCTACTATAAATAACTACCATTATTTTTTTAATGAAAGTCTGTTTTGTACATTTTTGTTCAGATTTAAACTTCAGTTTTGATATACAGAACCATGCAGAGTAAACCAGCTAATAAATAAAATCATGCAGCCAAGCTACAAGTACTAAATAAAAACAGACTTATAGAGGATGTAACCAAGAGCATCAAGAAAATACTATATTCAATCTTATCACAATACAACATGTACACCTAAGTAACTAATTTGAATAATTATGGATTTTGGGTGGTGATTTTGATGGATTTTAAAAAAAATTGCCTAAAAGGTGAAAAATAATCAAATTTCATATTATAATTCACCACCTAGGCATTTAAAAATATCGAAGTTATTTAATGAATACATGAACATCAACTTAGTTCATATATGTTATGAGTATGGGACATAAGATGTTGAGTATTATATCATCCATTTCATGTATATAAAAGGTGCTCAACATACAATGTATGTCAGCCTCAGTGACATTACTATCTTACATTAATTTTTTTTTTTTTGACACGCACTTAGTTGTATTATATGATTTATAAATTAAAAAGATAGCTGTTTTAAAAATAAAATGCATATACCAAACTTAGTAAGAAAACTTCATGACAATCAAACAGCAAATAAAGTAATAAAAAATATGCATGTTAACATAAACATTCAGAACCAAATAATACACATTCAGTGATGGGTAATCTATAAATTCCCTAGAAAATCAGAAAAAAATACTGCACAAGGAATTACACTGCTCACTTGATAAATATAGATATCACTTACATATACACTAAAATAAGTGGAAGTTTGACTTCCAATCTTTGAAGTCTCTCCACTAGAGTTATCTTTCCTTGTCAATATAATACTGGTAATGTGACATTGTAGGTGGAATCCCAGTGTTAAACTGTTACTAAATTTATGCAAGAGCACACTTTGCTCATATAAAACAAACTCCAGAAAAAATTCCCTTTAGAACATAATGCTGTCAAAACATATTAGCACCATGCTTATTCATGTATCCATCTACAAATGTAAGTGAGTTTATCGTCATCCAACTTGAAAAAAAATGTTCAAAAGTCATGCCTCGTGTTTTTCATCTCTGAAATAAAGCAGCTCCTGTCTCTCAGAAATGTCCAAAACTGAGAGGGGGAAATGAGGTATTATTTGGTTTTGATTATGTTTTGATTTGAACCTCCTAAGAGTATTTCCTCTCCAGGGGGCACAACTCTTTCTAAAAAAAAATCATATCCAGTTTATTTCATTCTTAACATAATAATTAAACATCTTCTTGACTGACAAATTAGCATCTCGAGAGAAACAATCTCTTTCCTACTTTGATCAACCCACCCCCATACTCCATTTTTGGTTACTTTGCATTATGTTAAGCATACTGCCAAGCTTGACCTTTTTATAAATATATAAGGATAAATATATGAATCAACAACACACACACATTGATCAGTATTAATTGTACTTACAAAGTATTTGTGACTGAGCATACCAACATAGATGTACTATCTAAAGGGATTACGTATTGACCAATAAATGGCCAGATTTACCTGTGATCTGTTCAACCTAAGCTGTAAAGGCACATATTACGTAAATATTTTTAATCAATCTCTTTTATTTGATTCAAATTTTAATTCTGTTTGTAGATACATGCACTTCTTTTTGCTATTCATTCAGTAATCATTCTCACTTAACCAATAAGGTTTCTGATTTTGCACTGAGGTTTAGATATATATACATGATTGTAAGAAACTCCTAGCTGGCAAATGAAATGTAAACAAAATTAACTTTTGGTAATGTGTTAACAATATTTTAGTTATAATGATCTGTAATTAGTGAAGCCTCTGAAAAAATGTAAATGTTTACAGTTATCACACCTTGCTATAATGTAAAAATTAAAAAAATTTCAAACAAATTACACAAGAAAATTGCAACAGAAAAAAAAAAAAACAGAAATAAAAACTCACCTTAGAAATAAAAATAAAAAGCAAGGCTTTAGAAAAGGTGAAAATGGCCAGGATGACTTCTATAATCCAGATGGGCTCCGGGCGATGTACCCAGAGAAGGACTGGCCTAAAGAACACAGGCATGGTAAAAATGTCAACATATACAGTAAGGACAGAATACAGGCCTAAATAACAACAGGCAGGGTAAAGCACCTATATATCAAAAAGTAATCTTCTTATTCCTGTTTGGCATCTGTATGCTTCTTGAATGCCATATTCTCAAAAACATTTATTTATAGTAATATAGGATTTTTAATTCAACTTTCATATAATTTTCTTTAATATAATATTTATTTATAAGACAAATTTAGATCACATGTAACCTTGTTGAAATATGGTAAAATTGCTAGTTTAAAATAATAACTCACCACCCGAACAATGAATTATTAAATCTTATATGAATATTTATTTGCATTCTGCACGACTGCTGACATGTGCACTTTTAAAGATTGATTGAGAAAGACTATATATTTAAGTAATTCTTCCCAGCCAATTCCTTAATTAATAGGAATACTTCAGGTCTCTTAAAATTTTTGTTTTATATCCGGTTTGTTACTTTTGTTTCCTGAATGATTCATGCATAACTTTTGAATTTCTGAACTGATGTAAAACAGAATCAACATTATCTGTATAAGAAAGCTCCTGTTTTAATTAAGTTATCAAATTTTTCAGACCACTATAAGGAAGCAAGTTTGAAGAAGCTTTACAGTTTCTTAAAACAAAAATTAAGCACATTAAAAGACTTGAAAATAAAATTTAATAGACTTCTACTTGGATGTAAAAATCTTGAGTGAAAAAATAGCTCAAAATCAACTGCAAAACATACAAAGAAATTATTGTACAGAAACTTTACTTTTACTTTATAACACTACACACCATAATAATGACATATTAGTACTGGCCTTAATGAACTTTTTTTTCAAAATTGAATATCACTGAAGTATTTGTATAATTCTGTGAAATACTTGATAAGCTTTAAGACAATGTGTTAATTCAGTAATGACTCACCAGTTGATTTCTGCAGAAGAAAACTTCATGCCATCCTCATCATTATCAGGGTAGACCTGGTATGTGTTGTTCCCCCCACATGGCAATCCCCCACTATACAATAACAATCAAAGGAATTCACATTAATGCAATGTCAAAAAGTTAAATTTGTGTTAAAAATATATCTTTTTATGGTGGTATACTTCCTACGAATTCTTTAACCCAGTTCTGAATGTTAAGTCTGATTATACAGTTGAACTTCCGTACCTTGAGCATCAATACCTCGAAAACCACTGATATATTGAGAAGTAAATTAGACCCACTCACTCCCCACCCCCCTTCAATTTTTTCTTTATGTATTACATCCTCAATATTACAAATCCTTGAATATCTTGTATAAGTTTTTTCTTAGCCCACTGAGTTCAAGATAAAAAGGTTTGACTGTATAATACTTTCTAAGTTAACTGTCTACTCTGTGGAAAGGCTTTAAAATTTTTATCAGACACAAAAACTCTACTAACCTTATCTACCTTTTTAAATCTTATGATTTCATGTACTTTCAAACATGGCTTTGGGTGAATTGAATTTTTAATATTTGGGACAGGAAATAAATTAACCCCCAGACATAGGTACCCCTTTATTCCTAGGTAGACTGCACAAATCCATGTCAAGTACATTGTCAAAGTAGGAGACATGCAATATCAAGATAATTAACACAAATGAATGTGTAACCCTTCAACCACTGACAGCTTTACACATTAATCAACTCTGTATCTGATGATTAAAGCCAGTTTTACATTGTAAAACACTGTGAATTTTAATCCTACTAAGAGGAGATAAATACTGGTACTAAAGAACCAAATTAAGATTTCTTTATTGGGAAACATTTTTGATCAAAAGTAAGTCATTCCTGGAAGTCACAGTGCTTTACGGACTTTGAGTTTATTCATGTTTTAACTTTCCAACTGAGCTTGTCACAAATATTGCCGTTTCCTTCTGGATACATCTGACACCAGGAAAAAAGTGATATATAAATCATTGATCTATTCTCCTCTTAATTTACAATCAATAGGTTATAAGTATAATATAGCAATGTTTAAAATTGTTGATAGCCAAATGTAGGCACCTACAAAAAAATTAACTTTATTTGTTCGAATATTTTACATACATGTACCTATTTAGAATTTACAGACCAAACATTAAAAAGAAAGATCTCAATATAAACGAAATATTTTTTTTAATTTAAAAATTTATCCAAAGAACCATCTCTTTGGCAGGCTGGAAGAAATATCAATAAGACCTTCATCTCCTATATACCAAACTTATTGCTACCATCAAGTCTCCTTATTTCATATATGCATGCTGAAAGTTAAAATATGATCTGTGAGAATGTAAAATGTTTTCCAATAACATAAAGAAAGCATCTTGCATTTGTATGACTAGTGGCTTGATACACTTCCTTTATATCTCCTACATTAGTGGCATAACCTACCATGCATAAAATTCCACGTTGTCGAACTGAATCCTAATAATGTATAGTACACACAGTATTAGCTTCACAATTATGTCAAATAGGGTCGATCCAAGTCCTACAAAATAATATAAAGCATTAATATACATGTATACTGTATACTATCGAAAATTCAAATCCTACAAATATAAAATCTCTTATTCATACTGATGTCAAATAGAATCCGTGTTATTTCAAATAATCTTAACCCCACAAAAACACTAAAGTGGATTGAGCCAAGTCCTTGAATACAAACCAATACATGACTCCACAAAGTAAAATGAGTAAGTAATATTAGTGAACTGTAGAACTACATGATCTACGGGTATTTAGAATTTTACTTAAAAACATCCATCTAGTAAGTAAATTTTGTGACATTATAAGTAGATCTGAGCTAGAACTACCAGTCAGTTTATAGTAGATGTTCTGTCTAAGGGAATCAGGTACTCCTCCCATGTCTGAAAACTTCTGGACAAATGAGGTACAAAGATACACTGTCTTTCCAGTCATGACCTTATCAGAAAACTGATAAGAGTTGAAAAGGATCAAAATTCTATAATACTGACCACTTGTCTAATGCAAGAAAATTGGACCCACATATGACACAGCATCATCATTTATGGAACTTATTTCTAATTTTGTAATTTAGACAAAATTATATACTGTCAGAGACATTGACCACTTTCTATAACAAGTTATGGCCTTGGGAAGACCATTAGAATTAAGAAAATCTTGTCAATCTTTCACTGGGCAATGACCTGGCCAGAACAAATCAGATAAACAAACACCACAGAATCTGAACTTGACACTGAAAACTTACTTGTTCCAGCATTTCTGAATAAAATTCTTCTTATTTTCCCTTTTAAGGACAACTCCTGTGTCAAAACCACTGGAGAATTACTGAAATTATAAAGATCCTATCTAATTACAGAAAGTCTTAGCAAAGGCTCCTATATTGTGATAGGTACAATTTTGAATTAAATTATACATAAACTAAATATCGTTTTAATGAGCACAACATTTAATACATAAAAAAGCATGCACATTTTTACAGGTAATTTTTTGCAGAGCTACCAATCTTTAATATGCACAAATTACCTCCAGTTACATAAAAAAAATTTAGTTTACATTTTGCATTCAAATTCCCTATTGCAAGCAAGTTTTAATGCATTTAAATTATCAGTTAATTTGACATATCTTTTTACATCAAAAATATAAAAGTATGCACTCTAAATAAAATCAACATATCAGTTTATATCAGCTTCTAGTGACATGAATTTTTGACAGATCTCTCTGTCCGTAAAAAAATTAGTAAATGATTAATAGATTAAATTAAACAAATAAACACAGACCTGTACCAATCGTCCTCATCCTCAGAGTCAGAGGCATACATCCATTTCAGATCAATGCCGTCACAGACGTGGGGCTCAGCAGCCATGGCCCGACGTCTCTATAAACACAAAGAAACATCATCAGAAACTTTAAAGAAATATCAATAATCCTTAAAAGGCAATCTTTACTCCATAAGAACATATCAAATGCTCAGTAATTCCCCTTCCTTTCTAGTACCTTTCTACGAAAAAATCTATGCATTTTGTACTTTACTGTTGTTTTGCACTGTATGAGAAAAAAAAAATAGGGGAATAAATTGTACTTATAATTATAAGCACACATGTACTTTGGAAGGACTAATAGCTGGTGTGAATACATACTTCCTGATGCAGGTCCTTGTTGCATGTTTGTAAAATAGATGTCTATTAATTATTTAAAACAACACTCAGAATTTTCTTGGTTGTGCTGAAGAGTAGAATAAGATTTGTGCATTCTTGAAGCTTAGAAATGATAATATACATGTATGTTTAAAGCTTGGACTACTTTTATCCCAAAAAATGAATTGAATGCCTGTTTATAAGCTCCAAAACATTTTTCAAACTGTTCCAAAAAAAAAAATTCAAAACATATACATGTATTTCTGAACTTTGAACTCAGAACCACAATTTACCAAAGACCTTTCATCTACCAATGATATTTACCAGAACATGTAATAAAGAGACTAAAATTATAGAATACATACATTATTTATCAGATATGCAGATAAATACAGAGTCTCAAGACTTTGGATTCTCCACCCTTTCCTTGTCATCAAAGTAAAAAAGAACATTTTTTTTTTTTTTGTAAATTGACAGCTAAATGCTTCACATTACCGCAGAGACCAATTCCTTGTTTAGCAAGCTTAATCTAAATTTCCACTGTGCAAATAAGAAGTGCAATGCATTTTTAGTATGTACTCAACAGGTTAACAACCTAGAACTTCAATATCAATTATCAAGGAATTAAAAAAAAATATACTAGTAAGAGAGGGAGACAAAGGTCTGTGTAATTATATACGGGGAAGAGAAGAATTTATTATAGTTAGACTTTAGTCTGATGGGGAGATTGTATATTGGGGCAATCTTTGCCTGTCCCCATGCAAAGCTACAGTTTTAAAATGTCACACATTTCACCTTTAAATTGATATATTTTAGTAACATGTATAGAGTCACTTGTTCTCATATGTTTCCTCAAATCAAACATGTTTATCCCACGACACCAGCTCTCTAATTTTGGTACGAACTTCTCCATTCTTATTATCATCTAGCACACTAGCCTGTAATTGTGTTTGACATAAGCTTTGTTTAAAGTTTGATGCTGAAATAAAGGATACTGTGCTGTAGTATGAAATTGAATCCCAATGTCAAATTTATCTTAAACAGTGAAATTTGTACTGCAAAATCCACAATCAGTCCACATCATCTGCAACAATATACATGACTGCATTCAGATAACCAGGATAACAGGGAATAAATGTCTTCCAATGCTACCTTGTCGTTTCCAGAAGTTAGAAAGTATTATATATTTTATGTAGGTATGGTATGTAATATTTTGAAAATAAAACAAAATTATGAAATGATGATTTTTTTTTTTTGTATTTTGTGATATTTCTGGATACTGATATCTTTAAATTTCCTGTCAAAATCATTAACTACCGCATATACAGAGAACAACAGGACATTATGACAAATAAACACGGCACTCAGCATGAGTTTCCTATCCCTCAGTGGCAAATTTTAAACAGCGAATATGACGAAAAAAATTAACAAAAAATATGTTTCCTTATCAATTAAGTCATAAATTTCACATAAAACAAAACCACATTAATATTTCTATGTAAAACATAAACAGGAAATTAAAGAGAAGCAACCGGTGGCAGAACTATTACACATTCAAGGAAATATTACAAATACTATAAGGTTTAAATTGATAATCATCTTTTCAACTTGACATCCTTTAGGAACATGTCATAGTTTTAATCATTTCCCTTGAGAGGACATAATATAAAGTTGGTGTGATCAAAGATAAAAATTACTGAAAATGAATTGATTTTACTCCATTTTTTTTTTTTTTTTAGAGAATCACCATACCCATCCATCTATCTGAACAGACAGCTAGATAACAGTCCCCTTTCCCTAAAATTAAGAGAGTCTTTACAAAACCCTGTTATTAAACTCACATTAATTTCAAGTGTTGTTACTTTCTAACTTTCTGTGTCATTTTTTTTTTTACATCATTCTATAACTTTTTTAAAAGTTTGTGCCCACCTCCTTTGCTAGAAACATCAGGTGACTGGATCTAGTTAAGGCATGTATAGATAATTTAAAGGCTAGATCTACACTTGATTAAAAACATACACAATATACATGTACAAGGCTCACATAATGTATATCACAGACAGACAGTAGTGTTCACTATTGAAAAATATCAAAAAAATATTTGCAGAATTGCATTACTAATTCCAACATATTCTGTAAAACATGAAGTAAAGTTCCACAAATTACAGGGACTTCTTGATATATACAGAGAGATGCATGCAGTGAGTTTTCTGATGCACATTAACCACTGATGATTGATCCTCTCATCACTTACTTTCAGAACAACTCAACAAATAAAGGATATCCAACAGCTTAATGTCCTCTGAAACGTGCCTTCATAAACATTTCTTTCATTTCATCTCTCAGGATGGACATTCACAAGAACTCACTACAGTTGAATGATGCTATAAGTGATATAATGCACTGGCTGTCAAGGTATTCACTACAAGACATGGTTACTACTACTGGAGAGCTGCTTACTGTCCCTAACACTGAATTACTACAGACTGAGACTCCCTGGCACACACTGGACTTCTTCCCTCTACTGCACAGTGAGTGCATACTACTACTACCCATGAACATTGATGAAAGAACACCCAGCCAATAATTCCTCATAGTAACAGACTTCCTCTGATATTTGTGCCAGTAAACAGTTTCTTTACAAATTCAGATGTCGATAAATCAGCATACTAGGCTTTATCATCAATGACAGCTATGCTAATTCATGATTTTTTCAAAATAATAAATAAAGAAAAGAACAAGGAACAAATTAAAAAGAAAATGCCCACTTCAGAACAATCCACAGATAATTCAAACTATACAATTTAAAATAATAATATAATTATACATCTATTAAAATAAATCTATGAAGCATTTCTAGTTATGGAATTCGAAAAGCAAGTACCGAAGTTGATCAAAAAATATACAGTTTTCAAAATTTTCAAAATACCTGTCGTAGACCCATGTTGAATGGTTAAAATCAGCCTTTAACCAGATTTTATTAATGGCTGAACTTTCATCAATAATGGCTTAAAAGGAAAATAAAAATGCAATCGCAAATGTGATTAATTCCCACCAGCGTAAAACTTTACCTTTTACGCCCATGCTAAAACTCGTAAAAGCAGAATTACTCACAGGTATGACACAGAAGAAAAAAACCCCTGAAAATATTATCTTCTACCAAGGTAAAAATAAATCTACAGATCTTAAAATGGTTGATATAAGAGGTCTTAAAATTACCTTGTGTTAGCAGTGGCAGATTGATCCCTCTAAATGTACTGATGGTCTGTAACAGAACAGTTGCTACACACAGAAAGAGAAGAGAAATTCCTTCTTTTCAATGCCCTTCATTCTGTGTATGATGTATCCTTAAATTGCTATATCCCAAACATAATGCCTGTAAACATAAAAGATGTCATTTATATTTCACTTTCATCAGACATTTATTTCAGCCAAGTAATGATATTTAAGACCTTTTCTTCACCATCATAATTTATGAGAAAACAAATAATTCACTTTCCACTGAAGTTTTCCCACTGAATGTCACTATTCACACAGATTGTACTGTCCTTCACACACTTGTTAATGTGAAATATTTACCGGTAGTAAACATTACAATAAATCAAGCTTATATTTTTATGTACATGTATTTGAAAACAGACAGGCCAATGGAAGATTTTCCAATGAAGCAATAAATATTTTCTACTAAAAACCCTATTATCATTTGGTATCAACTCAGTAATTTTGTTTACGTCTACACTTAAAAAACTTCAATTGACCTATTTCAGCATGTTCAACACTTAAAGTTTACTTAGTGCATAGCATCTAGAGCTACACTGAACTTTTTATCTTTGTGTTAACAATGTTGAAAAAACATAGGAAAGTGAATCTAATTTATAGCATAAAAAAGTGAATGTTAAGAATCAATACCTTACACAATATGTACAATGTGCCTAAGACAGTGACTGAAATTAACTAAAACTTAATTACAAGTACTATATCATTAATAAGCATGATAAGGGTCACATCAACAAAACAAACAAACAAAAACAAAATAACACTACAATTTTTAATGATTAAATTTATCATGACATTGTATATACAGTAAATAAAGCTGACATTTTCTCACTTTTCTCCAAGAATTTTTGCTTAATTTCATTTATTGTCCCACTAGATTTTGAAGATGCATTCTAAAAGAATAAAAGTAGACATCATTTCTAATTAGGATTCCAGCATTAATGAATTATTCCAAATGACACTTTCTTTTAATATTCTTCCAATTGTCGTCATACATGTAAAAAAAATTCAGAACTTAATAGGTAAATCCTTTAAGTAGGTTGAATTATACGTAACATATCATATAAAAGAACTAGAATGGCCTATCTAACATGTGTCTTATCAGCATATTTATAAATATGTAGGTTACTATATGCAAATATTAAATTTTATATTACTGTACAAGGAAATGTAAGAAAATAAGAAGTCCATGGGTCGATCATAATGCTCTCTAGCGTCAACATTCTCTTCCTGACTTATGAAATTTTAAAATGTGTACATGAAGATATTAAAATAAACCTTTTATTGTCATCTCAACTTAAAATCCAAGATTTCAAAAATTTTAATTTACAGCATTAAGCTTGAATGATATTCAACTTTTTAGGTAGCGGTAAGCCTTTTCATTCTTCAAAATATCTACATATTTTTACAAAACTTTGTCCAGGATCCGAGGCCTTAATTCCAACACACTCAATGTATATACCTAAATTTACTATTAGGATAATGACCTTATTTAAAACATATTTACAATATACAGTTAATATTCAGTTGAACTTTGGACCAAAGTCTTTGGTATCTCAAACACCAATATCTTGAATCCCATGGATATGTCAGTGACCTGGAAGTCCAAACCACATATTCTTTAAGTATTTTACCCTAAGTTGATATACCTTGAATCCTTGGATATCTCAAAGTTTTTACTTGGTCCCATCCCGTTCTATATAACGAAGTTTGATTGTACAAAAATTATCTAAAATATGCAGACTTGGTATTCTTCATTTGATTTCATCAATAAAGTGAACTGAATTACAGTAGATATAACTGCAAAACATTAGTAAAATGTCATATCCATAAGTCATTGAATTTAGTGTTCAGTCATGACAACCTATAAAAGTAATGACTATCAGACTTTAGATCTTGACAACTGGATATAAATCAAACATGTCAAAGGGAAGCAAAAAAAAAAAATGTATTTATGCAATAGTGATTAAAATCTCATTAATGATGGTGTTAAAATCAGAACAATTTTTACCTTTCAGGGTAAAACATGTACATGTTCTAAGAAATTCTGACCTATAGCTTTTTAACTGCCTCACATTACACTAATCTTTATTCCCTGAGAAAAACATTATATAATTATGTAGCATATTACTCACTCCCAACTGCAGCCAGTCACTTGTTACTAATGTCTGGATTAGTTTAAGTTTTATTTATTGATACAAAATTATTTTCCTTACTTTCTTGGATTTTTTCCCCAGTCAATAAACTATACATAAAATATTTAAATCTATGTAGATACCATTCAATCTAGCTTCACTGATGTCAGTGGTGTGGAAATAAAGAGATGAACAGCATCATGAGCATGTGAATAGTTCTTACTCTGAAGTTATACTAAGACTACCGAAGTGTTATATTCATTGTTAGCAAATCAAACTTTAGCTCAAATATATGTAAGAAAGTACTTGTGTTTGGTGCAATCACGCACAAGAATTATGGATTAAGTATTTCTAAGTAATATACATGTATTTATACATGAAATTACATGTACTACTGGTACATCTATATAATATGCATGCATTTATATAAAATTACATTTTTGGGGTTGTTCATAAATTGATGAAATAGGACATAAAAGATATTTGCTCTAAAATGCAATTATATATAAATCCAATTGAAATAAGCAAGCAAGCATATACTATACTCTGGCAATATAAATGTATGTCTCTGACATCGGACATATTCACATTTTCAATACACTTATGCCATTTAAGGTAGGTTTTTTCAGTAAAAAGTAGTACCCTTATATGACCGCGTAGATTGGGTCTAAAAAGATGTGTTGTTGATCGGTCGGGCAAGAGGGAATGTTGGCAGGGAAATGAGTGGCGCTATGGGCCTGAAGTACTAAAGCCGTATTCCTAGGGCTCTTCCCAAACACACATATAAAAGTCCAAAGTAACGAGGGATTGGTTTCCGAATTTATTAACAAGTCCCAACAATGGAAATGATTAACATGGAACAACAATAAACAGTAACCAGTTGGATATGGCCATAGCCTCCAAACTGTTAAAAGTAGATATAGTTAAAACATGATGGGGAACGAGTCGGACGTGGCCGGTAGTACACCCAGCCTCCGAACTGTTAAGTAAAAATTGACAATGGTATTTAAGAGGAATTGAACAATGAGTTAAAAAAGACAGGTGTTGACAATGAGTAAAAGTGACACAGGTAACAACAAATGAAATGCTTTGATGGCATGGACATAAAGAACATCGATAATTAAATAATTCCATATTTGTGTAAGGGATTAAAAGGTCCTTGGCCAGTTGGGCATTAACACTCTGCCCCACTGTCAGCCGACAAGTGTCACTAAGTAATTATATGAACACTTAATAATGAGAAAGATTTGTAAAATGCAAATTTTAAAACCAAATAATTTCAGAATATTAAATATCACACTAAAACAAAAATTAAATATAACATTTAGAGTCCAACATTAATCAGGTTGGGCACACACCACCAAATGGTCATTTATCCCCCGTTTGGCGGTCAATCGCCCATATCAGAGTCATATTTAATGACCAAATGGTGGTCTTTTTTATTCAAATCCAATTCTTATAAAAATAAAGCAAAGGCGCATTCGTATAGGATCGGGGAATTTTAGTAAACATATTCCTCGCACAATTAATACAGTTCGGTCAATTTTCCATGTGTAATTTCTGTGGAACTTTGTAAAAATGATACCTACAGCTGTCCGTGACGGCCGAACTTCTTGCTTAATCAATCCAAAAAATATTTTCTTGTGTCTAGTTTAATAAAAATTCTATTTAGACCAGTGGTTTAACTCTTTAGAAGTTAACTTTCAATTGATCTTTGGATCTTTGTCTAAATAAATCTCTATAGAATCCAGTTAAACACGAGCTCTTCATACTTTACTGGTATGGTGGGCACTTACTGCTATAATATTCATTTTTTCTACATTTGAATGTAACATTTATTCTTTATTTGCTTTTAGGATGAAGTTGCGATTTCTGTGCGACCTTTTGTGGTTTAGTATGCATATTTGTGACGAATCTGCTATATTTAGTCAACGATTTTGAATAAAAGATTTACAAAGTGACAGTTGCAATTATTCTTGTTTTATTCCAAGAACATCGTTTTGAAGCAATCATCATATCATGATCTCACTGTATATTTTATTTTTATAAAGAATAAAGCCGTCACATACAAAATAAAATGAAATAAAAGCAAATTCTTCTTTTTCCTTTTATTTTCTAATTGAAAATTGACACAAATGTGCCTCCGTGGTTAAATCAGACTTTTGACCCGGTTCGAAAAAGATCATCATTTTTTATTGGTTTAAATTATTTGATTGGTTGCCCGGATGATAAAAATAGAAAGTAAGAAACATGATCAACAGGTGCAACAACGTTTGGGAAGGAGAGAAAATTTCTTTTTAAAGTCAAAACACAGAAACGTTGTACTTGTTTACGTTGGTGACGATTTGGTAAAAAAATTGAACGACATTGCGCAAAAAACTCCGCGTTAAATTTCCAATTTTTCTTGTTCATAGTACCGATAAATGTCTATAGTTTATTCCCCACGAGTTAATATTATGCGCCATTTCACCCCATTCCACAGAATTGAACAAAACGATTTTTCTCTCCCAAATGGTCAGTAAATACCGACTCCGATATGGGCGATTGACCACCAAACGGGGGTTAAATGACCATTTGGTGGTGTGTGCCCAACCTGTTAATAATGAATAAAACGGTCAATTTCACATGGTGATACTTATAACTCTAACATGTTATTTGATATAAATTACTTTTTGTATCTCCTGCACAGGATATAGGAACCACTCTTTCCTTTCCTTTCACAAAATGTGTCACGAGCAGACGGCACATGTGACCCCTTAACACTCTCGTTAACATGACCTATACTCAGATCTGCATAAATAAGATTCTCCTCAAAACTTTTATACTTAATCTGATTACACGGTGAAAGATTTCACATATATAGCTACTGAGTACTGTGCAAAAGCTGTTTAAATTTACTTTCTGCATAAATCGACATTTTACATCTGCACTACACTTTATTTCTTTCTCAGCTATTCGAACAATTGGCATTTTTCAATAAACAGATAAAAAGCTTTTACGACGTTTTTTAAAACCTCTAATTTTGACAGAAAATTTAATTTTCTTTTTCAATCAAGTCGATTTTTTACTACATATTTATATCATTACCTTTTCTCAAGTAAATATTACTTGGAACTGCAACATTAACCATTAATATTGAAAAGAATCACTGGTACCTTTTTTGAAAGCTTTTCGTCTGTTACCCTCCGGGGGTATTTTGAATAATTAACTCGATCATTTTTTATTCGTTTAATTTTGTTATGTTTTTAACGAAAAATTATTTAGTTATTAATACTTTAAAAGATTTTTTCTGAGTTTTAAACTATAGCAAAAATTATCTATATTCATCATGAATTTATTTAACATAGAAAACACATTTAAGAAATTTCCGGATTTATCACCTTTTTCGTTTTTTGTTAGTTCATTCAACCGGAAGTTTTCAATCACCTTGCAAACTGTAAACATTCTAAATTATGGAGAGAGAAAAAAAATCATCATTGTGATGGATGCTTCACAGGATTTTTCGAATCATTGTAGTTAAAACATACTTCTGTTCAGTGCTAGATAGCTAAAACCTGATGGAGTTAATAATTTCGTTCACATCGATTCACATTCTGTTGAACTTATCAGCTCATTTGGCAAAAATTTGATTTATGAAATGAACATCCATAAAATATGCTTTTTTGCATATAATATTAGTGTCTTGCATATGCACTAATAAAATATTTCCAGAAGTATTTAGTAGGGAAGGCAAGGATGATGTTGATTGAAGGGCTATAATCAGATCAAAGTATACATACAGTATCTGAGCATGTCCATCCCAAGTGTAAAACCCGACATTGGTAGCAAGGTGCTTCCAGGAGACAAAACGGGGCTCCCATGGGAGATCTGGAGGATTATCCTGTCGTATCTGTCTGCCGAGGAGCTTTGTCGGTGTGCCTGTACTTGTAAGACTTGGAATGATTTGGTGATAAGTCTGGATAGCTCAAGGTTTGCACTCAATGAGTTCTTCGTTAATAAATTTAATAGTAGTGAAAACAGTATAATTTTGTCATTAAGAAAAATGCATGTGATTCTTTTATGTATAAAAAGTAAGAAATTCTTGACTCCTTAATAATCAAAAATCCACTTTGTAGTTGATACCTTTGATTCTTTTCAGAAATTATATCCTACTATTTATTGATTATTAATAATCCCTATCCCTTGAAATTGATCTACATGTATATATTTAATTCTAGGTGGAAGGAGCTATACTTACAATGTTCTGACTGGAAGCATCCATTCTGGCCAATTAACACAGATTCAGAGCCTGCTTCCTGGAAGTTAGCTTTCAAAGAACAGTACCTCTCTGTCAGATTTTGGGGAAGGAACTTAAGGGAGCCAGACTCTGCCACCTGTCTGTATGTCCTGAAACGTAGAAAGGAGAGAAAAGTTATTCAAGTGGGCAGAGATATGCAGCATACTTCACTGAAGAGTGCTCTAGCTGTGGCAAATGATTATGACAGAATTGAGATCTACCCTGGTATCTATGATGAACAATTTGAGATGTCCTCCAAGATTCCGTTTGAGATTATTGGGGTTGGTGAGCTGGGTAGCATTATATTGGTGGTGTGTGTAGAGCAGATTGCACTGACAGGTAGAGTCAGTAACCTTGTGTTCAGAGCACCATGGTTTACAAACTTTGTTCTCAAGGTAAGTTTATTAACATAATATTGTTTACCATAAACATGTGATGAAAATTAAAAGATTTATGTCCAAATTTTCTTTAGATTAGATTTGTATATTATTATCAGCAGATATTTAAAGATGGAATGTGTTAGATGTGATAAGCAATATTTCAACAGAATTTTTCTGTCTGAAGTGTTGACAGTTCAGTAATCAGAGTTTGCAGAATTTACATGACAGTATTTTTTTGGACAGGTGAGAGTTGGGTATCTACAAGTTGACAACTGTATATTTGAGGATGGGATGGTGTATGTCCAAAATCCTGGTTCTTGTCACATCAAATTCTGTACATTCCGTCATGCAACAGTGATTCTCCAGCATCTGAATTCCAGTATCATAGAAAACTGTGAATTCTCAAAGACTGATTCAGCTGCTATAACAGTGGAGGGATTTCCCCGTGAAGACAGAAACTGGACATATGGCTACATGATGGAGAAAATTGCTGCTGTCAGCCACTTGAACAGGACACCACAGAAAGGCTACAAGATGGCACCACCTTCAGCATTCTCCACATCTACTGCTGTTACACAAAAATGGCTTCTGGAGAAATCAAGTGATTCAAAAACAGAGTCATCTCATGATCCACATCGTAGACAAAGCTACTGTAGTTCTTCATTCATGCAGAGTGAGTTTACAGACACTTCATTACAAACAAGAAGTGCAAATAAAGTGCATGGAAGAACCACTGCAAAACATTCATTTAACATTGATCAGCTCCAGAGTCGCAATTCATGTTTTTCCTCCCATACAGGGGAGTTAACTGGAAGTGCTAGAACTTGTGAATTTCTTTCTCAAAGTGACTCTTCAAATTATGGAGGTAAAAACACTTTAACAGTTCAAGGGAGCAGTCATGGTGGTAGCTTTACTGTCTCAGAAATAAGCAACAGTTCCATTATAGGGGGAGGTAGTATAAGGGTAGACATTGATGATCATGACAAATCTTCACTGTGTTCAGGTATGATAATGGAGGAAGAGAAGCCCACAGTTCAGTTTCAGGGTGAACAAGATAGTGTAGAAGCTAAAGAACAGAGTAAAACAGAGACAGAAAGTGGAGCAGAAAATATAGAAAGTGTGGGGGATAACAGCAGAGATCCCCAGGAACCTATTGATCCACCAGATGAAATAAGGTCAAGGTCACCAAGTCAGAGGAGTAGAGTCAGCTCTGGGTCAAGGTCACATAGTCCTGTGTCCACAGCTAGCGGGAGTGACATTTTTGATGACAGTAATGACAGTATAGGGAGTTACAATTCAGGATCTGTTAACTCTAGAGGTAAGTCTTGCACATCACTAAATGTCACAGATCCATTGATAAAAACAAGTGTTCTAGTAATCAAATATTTTTTTTACATACAGTAAAATTTGACTAATCCCAACACTTCTGCTGGTTCCAAAGAAATTGGCCAGATTAGACATCATTCTTGATTAGACAATATTTTAAACAATTGAATGTATTGAAAGGGACTTAAAGTTTAGAACATATTAGGCAAGATTTGGGGATATACGTCATCCGGATTAGACAAGTTTCACTTCATTTATAATCAGTGCACAGCAACATTAATACAGTACAACTGTAACTGATTCCTCACCTCAGAATAGTGAAGCCTGAGAGATTTTTTTTAATCTAATAACTATTCAAACAATTAATACAGTGAAACATTTTGCTGTTATTTACACTTGTTCTCTGTCATTTTTGTCTTACCTTGATTTTATTAGGGTCCAGCAGTAGCAGTGAGGAGGAGGAGGGAGGGTTACTCCTCTCTGACACAGACTCAGACTTCAGCGATGAGGAGGAATCGGTCATCATGCTGACCTGTCCCCAGCACCAGCAGCCTCGATCAGTCTCCGCGGCCAGTATTGGAGCTGACGTGGTCTCCATCTGTAGTCAAAACCAATCAGAAAATATCCGGATAATTGCTGATACAGCAGTTAACAAAGTGACAGAAGAGGTGCGGGGATGTTTGATCCACAGATGTCGGATGAGCCTTTGTAAAGGTGGGGTGATGGTCAGTCTCCAGGCTCATGCTATCATCTCCCACTGTGACATCAATGGTGTGGGGTATGGAATCAGGTGTATACAGAATGCAAGGGTAGGTAAAGACTTGTTTATCAATTATACTTTTTTTTAATGATCTCTTAACATGTATGATATATTTCTTATAATACATGTATAACATTGTAGGTCATCATCTTGAAGAATGAGATCCATCACTGTAGGACCTCAGGGGTGTTTATGAGGCTAGCAGCCTCGGGGTTAGTGGCTGGTAAGTTTTGGACCAAAGGAGTGTTTATGAGGCTAGCAGCCTCGGGGTTAGTGGTTGGTAAGTTTTGAACCAAAGGAGTGTTTATGAGGCTAGCAGCATCGGGGTTTGTGGTTGGTAAGTTTCAGGACCTTGGGGGAGTTTATGAGGCTAGCAGCCTCGGGATTAATGGCTTGTAAGTGTCGGGACCTTGGGGGTGTTTATGAGGCTAGTAGCCTTAGGGTTAGATGGCTAGTAATGTCAGTCCAGGGACTTGTAGGGTGGGGGTGGCAGTAATCTTTTATGTGCTGTTAGCCTGTCAGTTAGTAACGTATTTGTTAGGAGGATGAATCTTTAGAATAACAGTTATCTATTAAAAATAAAGATAAAAGCTTAGTCTGCTGGTAAGTACATCTATACTGAGATGTAACTATAGGTGTCTGCCAGATGGACTTTATATTGAAATTAAAGGATTATTTGTCATTTTGGAATGATCTATATGATCTGTTGATTTCAGGAAATGACATCCACTCTAACTGTGAGGCTGGTATTGACATCAGAAAAAATGCTGATCCTCTAGTCATGGTAGGTCTTAACACTCCAAAGGGGTAAAACAAAAATTGTGTTCCAGATTTTCTAAATTTTAAACTGTAATAGATTCTCTGCTAAAAAGACAATAGCAGGATTGGATTTAAAAAAAAAAAAGTTATGATAAATTTTTAAATCATAAATATTAGTATTCATTGAAAGAATTATTTCTTCAGAAGTTTAGTAACTAAAAAAAGAAATTTACAGAGCAACAGAATTCACCATGGGAAGCGGTCTGGGATTGTCGTTCTGGGAAGTGGGCGTGGCCAAATCAGAAACAATGAAATTTACCAGAACAAGGAGGCTGGACTTTACATACTGTACAGGGGAAACCCTACTGTCAGGTAGACTATATATAAACTGTACTGGGGAAACCCTACTGTCGGGTAGACTATATACACTATACAGGGGAAATCCTAATGTCAGGTAGACTGTATATAAAATGTACAAGGGAAACCCTACTGTCAATTAGACTGTACATAACATTAAGAATACTTTAATTCATAAAAAATTGTGTCATTAACTGTAGATTCCTATTTATTCTATTTTTCTTCTAAGGGCAGATCACTCTAACTCAATAAAACTACCCTACAAATAGTACTCTTTAGTTTGCAGTGTTTAGAGCTTCCTTAAATACTAGATAACAGACTTATAATTGCTCTTGGATAGAGACCTCAAACATTTTATAGTTTCTACCATTTATGAATGCTGAAGATTTGACATTTTTACAGAGGATCAAATAATAAAAGAATTCCAGGATAAATTGGCTGATACTAGTGACACTAACTTGTACAAATGCATTAACAATCTATTATTGTATTGTAGCAAGAATCAGATATTTAGTGGGAAGGCTGCAGGGGTTGCTGTAAATGAAGGAGGCAAGGGGTATATATGTGGTAAGTCACAAAGGGTATATATGTGGTAAGTCATGAAGGGTATATATGTGGTAAGTCACAAAGGGTATATATGTGGTAAGTCACAAAGGGTATATATGTGGTAAGTCACAAAGGGTATATATGTGGTAAGTCACAAAGGGTATATATGTGGTAAGTCACAAAGGGTATATATGTGGTAAGTCACAAAGAGTATATATGTGGTAAGTCATAAAGGATAAATGTGTGGTAAGTCACAGAGTATACATGTGGTAAGTCACCAAGAGTATGTATGTGGTAAGTCTCAAGGGGTATATATAAGTAAGATGGGTAAATACATATGGTAAATGGTTAATTAAGTCACGAAGGGTATAAATGTGTTAAGTCAAAAAGGGTATTTGCATGTGTGTGGTAACCAGCAATGATCACTCTATCTTATCCCATGAGTTGTTTAATCGGGCTCGAGAGTGGGGATTAGTCACTCATGATACTTGAGTGATGGTCAAGGGCCATATTCCACTCGTTGATGTATTTCTTCAGCATAATGTATGTATATCCAGAAAGATTCCGACAACTACAAAGGTTCTTTCATAAGGTTACTATATAAATTTTAGGAAACTATTAACATTTATTTGTATTGTAGACAACATAATACGTGAGAATCAGTGGGGCGGGGTAGATATACGACACGGAGGGGACCCAGTGATTACACAGAACATCATCTGTAACGGAATGTCTGACGGAATAGTCATCGGAGATAAGGGGCGGGGCAGCATAGAAAACAACATCATAACAGGTCTCAAATAATCTCAGTTTACTTCTTCAGATGTACTTCTATTATCTGTTAATGTGATGTATGTGAATTAGAAATGACTTTTTTTTATTCATAAAATTTCAATTCTGAATTCAAATTTTTTCCCACAGGAAATGCTGGGTGTGGAGTGTGGATTACAGCAGCATCACAGCCACTTATCCATGGCAACCAGATCAACAATAATTTAGACACGGGGGTTACTTTTGTAAACAAAACGGTACTAAAACTGTGTTACCTGTCACCCTCAATGGCAATTGATGAAATTAAATCTGAAGTAATATGTCAAAGGGTAAAAAATTCTTAAGTAACAAAATGGCAGCCAGTAAATACAGGATGGGACAATGTATTTCAATATATTTTGGAAAAATGATATAGGGCAAGATATCCTGGTGTTCAGAATCAAAACTTTATCTGATTATTTTTGGGGAATATGAGTTTTCTTACTGGAAAAATTCACAATATGTACATTTTCTTTAAAGAAGGTGTCAGTGTTAATCCTATTTGTAAAATTTTGAAAATTTCATCCCTAGGATGAGGCCCATGAAGACCCCATGTCCTCCATGGACCGTAGTGATGTACCTAGTCAGAAGAGTTCTGATTTCTGGCAGTTTATGAATGATGAACAGCCACATCACAGGAGATCCTGTACCAAAGCAACAGTAGAATACAATAGTATCTACCACAACAACGGTAAACTAACAAAAGTAGAATACACATGTACAATAGTATCTACCACAACAACGGTAAAGTAGCAACAGTAGAATACAATAGTATCTACCACAACAACGGTAAAGTAGCAACAGTAGAATACAATAGTATCTACCACAACAACGGTAAAGTAGCAGCAGTAGAATACAATAGTATCTACCACAACAACGGTAAAATAGCAACAGAAGAATACAATAGTATCTACCACAGCAACGGTAAAGTAGCAACAGAAGAATACAATAGTATCTACCACAAAAACGGTAAAGTAGCAACAGAAGAATACAATAGTATCTACCACAACAACGGTAAAGTAGCAACAGTAGAATACAATATAGTATCTACCACAACAACGGTAAAGTAGCAACAGTAGAATACAATAGTATCTACCACAACAATGGTAAACTAGCAACAGTAGAATACAATATGGTATCTACCACAACAACGGTAAAGTAGCAACAGTAGAATACAATAGTATCTACCACAACGATAAAATAGCAACAGAAGAATACAATAGTATCTACCACAAAAACGGTAAAGTAGCAACAGAAGAATACAATAGTATCTACCACAACAACGGTAAAGTAGCAACAGTAGAATACAATAGTATCTACCACAACAACGGTAAAGTAGCAACAGTAGAATACAATAGTATCTACCACAACAACTGTAAAGTAGCAACAGTAGAATACAATAGTATCTACCATAACAACTGTAAAGTATCAACAATAGATTACAATAGTATCTACCACAACAATGGTAAAGTATTAGATATGTTGTTTTTGGTCAGGTGTAATAGAGTGCGAACCAAACTGTAATGAAATATCAAGGTAGTCAGATTCAGTGATAATGATGATGCAATGTCACTCTCATGAGCTGATTATCTTTACATGCTTCTGGACATTTGATTCATCAGATCTGCTTTTCTTCTTTAAGGAATCAAAGAACTGTTTTAAAAGCAAAATTAATTTGGCATACTCTTTCAGGTCGTGGAGTGTTTTTGATGTTTGGGGATGAAGTTGATGTCAAATGTAATGCTGTACATGGTAACCGTGGTGATGGCATCCATATTGACCAGGAGTTTCCTGTGTTGGTGAAGGACAATAGTGTCACCTGTAATGCAGGAAATGGACTGATAACGTCTAATGTAGGGGAGGTAATCCACTGTGTGCAGTAAATCTATGTCAGTCGTTGTCAATATGATGGCTCACCATATGGACTATAAGTACTGTGGAATCATCATTGTTCATAGGTGACCAATATTTTATAGATTTTGTGGGTAAATTATAACCAAGAATTTACATCTTCACAAACAATATCTTTATCAGTGTTTCAGGTGATTCAGTCTTCCATAGTTACATGTTAAAAGCAAAATTAGGTCTCCCTTACACCAGTAAAAGTTTAGCTACCCATAAACATTGACCCCCACAAATTAAAGTGATTCCACAGTATACTTGTATGAAATTTCTTTCCAATAATTTAAGTTTGTTGCATTAAAAATATTACTCTCCTGTGTTGTTAGAGAATTCAGAGGTAATACAGTGACTTGTTTGTTGTAAAAGTCCCTGTCTTTATATTTGTCTTTTATCATTTGGTATGAAGTTATATGCCACAGAAATATTGTCATGATGTAAAATATTTTCAACAGAGCCCAATCTGTATCTATTTAGGTGAGTGTGACAGGAAATGGAATTTTTGACAACAGGGATCATGGGATATTTGTAAAGAATGAGGCTGTGTTAGAGGAGAATGACATCATAGGGAATCAGAGGAGTGCACTGCAGCTAGAGAGAAATACCAAAGTACTGGTAAGTTACTGTAAACTAACCAAAGTACTGATAAGTCACTGTAAACTAACCAAAGTACTGGTAAGTCACTGTAAACTAGCCAAAGTACTGGAAAGTCACTGTAAACAAACCAAAGTACTGGTAAGTCACTGTAAACTAGCCAAAGTACTGGTAAGTTACTGTAAACTAACCAAAGTACTGGTAAGTCACTGTAAACTAACCAAAGTACTGGTAAGTTACTGTAAACTAACCAAAGTACTGGTAAGTCACTGTAAACTAGCCAAAATACTGGTGAGTCACTGTAAACTAACCAAAGTACTGGTAAGTTACTATAGTCTTACCAAAGTACTGGCAAGTCACTGTAAACTAACCAAAGTACTGGTAAGTCACTGTAAACTAGCCAAAGAACTGATAAGTCACTGTTAACAAGTCAAAGTACTGGTAAGTCACTGTAAACTAACCAAAGTACTGGTAAGTCACTGTAAACTAACCAAAGTACTGGTAAGTCACTGTAAACTAACCAAAGTACTGGTAAGTCACTGTAAAAAGACCAAAGTACTGGTAAGTCACTGTTAACAAACCAAAGTACTGGTAAGTCACTGTAAACTAACCAAAGTATTGATAAATCACTGTAAACTAACCAAAGTACTGGTAAGTCACTGTAAACTAACCAAAGTACTGGTAAGTCACTGTAAACTAACCAAAGTACTGGTAAGTCACTGTAAACTAACCAAAGTACTGGTAAGTCACTGTAAACAAACCAAATACTGGTAAGTCACTGTAAACAAACCAAAGTACTGGTAAGTCACTGTAAACAAGGGCACTGTATAAACACCAAAGTAATGGTTAGTCATTCAAAGGGTACTGTATAAACACTGAAGTACTGATAAGTTTTTAAAAGGGTACTGTATAAACATTAAAGTACTGGTTAGTTATTCAAAAGTATTGAAAAGTACAGATAAGTCATTGAAAACAAGGGTACCCTTTAAACACCAAAATTAATAACTAATTTTTCATAAGTATCAAAATACAAAGGAGGAATGGGGTTTAATGTTTTGCAATCTTCTTGTCACAAATCCCTCTCCAAAAGCATTAGACCAAAGGAGTTTGATAGCTTAAAGTCCTGTTCTCTTTTTAAAAGTATTTAAGAGTTAGGAAGGGCTGGCTGCAATATTTTCTAGCTGACATACAGTAATTAAAAACAGCAAAATCCTCTATACCTTTACTTATTATGAGGTGGGTTGATAATTCATGGCTATGAAATCTTGCCCCAAACCCAGTCCCATGTTGTTTTAATATAATTAAATTTGACATTGTTCAGCATTTTATGGTTATAATATCTTGACCCCTGTTTTTCTCTGATCTAGTGAAAACTTCAGGGCATCATTATTTTTCAGCCATAACTTCACCTCTTCCCCCCTCAAACGACCTTCACCACTAAATATCTTGAATTCCCTCTTAACAGACATTAAACCAGAATGAGAAAGATTCAATAATTCACAGATATAATACTTTGAACCCCATCATACTAGAGAAAGCTCAATATTTTGCAGTCATAATTATCTTAACCTCTGCCATTAAATCAGAGAGCAGGTAATTTACTGTATTTGTACTTTAAAAAGGGGGCTTCATATTTTAGCAGCTTTGGCGCAGACAATGATGCACTAATTTATGAATACCATTAAGAAATCATTTATATATACAATACACGGTCCGACGTGTGTAGCGCTAATTCATGATTACACCAACAACTTCATACCCAGTGATTGTGCTAATTTTGAATAGGCCAATTTATGTACACATACAGTATATGATTTCTTGAACCCTCTTCTCTTCAGGATTAAACCATAGGAGTCTTTTACTTCAATAATATCTTGACAAATCTGTTCCCACCCCAACCTTTTAGTAATTAACTTATCAATATTTTGCACTTAAGGACTGGGGTAAATATGTAAATACTGGGGTATGTTATGAATGAGGGCTTAATATACGGTATTTTGTGGGGATTTTGCATGAAAGATGAATTAACGAAGTATAATTTTAATAAAAGTTCAACCCTTTTATTTTACATAATAAAGGGAGTTTAAAATGTATACTATAAATAAATCTTTTTTTTCTTAAAACATCAGAACTCTCATTAATTCTGTTTATTTTGCAGGTAGAACAGAACCGTCTACAGTCCCTGTCAGATCGTGCCATCACCATCATCTCAGTCCAGGACGGCACTGTAAACAATAACCAAGTGTACAGCGTCAATCCTGACCCAGTCCTGAAAACTACCGACTCCAAATGTCAACTCAAAGACAACAAAATCATCCATATTGACACCACATCTGGGTATTGGCTGTGATTTTCTATTGATTTCAAAGTTTAATACCTGTTTTGTAATCATATATACCTTTTATGGAAAGTTAAAAAAAAATTATAAAATCAATCTATTCAAAAGCTTTTAAAGCTTAACCACAAATACTTTTACAAATACTTATCTGGAATTTGTGTTCTCAACTTTATTCCCTTTTAGGGGAGAAAGGCATGAAAGCATAGTACATGCATTTAAGCAATGTTTTGAGATTTGATATTAGCATTGGAAAATACTTTTTTATGCCCCTGTAATTGAAGATTCCGGGGGCATATAATTTTTGGTACATCCATCTGTCTGTCTGTCTGTCTGTCTTTTTGTCCATTTGTCTCCAAAACTTTAATCTTGGCTACAACTTTTGAATGGTTGGTGCTAGGGATTTACATATTTATATGGGTATTACTTGTGACAAGACATTACTGACCTCGTGACCTGAACCTTAGAGTTTGACTTCCTTTTAAAAAAAACTTTAACTTTGGCCATAACTCCTGAACATTTGGTGCTAGGGCATTCATATTTCACATGTGTATTATTTGTAACAAGATATTTCTTTGGGTACCAAGTTACCAACAGTTTTGATCTTTTGACCTTGACCTTGGAGTTTGGCTTACTTTTGTAAAACTTAACCTTAGCCATATATATCTTTTGAACGGTTGGTGCTAAAGCTTTTATATATATATTATTTATAAAGCTTGTATATTCTTTGTGACAAGACACTGTTTAAAACTAATGGTAGAATACATGCAAATCTGTTCGTCTGCAGCAAAATTTGTGCGTCTCGGGCGGTCGGGCGCACAGTTATTTCAAACACTGGACAAGACCTTTTTTTTAATCAACATTTCTGAACTCATGACCTTGGAGTTTGAGCTACTTTTTTAAAACTTAAACCTTGGTCATAGCTTTTGAATGGTTGGAGCCAGGGCTTTCATATTGCACTTGTGTATTCCTCTTAACAAGACTTTCTTGGGGAGGGTACCAATATTGTTTACCCTGTGAACTTGACCTTGGAGTTTGACCTACTTTTGAAAAAAAGGTGCCATACGGGGGCATCAGTATTTTACAAACACATCATGTTTTTCTTGCAGTGAAAATGGAACCAAAGCAAGCAAGGATTTATGGATGTTAAAAGACCCCCCAGCCAGACCTCACATTGAAGCCCCGCCCACCATTCCGACCTTACCAGCCAATCAAGTGACCTCTGTTACTAGGGTTACAGTGCCATCTGCCCACAACTGTGAGGAAGGGAGCAAACTCTGTATTATTCTCTAATCTTCAAATTTAAACAGTGACAACATCTAATGTTTTTCACATGCAAATGGTATATTTTTGTCATCTTATTAAAGTACATGTACTAGATATACATGTATGTCATGAACAATTCTGTATGATCAGCTGTAATCAGTTACAGTTGTTTCCACCTGTGGCATCAGCTGACATATTTAATGACATATATACACATGGTACATACTCATTTTATTTGCTATACAGTGCCCTTTCCCAATTTTCTAATTTCTGTAATTAAATTTATAAAAACTTCTAAATGTTAAACAAATACATTTTTTGTGAGAAATATAATTAGGTTGTATACATAGACATGTTTCTTCTCCTTCCTGATTTTTCACTACTGAAATAGATGGATCAAGCTCTGATTTTCATTCTTGTTTCCCTGAAAATGAGGAAATTTTAGAAAGTTGTCTTAAAGAGATCAGGTTACTAGGCAACAGGGAAACATGATTATAGCAAATCACCAAGAATTCAAACAGCAGAAATTACTTTGTTATATCTGTAATTTGTTATGTTCAGGAAAGTATTCATTACTTTCTAGTATTGAGTGAAAAATTAGTAGTTTCTTATGTTAATTTAAATTTACAATACCTGTGTTTGCTTTAAATATCTTAGATACTTTATAAGGCATTCGTCTTAGCTCATAGACTAGAGAAAATGAAAATGCTTGTAATCAATTCTCTTCTAAATTCATTTCACTAAAAAGATTTTTTGAAGTTATTATTGTCTAATAACAATATATAGTTATAATTGCAAAATAATTGTGTCTAATATGTTAAAAAACTGTTTACATTGTGAGTGTTTCTTAATTCTTAGGTTACATATGTAACTTCAAATGTTTGTTAATATAAATAGATACATGTATACTCATTATGCTTGATTTAATATATTTGTTTTCAAGACTGTTGTTAGTATTTAGTTCCCTTTATTATATGTATTGAAAGGTGCCAATGTTTATGTGAAGTAAATCAAGAGAATCTTCACTTTATACAGACAAGTCCCATTATCTCAATTAAGAACTCAATACATATATACATGGTATTCAAGATATTGATGTTCGAGATACAAAGTTTAACTGTATTATAGTAGATACAGTATTATACAAATTGTATTATTCTGTTTTTCAGTCTTTTTTTACCTATTGATCATTATTTTTTGCAATTGGACTTCATTTTCTGTGATCAACCTGACATCATACATAATACAAAACACCTACAGCATCCTCTGATAGTATTTCTTGTAAACTATATTGATACCTTTTCTGTAAATCACAGTTGTATTATTATTATTTTATTCTTAAATCAGATAATACTTTGAAGGGGTAGCTATTTCCTAGTGTTTAACAATTTCTTTGGGAGATTTTCTTTTGTAATTCTATAACTGTTGCAGCAGCAGAATTATTACAGATAGTTTACAAAATAGGCTAAGTGACTACAAATTAAAATGTATCACTCTAAATATCTTATATATATATTTAAAAATTTCAAAATCTGAGCAACAAAACAATTTATTGATTATAGTCTCTGGTAGATCTGTGTTTTATTAGGCCATTCCAAGTTTTTTCTATGTTTAGCATCCATGCACGCCTTGGTTTTTGGCACCCCATTTCAGAAAAAAAACAAAATCAGGAATCCTAAAATTGATTATTTTGGTCAAAATCTCGGAAATTTGTCAAGTTTTTTAAATATTTCTCTTTAGTATGTCATATTATGTATATTTTAAGCATTCAATACCTTGATTTTACAAAACAAAAGATATTTCTAGGAGAAAAATAGATTCATGAAATCAAATTCTTTGAATGATGTCATTTTTATTACTGTAAAGTCTGTGTTTTATTTTCTGGCTTGTGTGTTTTTTGCGAATAGGTAGGTACCCCCCCCCCCCCCCCCCCGGTAGGTTTTTGAAAGATGGGTGGACGCTAAACAGAGAAAAAACTTGCCAATGGAATGGCCTTAATATAAAAAATAGTATGTATATTTCCTGATACTTTATGCTTTTAATGAAGATCTATTGTCATTGTTGATACATGATGTAAAGTTCCGCTTCATGTCTGTTCTGAAGATGTGGATGAAAGTGCTGTTACCTGTAGCATGGTGAGAATGTTGAGGGAGTTTGATAACTGTGTGTCTGTCTGTCTGTACGTGTAGTTATGTTTCTATATTTGGATGGTACTGTTTTTGCAGGTTGACATGGGTAGTTGAAGTATATTTCTTTCACCATTGGAGATAATGGTTAATGGTCTGTTACCTCTAGACTGTTTGATATTGATAACCATCAGGGGATGTTAATTTGTACCGGTATTTGTGGTACATGTACTGAATTTGGAGTCGATTTAGATAGTTTGAGTAATTTACAGGACATAATTGTTTGTGAAGTTTCGCTTTTTCTGTGATAAATGAGATGTCAGCTTTAATTAAGATCATGTTACTGTATTAAATTTATGTTAATTAGCATACAATACAATCTGTGATTTTTTTTTTGGATTTTTAGTAAAGGTATTATTATTTTATAATCATTGTATTATATATTATTAATTCAAATACTATACATGTATCTGACCAGGCTTTCGTGGCTAGATTTTACCAGTGTTCATATATATACACAAATTATAGTAAGTCTTCTACAAATATGGATCAATGAGGCTCTCAATTTTTTTTTTTTTGTGTTTTTTTTTTTTTTGAAAATTTATTTTTAAAAAATTATGCCTTTAAATACATTTGTCATCATTTGTTCATATAGAAAGCAATGTGAAAAGTGATTTACCAGGGTGTCTTAGGATATATATTTTTTATATAATTTGTGTTAAATACTTTGATTGCAATTGATAAATGGGTTAGTTGACAATGAGAATTTAGGTCAATAATATCACTATTTTTTGTATTGCTAATTTGAATTCTGAAATTATTATTTCTAACCTTCTCTTAGATGTATCGTGACAGCTTAGCATTACTGACTGCATGAAATATGCAGGGTTGTCCCTAAGACCCGGGGGATGGGGAATTCCCCCGCCTATAATGATGTAATCCCCCGGTTATTCTGGTATTTCCCCTCGTCCCCCTGTTAAGGGAGGAACCCCAGATCCCTTTCTACTTTTTTAATGTCCCGTGCTATTTTAATTCTTAGGGACAACCCTGAATATTTATTGTACAGAAATTAAATGCTTTGATCATACAAATTACCTGCAGGTTTGTAAAAGTTAATATTCAACTGAAATATAACTTTATTTGCTGATTTTTTTATTATATACATTTCAATCTATAGTTTTATTTTATATATAAGTACACATGGAGGTAGATCTGGTGTATATTTACTTACACATTCCAATTAATACATGTGATAATACTGCTTAATAATGTGGTTCTTTTGTTGAGAGTACTTAATACATGTAAATCTGGTTTAGGTCAGAGTTTATCTATTATAGTATACAATGTATATTATACACTGTTATATTACTGTTTAAGTATACAATGTATATTTTAATACACTGTTATATTACTGTTATTCATTCTCCTTTTTTTCTACATTTTCCACTTCCCTGTTTATCTCAGAATAAAACAAAAAGAGGAATATTTAAATGACTATCAGCATATTGTGTCAAAATAAGAGATGTTTGCATATAATGGATTTGGCTTTTTGAAAAGATTCTGTTATCGCTAATCTGTATAAGTTTATCAGGACTGCATGGTGTTTCATTTTTAAACATTTTGCTCTGGAAATTTTAAATAAAGTGGAAAATGTAAATTGAAAGGAATCTTTTGTTTGATAGATATAATTGTGTACACATGAATATTTTGTTGAAATTGATTTACATTATGTTGAAATTTTAATTAACTGTAATAAAATGTATGGCGAAGTCAAACTGGGCAATGATTCATATACGCAGGTCTGGGACGGTACATATTGTAGTCCAGTACACATAGCGTCTTCGACGACTATACCTATGTACCCTAACTGTACATATTGTCATCCATCTATAAGCATATTATATTGTAGCTGGTTGAAAAAATTATGTGTACATATTCTCACCAGCGAATACTGTAAACCAACTATTATTCGCGGCATCTTTTATTCGCGATTTTTCAATTTGGAATCCATCCGCGACTACTAATTTTCGCGACCTAGGCAACATTGTACATAAATACAGAGGTGAATAATTGGTTCGCAACGATAAATATTCGAGAGTAAAAGAAACTCGCGAATATTTCTCACTCGCGAATAACAGTTGGTTTACAGTAATTTCATGTAAATTTGCAGAGGCATTTAAATTGTGGCATGAACTTCTGAGCATCCAAGATTTTTATACCCAGCGGGGGTTTATAGGGATTGGGGTGAACATACGTCCGCAACAACTGGGGGTATCGGTACCCCATCTCTTAACAGCACTCCTCCTATACGACTGAATAAAATTTAATGAGATTCATGAAATCTTTATTACGTAATGTCATCGTGCACATCCTATAATTCGTTTCGATCAGACAGATATTTGGGGTTTCCCATAGCATGGACTTTTGAATTTACTAGGGGGAGATTTACAACATGATAGGAGTATCATTTTTGAGCTCAGTGCCCATACATGTAGTATCGCAAGTTTATCTTACTTTTTGATAGGGTCTAATTTAGTCAAGTATCTAAGTATTACGCATGAATGTTAACAAGTGAAATTTCAACCTTTCTTCAATACGCTCTCCAATTTTCATGAATTTCAGTCACTCCTATACACTGAAAATCAGCCCTTGTGTGGTTATAATTATTATAGAGGAAATCGGCAATAATTTTCCAAAGCCGTTAAAATCAACGATTAGAGAAAAAAAATTGAAAAATGCCGTGTTTTTTTTTCTTTTAGTTTGAACACGCAAGATTGCTCTTTAAATCTTGGACTAAATACTAGTATAATTAACGCAATTTTATATATTCTTGAAATTGGTTGTTCTCTTGTTGATGCTTTTTATTGCCTGTCGTATTTATAAACAAGAACATATATCATAATTTGCTACATGCAGTGATTGCCCCAAAATCCAAGATCCCCCCCCCCCCGAAATATTACAATATTTTACATCATAACTGACTAGTATTATACAAAATTATGGGCTAGAATTTAATTAAAACGTACAGATCATCATTGGAATTGATCAACTTTCGATCTGTCTTGCAAATTCTTCAGTAATTGAGTTTAATACCTGCAAAATGTGAGGTCTTGGTTAATTTGTGAACAAAATTTGTCAGAAAATTAACTTGGATTAACTGTCCTTATAAAGCCAACTCTACAAACATTTATTTCAAGATTTCTCAATTTCCTATAAAACGAAAAAAAAAATTTACATTTACTAGTTTTAATACGTACGAGAGGAACAGCAAAAATTAGAATTTCTTAACGGCAAAGGAAATTTCAAGATTTCTAATTAATGTTTGAGAAATTTTAAAAATATTTATGATTGCATTGTTTACAACCAAAAAACCAGTTCTTTGATTGTTCTCGGGTTTAAATTACCCCTCCCTTTCAGAAAACAAACAAATAAACTTTTTAAAAGATAATTTAAGGTTAATATATAATTTTGAAGTAATTGAGTAAAACAACTAACTTCAAAAAAAAATTAAAATAAGTGACATTTTTGTAATTTCTAAACTTAGAAAGTGTCAAAAAGATATCACCTTTGTCTTAAAAAAAATAAATTTCGGCACAATTAATAAATCATGAAATAATATCACAAATATCGGAAATTAAACTAATTCTATTACTTGCTTTAGTTAATATCTTGCAAGAGAATATTGGAAATATTTGTGAAAAAATCTCTCTCTCTCTCTCGCTCGCGCTCTCTCTCTCTCTGATTCAAAGCTAAGGAATTTTGAACCTGTTCATCCCCAAAACAGTAAAATGAAACAGACCAAACACCGGAAGTTTCGTTCGGATATCCCTGTGAGTTTACCTTGTACGCAAAAGTACAAAACCCGGAAACGATTATTCAAAATATAACAGGTGCGAAAGTGGACTAGTCCAGGTAGACTACAAACATTCAAAATGGCGTCTGGTAAAGGCGCAGGTAAAGGCTATCAAGAGAAAGGCCGAGGATATATGTACTGGTTTGCCTTTATTTGTTCAATAATTTCTCTGGTTTTAGTGTTTGTTGCTTTCGCCTCGCCCTTCTGGTACAAGTCCTGGAGCCGAGTTCACAGTCCCCTTGCCAATGTCGGGATGTGGCATATTTGTCTCTCAGGATGGGTAAAGCCCAGGGACCCCACGATGAGGTCCTATGTAGGCTGCTGGTGGATCCACTCTACTTTCTTTGAAGAGGTCTGGGATGACATTATGCCAGGTAGATCATCGATCCATAATTAATGTGTCAACGATAAAAAGAATATGACAGGTGTTTGCAAGAAGCAACCTGTTTAACTTTCATAAATATATATTTTGGCTGAACCATTTTAATGATCGAGTATGCACGTTTCTTCAGTATTATATATATACGTTCATGCTGTGTATATTGTTATTAATCAATTTCACCAGACTTACTCCCAGTATTGAAATAAATAAGTTTTATGGAAAAAATAATGATATACTGATATGGTTTTAGTTGTTACTGTATGAATTTATTTTGATAAATATTTTTTTACATGCCTAGAGAAAGCCTGGTGCAAAAGCTCAATGACAAGTGAAAGTTTTTGGTTACTGTATATGAATTCATGTCAATCTTTTTTTCAGCCTGGTTCCGAATAGTCCAGACGATAGTGATCCTGACACTGTTGATTAACATGGCTGCAGTGCTCATGCTTTCGTTCTACCCAGTTGATCGACTAAGGATCAAGTACTACAATCCAAACAGATACAGGGCCTTCCTTGTTAACTCTGTCCTCATGTTTGTGTCAGGTAGGCTGATACAGTGCAGCAATAGATAACAATTCCACTAAACCACAAAAACCAAGCACTTCTACGTACATTAGACAAATTGATATCCAGCATATCATGACTCTGCCATCATATTGACGTAAATTGTAAATGATCTAGTATTTTTGTCTCTTCCAGCTGTTTTTGTCTTGATTGTCGCCTTACTATTCCCAATGAAGGCCCGCGACCCCAATTGGATGCCACGTCCTTGGTTGAACTACCTATCATGGTCTTATGGATTCTTCGTCCTGTCAGGATTCTTTGCAGTTTTTGCAGGAATCTCACTTTTCATAAAATCTTCAGACATCCACCACAAGCCAGAGAAAGGTACAGAAGAAATCGAGAAAAAATTGGAGTTACCTCCCCTACCATCAGGAATGGCGCCACCAATAAGACCACCACATTACGAACCAAGTGAGCATGGTCGCAGTGTGGGAGGATACAGCATGGGTGGAGCTAGTATGGGCGGGGCCAGCATGGGGGGAGCTAGCATGGGAGCTGTCAGTCAAGGGGCCCAAAGCAAGCATTCAGAATCCTTTGTGTAGTCCAGGCTTATGTGTTAATCTCATCAACTTTAATTATATGTCAATCAGAGCATTTTCTTCAAGACTTGTCATGTACTGTGAATCTGTTTTACCTCTTATCTCTAGCATTCTAGGAACAGAAACAGATTAACTTCATCAAAGAGTTTTTGTGGAAATTCATTGTTATGTGTTTTAACTTCCTCCAAAAACTATTCTAAATGCCAGGTACTCGTATCTAACATCCCTTTTTCATTCAATAGTTTGAAGAAAATATTAAATTGAGCATTCAGATGGTGCCAGATCTATAGATTTCTTTCTAAAATTAATGTACATTCCATTGAAACAAAACAAACAGAATTTACTTTGATGACATTCTATCACAAATTTGCAATTAGATTTCAAGGTCTTCATATCTACAATTATAGTCATGTGCCATGTAATATGTACAGAAAATCAGGTCATTTTTCTTTGCATGTATATATATTAAGGAATCACCATGTGTTTTGTATAATGTCTTTTCAGACTGACAATATAACAAGGATAAATGTGTATGTATACTGGTATATTTTTTATTCTCAGAAAATAGTTTTGGTGTATAAAAAATTATTTAATCATCATTGTACATAATTCATACAAAATTGTAGAATATTTTTATGAATCACATTCATTTTTTCACTGGAGTAAATGTAGAATAATATTTTATACATGAATATATAAAGTGAAAATACAATACATTGTATACAATAAAAAAAATAATATTCAGTGTGTGTTTCTTGTTTCGCATTTATACATGTAATTTAATTGTTGAAAACCATGGCAACAATCTAAAAACAAAGTGAGCAATCTTTTCAGCATCTAAAGCATAAATCATACACAAGTTACAGTGGTCTTTTTAATGGTCTTTGATAAAGACAATACAGTGTAACATGTTTATAGTGACTACTCCTTATCTTGAGATATATATATATATATATATATATATATATATATATATATATATATATATATATATATATATATATATATATATATATATATATATATTAAAGAGAATAATGAATTATTAACTAGATACAGGTGGGAAACAAAACAGATCTTAAATAAGGCCATCTTCAAAATAGTGTTTTTGCCTTCTCCTGACTCAAGGTAAAAAATAAATATTGGGTCGGTAGGTAGGTGGGAAAATTTTTTTCCCTAGAAAATAACAATATCAATGCTGAATTTTCAAAATATATCAAAATAAATTTAAAATACTTGATGATGAAAAGGGGGAAAAAAATACATTTCCTGGAGGTTTAAAAAAGTTTTGAGTTGGGCCATTTTAACCAGTTGGTTGGAAGAAGGCAAACAATTTTTTAAGAGGACCTGAGAGATTTATCTGTCCTGAGAAGTTTGCTACATTTTTTTCAGAAGTCAAATTTTCAATTTCTCCTATAAATTGAAGCATGCCTTTAAACACATTTTTAGCTCACCTGAGCTGAAAGCTCAAGTGAACTATTCTGATCACCCGTCGTCCATCCGTCTGTCTGTCCGTCCGTCTGTAAACTTTTCACATTTTCAACTTCTTCTCAAGAACCACTGGGCCAATTTTAACCAAACTTGGTACAAAGCATCCTTGGGTGAAGGGAAGTTAAAATTGTTAAAATGAAGGGCCAAGCCCCCTTCAAAGGGGAAATAATCAAGAAAAGACAAAAATAGGGTGGGGTCATTAAAATATCTTTTTCTCAAGAACCACTGGGCTGGAAAAGCTGAAACTTATGTGGAAGCATCCTGGGGTTGTGTAGATTCTAAATTGTTCAAATCATAACTCCCGGGGGTAGGGCGGGGCCACAATAGGGAATCCAAGTTTTACATTGAAATATGTAGAAACAAGATGTGTTTGTGAAACACTGATGCCCCCGTATGGCAGCTTATGGCGAAGGTTAAAGTTTCTTCAAATGCAAGTCAAAATCCAGGCCAAAAGATAAAAAATGTTGATACCCAAAGAAAGGTCTTGTCTCGAGGAATAAACCTGTGAAATTTGAAAGACCTAGATACAACTGTTCAAAAGTTATGGCCAAGGTTAAAGTTTTTTAAATAAAAGTCAAAGTCAAGGTCAAAGTGGTTGGTATCCAAAGGAAGATCTTGTCACAAAGATTACATATGTGAAGTATGAAAGCCCTAGCACCAACCATTCAAAAGTTATGGCCAAGGTTAAAGTTTTTCAAAAGTAGGTCAAACTCCTAGGTCAAGGTCAAAGGGTCAAAGTGGTTGATATCCAGAGGAAGGTCTTGTCACAAGGATTACATATGTGAAGTATGAAAGCCCTAGCATCAACCATTCAAAAGTTATGGCCAAGGTTAAAGTTTTTCAAAAGTAGGTCAAACTCCTAGGTCAAGGTCAAAAGGTCAAAGTGATGGTTGGTATCCAAAGGAAGGTCTTGTCACAAGGATTACATATGTGAAGTATGAAAGCCCTAGCTCCAATCATTCAAAAGTTATGGCCAAGGTTTTTCAAAAGTAGGTCAAACTCCTAGGTCAAGGTCAAAGGGTCAAAGTGGTTGATATCCAGAGGAAGGTCTTGTCACAAGGAATACATATGTGAAGTTTGAAACCCTAAGCACCAACTGTTCAAAAGTTATGGCCAAGGTTAATGTTTTTCAAAAGTAGGTCAAACTTCAAGGTCAAAAGGTCAAAGAGATTGATATCCAGAGGAAGGTCTTGTCACAATGAATACACATGTGAAGTTTGAAACCCCAAGCACCAACTGTTCAGAAGTTATGGCCAAGGTTAAAGTCTCATAAAATTTTGCAAAAGTGGGTCAAACTCCAAGGTCAAGGTCAAAAGGTCAAATACGATGGTACCCAAAGAAAGGTCTTGTCACAAAGAATACACATGTGATATATGAAAGTCATAGCTCCAACCAATCAAAAGTTATGGGCAAGGTTAAAGTTGACAACAGACAGACAGACAGACAAACGGACAAACAAACAGATAAACAGACAGACAGGACAAAAACAATATACCCCCGGGATCTTTCGATCCGGGGGCATAAAAATCTTTAAAAATTTTCTTACAACTGGGCCAGAAAAGCTGAAACTTACATACAAATATCATGGGGTAGTGTAGATTCTAAATTGTTCAAATCATGACCCCCGGGGGTAGGGCGGGGCCACAATAGGAAATCCAAGTTTTACATTGAAATATGTAGAAAAAATCTTTAAAAATCTTCTTCTCAAGAACCACTGGGCCAGAAAAGCTGAAACTTATATGGAAGCATCCTGGGGTTGTGTAGGTTCTAAATTGTTCAAATTATGACCCCCGGGGGTAGGGCGGGGCCACAATAGGGAATCCAAGTTTTACATTGATATAGAAAAAATCTTTAAAAATCTTCTTCTCAAGAACCACTGGGCCAGAAAAGCTGAAACTTATGTAGAAACATCCTGGGGTAGTGTAGATTCTAAATTGTTAAAATCGTTACCCCCGGGGGTAGGGCGGGGCCACAATAGGGAATCCAAGTTTTACATTGAAATATATAGGATAAATCTTTAAAAATCTTCTTCTCAAAAACCACTGGGCCAGAAAAGCTGAAACCTATGTGGAAGCATCCTGGGGTAGTGTAGATTCTAAATTGTTCAAATCATGACCCCCGGGGGTTGGGAGGGGTCACAAAAGGGAATTCAAGTGTTACATTGAAATATATTAGAACAAGATGTGTTTGTGAAACACTGATGCCCCCGTATGGCAGCTTATAGGGAAGGTTAAAGTGTCTCAAATGCAAGTCAAAATCCAGGCCAAAAGATAAAAAATGTTAAATTTGAAAGCCCTAGCTGCAACTGTTCAAAAGTTATGGCAGAGTTTTAAAAAAGTAAGTAAAACATCAAGGTCAAGGTCGAAGTTGTTGGTATCCAAAGGAAGGTCTTGTCACAAGAATTACATATGTAAAGTATGAAAGCCCTAGCACCAACCATTCAAAAGTTATGGCCAAGGTCAAAGTTTTTCGATAGTAGGTCAAACTCCTATGTCAAGGTCAAAGTGGTTGGTATCCAAAGGAAGGTCTTGTCACAAGAATTACATATGTGAAGTATGAAAGCCCTAGCACCAACCATTCAGAAATTATGGCTAAGGTTAAAGTTTTTTTTAAAAGTAGGTCAAACTCCTATGTCAAGATCAAAGTTGTTGGTATTCAAAGGAAGGTGATGTCACAAGGATTACATATGTGAAGTATGAAAGCCCTAGCATCAACCATTCAAAAGTTATGGCAAAGGTTAGAGTTTTTCAAAAGTAAGTCAAACTCCAAGGTCAAGGTCAAAGGGTCAAAGAGATTGATATCCAGAGGAAGGTCTTGTCACAAGGAATACACATGTGAAGTTTGAAACCCCAAGCACCAACTGTTCAGAAGTTATGGCCAAGGTTAAAGTCTCATAAAATTTTGCAAAAGTGGGTCAAACTCCAAGGTCAAGGTCAAAAGGTCAAATATGATGGTACCCAAAGAAAGGTCTTGTCACAAGGAATACACATGTGAAATATGAAAGTCATAGCTCCAACCAATCAAAAGTTATGGGCAAGGTTAAAGTTGACAACAGACAAACAGATAAACAGACAGACAGGACAAAAACAATATACCCCCGGGATCTTTCGATCCAGGGGCACAAAATCTTTTAAAATCTTCTTCTCGAGAAACACGGGGTCAGAAAAGCTGAAACTTATATGGAAGCATCCTTGGGTAGTGTAGATTCTAAATTGTTCAAATCATGAACCCCAGGGTAGGGCGGGGCCACAATAGGGAATCCAAGTTTTACATTGAAATATGTAAGAAAAATCTTTTAAAATCTTCTTCTTAAGAACAACTGGGCCAGAAAAAAATGAAACTTACAAGGAAGCATCCTTGGGTAGTGTAGATTCTAAATTGTTCAAATCATGACCCCCGGGGATAGGGCGGGGCCACAATAGGGAATCCAAGTTTTACATTGAAATATGTAAGAAAAATCTTTTAAAATCTTCTTCTTAAGAACAACTGGGCCAGAAAAAAATGAAACTTACAAGGAAGCATCCTTGGGTAGTGTAGATTCTAAATTGTTCAAATCATGACCCCCGGGGTAGGGCGGGGCCACAATAGGGAATCCAAGTTTTACATTGAAATATGTAAGAAAAATCTTTTAAAATCTTCTTCTTAAGAACAACTGGGCCAGAAAAAAACTGGAATTCATGTGGAAGCATCCTCAAGTAGTGTAGAATCTAAATTGTTCAAATCATGATCCCCGAGGGTAGGGCGGGGCCACAATAGGTATTACAAGGGGGGAAATCTGGTAAAGAACAGCATGGCCAAAGTTACTCAGGTGAGCATTGTGGCCCATGGGCCTCTTGTTAAATATCAAATTCTATGTCTAAATAACCATGACAAATCAAAATGAATTGCAATACAATAACTCAATTGCATGTATCATAGACATATATGTACATGTATGTGAAATTAACAGGTAATGGCACTTCATTGTAATGTAGCACCCTATATTGTCATTAAAACAATGATATAACAATAAAGAAAACAAATCCTGTATATTGCCAAGATTTGACTAGGCTTCACTGCACCATTATAAAATATCTTTGGTCTATTAAAGATGACAATAACATTATTAAAACAGAACATAATCACACAATAATCATGCGTAACAAATTCAAATGCTGAATACACAGAGGAAAATTAAGCAACTTGAGACTTCTTGCTTTTCAACTGCTAAAATATACTGATACATGACAGTATTTAAAATAAGTTAATGCTATTGGTAATGCAAACAATTTTAACATAAAATGCTTTTGATCCTCACAAGTCAGAACTTTTAAATACATGAATGAATATATACCGCTAAATGAAACAGAATGATGGGACCAATCAACTGCCATAATTTTGTCTCAATTAATCATTAAATAATTGTTATTGACAATAAGCAGAAAGTTTGATTGTACAAGAACACATTCCCGGAATGGATTGTCAATCCTTGAAATACTCAATGTCAAAGACACACTCAAAACATTTTACACATAGAACGAATGTACTAAAGGTACCACTGTAAAATGTACAGTACAGTCAAACCTCGTCATCTTGAACTTGATTGGGACTAAGATTACAGTTCAAGATATCTGAGGATATTTGAGGATTCAAAATGAGGATTAAAAACCACTAAAAAAAACTGGTTGGGACTGCCAACTCTGAATATCCCTGGTATTCGAGATACTGGTGTTCAAGATAACGAAGTTCAACTGTATTACATGTAATATAAACTACTGAAAGAAATAGAAAAGTTCTTATAACTATCCTTTTTAAAAATTAAGAGATTAATTAATGCATTTCACTGAGTCAATCATAAAATCAAGCAGGGGACTTTGATTTCAAAAATGTGTGTTAGCATGTTATATTTTTTTTTAAAGTATTTTTATTTTATTTTATTGACACATTTTTCATATGACATTACACAAGAGAACTATCATGGAATGTAAATATATAAATATTTAACATAAAACAAGTATCTAATCATTGTATATCCTGAACCATAACATGAAAAAGTACCGAGGCCTGAGTTCTCTGAGAGCTATGGAATATGTATTATCTTTCATAAATAACTTCCCTTTGTAAAGGCCTGAAAATGCTTTACTTTCACAAGGTTACTGAAACAAAAAGAACTCTATGGTCCTGGCCTACAGCTTATATTTATAAGAAACTTCATTAGGCATTTACTCTTACATACATTCTGTTAAACTGAAATGTAGCTCTACTCCAGAACCATACTTACGACAAAAATAAACATACATTTTATCATTTCCTTCATTCCGGTAAAATTTTACTGACCAGCAAATTTAGCAATTTTATCCTAAAATTGGGCATTTATTATTAGCCTAATTAATTATCTTATGATTCTAGGTATAACTCTTGATATTTTCTAAGACTGAATTACTAGTGACATTCATTTTTAGCATTGCCACGACCATTGCTGATAATGCTAAAAATAGATGCTAAAGGTCCTTTAAGGCCAGTAGGGTTTTAAATACATTATCTCAGAGGTTTTGTAGCAGAGTCAGAAAAATGTTTTTTAAAAAAAATGAAAACATTATCAACAAGATAAATATAGAAAGAACAAGGACAAACAAGCAACAATAGGACACATCTGTATGGTAACGTAAAATTCAAGTATTAGTGTTTTTTGGATTTCTTTGACATGAGATAAATCATATCTGTTAATGATATTTTGTAGAGACTAGATGTGTCGTAACTCCACGAAAGCCCCTGCAGGCAGCCAAAATTCCTAATGCCATATTTAGTTTTAAATTTGTTTGCATGCAAGATTTTTTTTCTAAGTTCAAGAGGGATCAAAAATCATCACACCACGACTAAATTCAAACTTGACTGGTATTTTCTGGTAAAATACATTTATATGCAATTTCAACCTTATACATCCATCTGTACAAAAGTAAGAGAGCGAAAACTGAAAATTTCTTATTTATTTTCTAAGTTCAAGAGGGATAACTCTGTCAAAAATCATTGAACCAAGACCAAACTCAAACTTGACCTGTATTTTCTGGTAAAATACCTGCATATGCAATTTCAACCTTATACATACATCCCTATGAAAGTTAGTGGAAACTGAAAATTTCTTATTTTTTTCTAAGTTCTAGAGGGATAACTCCGTCAAAAATCATCCGACCATGTCCAAATTCGAATTTGACCTGCGTTCCCTATGACGTATCCATATGTCAAATTTGAGTGTGTGCAACTGTTGCCAAGATAATGAACGGAAAGTCAATGCTAAGTTCAAGAGGGATAACTCTGTCAAAAATCATCAGACCATGACCAAATTCGAAACTGACCTACATATTCCTATGTCGTATCCATATATCAAATTGAGTGTGTTCAACTGTTGCCGAGATAATGAAGGAATGACAGGGTAACGGGGGCATTAAAATGTAGCTTTTGAAGCTTGTATTAGCCTTATCATACAAAGTACAATAACGGACACAGAAATTGAATCTGCCTTTCATTTTAACATTTAAGTGAGAAAATAGAAGCCATTTTATCACTATGGTCCTCATATCCTTTTACTTGGTCATGCTTCAGTTATTCTGGTACAGGTTAACTGTTTCCACACATCGTCTGTTAATTCTATCTGTTTTTGTGAGAGGGAAGCCGGTACTGCATGATGGGATTGAAGAGACAGTTGAGCTGCTCGGAGTCCTTGTTTTATGGAGAGGTCAAGGTCGCGACTTCTTACGATTCCAGATACAATGGCTGAAACCAAGCTGAAATTGAACAATACAAGTGTATTACTTTGATTCTGAATTCTCCATTTCTAAGAGCTACGATGAATTCTGAAATTAATAAAGTACTTAGTGAATTCTAAGTAGTTTCATCTTTAGCACAATTAAAGGTGTGAATGTACATATATTGCCACTGAGGAATGAGAATACTTACCAGTCTCCAGCCCCTGATACACTGACAATTTTGTCTGGTTCCTGTCCCTTTGGCACTGCTGAATACCAGTCAACAGTCAAATAGCTTCCATCCTGCAAAAAGAATAACTCAGACCTTATTAATTAATTTTGTTACACGTCGACTCTAAGGTGCATTATGATTTTTTAGTTTATAGTATGTATACAATAAGAAGTTTTACTTTCAGTATGATGCTTTGGTCTGGTTTCTTTGTCTTGTGTCTCTGACACAGGGCCATGCCGTGCTTCCCTAGTGTGACTATCACAGTAGGAATGTGTAAGGCAATTACTTTGGATAACAGGACACTTTCCATCAGCACACTGTTCAATGGTTCATTATCTGAACTGGTACAGCCTGAGACCAACAGAAAATGATCATGAAAGCCAGGCCTAAGAATTTTATATAAAAAGATTCTTCATTTACTGATTATCTTACTGTAAACTACGTCATAATTTTTATAAACAAACTGAAGGATACATGAATACACAAATCATATGAAAGAATCTTCACAAGTCTACATAAATAAGTGTACAGTGTGCAAAAACAGGACGCTAGTTAGTAATGTTTTTTATAAATAAATATTCAGCTAATATTCTCTACTTACCATAAGCAGTATCTAAACTTCCCGTCAAGAATTTATACATGGTTCTGAGTTCATTCAGATTGGGTGTTGCCATGGTAATAGCTTTCCTGATGTTGACCTGGAATGGTTTACTAGCTTTGTGTATGTCTGTGGGTTCAAAACAAACTGTAAAAAAAAAAATCAACATTTCATTAACAACCTGAGAGAGCTTAACATGATTATACAATGTATCAGTAGCTGGAAAATGATGACGTATTAATCTGCCCTAAGTTGTTGCAGGCAAACAGAAAAGTGCATGTACATATATATATATATATATATATATATATATATATATATATATATATACAGGTAACTCAAGATACCTCGAAGTCCGCGGGACCGAAGAAAAACTTCGAGAGATCAAGAGTTCGAGTCTTCAAGAGTCCGGAATTTCCCGGGTTTGTTAACAGGTTTTTTTACACGTGGTTTTTATAAAACAACGATATTTTTAAGTGATTTAGATGAATATTTCATTAAACTAAGCAAAGCAAAAAAAATGTATATCGTCATTTCATGTATATTTATTCATTTAGTCTTTGTAATACGTACATCATACTACGCATTTGTTACATGAAAACAACATTTTACAGCGTCGTACATAGCATTGACTATTCCAAACATGATCATTGAATGCAGTTCTGTAAGTATTTGTCCAATAATAGTCGTCATATTGACATTGAAGCTGTTTCTGCTTTTTCATATTTCGTTTAACTTTGACACTGACTCAAAATAAAAATTAAATTATTGTTTAGGCTTGTAATCAATTACTACTTTTCAAGGACACTGCGTCTCTAAATTATCGTAAGACAGTCGATGATAATTATTTTAATAGCATATAGGCAAAATATGATTAATTATAAATCAATTATCACCTTGCAGCATAAGTGTCACCTGAATAAACATCCCGTTCCTCGAGACCCGCGTCTTCTGCCTGGGGCCATTTAAATGTCCAAGTAAAGGTGTTAATTGTGTAACCTGGTGTACACATAGCCACTTCGAGGTATCGAGGGTAAATTCTAATAGAATATGCATAGCGGGACTGCATTTTGACTTCGAGGGATCAAGGGTTTCGAGAGATCAAGAGTTCGAGATATCAAGAGTAAATTTGCTTAGTTATATAGGAGAAAAATTCAGGACCGGAGACTCACTTCGAACGATCAAGAACTTCGAGAGATCGAAGTTCGAGCCATCAAGAATTACCTGTATGTACATATATGGCTTTAAGACTAAATTAACTCTCTTATCCCTCTACACAAATGCCAGTAATTTGTTGGTGAATAAATACATGTACATCTTCAAATAGAAATTTAAATTCAGATTTGGACAATTACCTGGTATGTTTTTTGCCTGTGTGATCTGAAGGGCCCAGCGTAATGCTTCCACTGTCACATTGCCATCAATACACACCATCCTGGACTCCTCTATAATGTCCCTGTACTTCTCTATCTACAATAAACTCATTTATGGTAATTCTTACAAATACCACAAATACTAGAGACTAACTAGTACATGTCTTTCTCTATCTATGATGAAATCAATAATTACTTAAAAGAAGTGGGGACATCCAGTTACTTTCAGTTCTTGCACAAGGTGAATAATCAAATACAGACTGGCCACTATGTACTTTATAATATGGATGAATTCTACATCTCTTTTATAGTATTAAGTATCCTTTCGAAAGACTACACAACCAGAGTTTCATTATGTGGATTATGTTCAGTTACAAATCCACTTTGAGAAAATTTTTATCTTTTCCACCATTATTGCTCATACTAACATATTCTGGAGTTATCTGGCGGTGAATATCCATGTCACCAATTCCAAACAGGAGTTGTCCCCCTTTCTGCAATACAGCACAATAGGTGGCAGTTCTCTGACCTTCCAATTCAAGCACAGCTTCCAGGTTCTGTGTATAAAATGCATATAATTGTGTTGTAGTATATAAATAGACCATGTGAAAAGAGGATAATTGTTTATTATTACATACATATCTAGACAACAATGTAACATCTGACAAGCTCAAAAATATCAAGTTTACTTGTCACAACATATTCATGTGACCCTCAGAGATATTGCAAGTTGATGAAAAACAATATTTTGAGTCTAAGGCTTCAGTGATAAAGCAACACAAAAATGGAATCAAATGTCAAAAAAATCAAACAGCTACAGATGGAGGTACAAAATAATAACAATCCAGCCATAAATGGCCAGCTGATTTAAACAAGGATGCAACTCAATAAACGTGACCCACAGTCAGGTTAGCCTGCTGATGGAATCACCTATATTTAATATATACACAGTTGAACTTCTGTATCTCAAACATCGGTATCTTGAATACCACAGCATCTGGCAGTCCTAACCAGGTTTCCTTTATGTATTTTACCCCAATATCTCAAACCCTTGGATATCTCAAAGTTTTTCCACAGTCCCATTGAGTTCAATATAACAAGATTTGACTGTTTAATCACTTTTACAAAGACCCTCACAGTGTATTATCGCCAAATTTAGGTTGATGAAATAGCTGTAAGCACATGTAGTGTGGTATTTCCAATGGAAGTGTTTCTTATTAATTAAAAAAAAACCTTGAGATGTCAAAAGTTGCCATAAGATGGGTCCGTAAAAAATTTAATATTCAGGATTACTCCAAAAGACTGCAATCAAGTCTAGAGCTTATTTGCAAAGACAAGCCATGCATCTTCCATGCATGTTTAAAAATTTAAAAAAAGGGACTACCGGTACTAATAAAATGAAGAACCCGCCAACCCTGGCTCATCCCAATCAAAGAAATTCCATATCCAACTATCAGCTGGCAAAGTCATGTACAGTATTTGAAATAGTAAACAAACAGTGTAATCCCTAAATCCCATGCATTCCACGTAAATAATGTTTTAATTAGTAAATAATTACCATGTGACTACAATAGGATTTAAATCCAGCTCTGTGTGAATCTTTTCCAATAGCAGAAATGAACAATGTATTAACACCAAGACGAGTCAATCCATCTGCCAGATTTCTTCCCACCCCTCCAAATGATTGATCCACTCCTCCTGGATAGGTTGCACCATTACTCTGAAAAATACAGAATACAGGTGTAAAAGGCTCCTCAATGATTCATCTTTTAAAATAATGTACAGTATTTACATTGTATATTAGAGTTTTATCTTTCATTTCCATAGAAGTAGATTCTGAAATTGATTCAAATTCTAAGTGAAAGTAAATGAATTATGGCCCTATGAAATTACAAAGTCTGAAAGGTTTTCTATTATGTCTCCATTTCAAAGTTCTGTAGATCACCTAATTTTTGCAACATCTTATTTTCATAAGAAAATCATATGGCATTTTTTAAGCAAAATAAAATTTTCATGAATTCTGGTTACCGTTTCATGTACTAGCAATCTTTAATAATATAAATACATTTGAACTTCAGTATCTAGAACACAGATATCTCGAATACTGTGGGTATGTCGAAGTGGTTTCGAAGTCCCAACTACTTATTCTTCTAAGTATTTTACCCTGGCTATCTCGAATCCTCAGATATCTCAAAGTTTTTCCTCAGTTTCAATGAGTTAGAAATAACAAGGTTTGACTGTACATGTATATGCAAGAATGAAATTTTCATGAGGAAATGGTCTTGATAACTATACAAAAATAAAATCCTCACAAATAAAAAAGTGATTTACAGTACCAGTTTTTACTGCATTTATAGAGTACTACAAGGGCTAAAATGGTCACCTGAGAATAATACAACCCTGTAATGAATCCAAAGAAGTACAAAATAACATAAATTGATTGATGAATATATGTTACCCAAAAGCAAGAGATATAGGTTAATCAGGGACCAACAAAATAGTTAGACTAGTACTCAGTAGCAAATCATAAAGTAGATTTATTTACTTGCCTGTACTTGCCAGTGCTAATAATTCCTTTTTGTCACTATAACAAAACAATGGTGCTTGAGCACATACAGTAAGCTGATCACATTCTCTCTCAAAATAGTCTCTCTTGGTCTTTGAAGAACATTTATTGTGCAAAGATATGTCACAGGTGGTGAAAAATCAAGTCTCAACCGGGACTCGAACCAAGGGCCTATTTTGGAAGAGACACCCTTGCTTATCAAAACCATGCATTTAATCTGTAAGCTAAATATACAGGGGGAGAGGAAAAGCATTCATTTTTACTATATGATCAATAAAACCCCACCCTTATTCCAGAATCTCTGACCCAGGGGCCATGAATTTCACAATTTATGTAGAGGGCCCAATACTATTAAGTACAATCAAGCCAACAGTTTGACTACTTGGTGTCCAGAAGTAAAGAAGAAAAATTTCAAGATTGCATTAATTTTGATGGTTTTAGCCACACCCCTCAGGCCCCAGGGGGACTGGGACCATAAAATTTACAAGCTAAAAATGTTCAAATGTTAATGCCAACACAAATTGCTGGACAAAAACAGATAGCAATAGGTCACCTGAGTGACTCAGGTGACCTAAAAAATTAATATGCACATTCTTTGATGATTCAGCATTCAAAGACAATAAACGAATCACCTGGAAATTGTCTGAGTTGACTCTTGCATAAAAATCAACAATAGATCCACCAATCACCACCTGTAAAATCAGACATTGATTAATATCAATGTAACTTAATAAATATCAATAAAGATACAATGTCCAAATATTGAGAAATATGAACCTTTTCTTACCACATCTGTTTTCTCTGTTTTTTCTGTGTGTTTTGTCACTCGGGCAGGGTTTGGTCTTCCTCTCTTGGATTTGATGAGTTTAGATAATTTATATGCTATCTGGCTGCCCACTCGGGCATTGTTCTGGATGAGGTTCATATCTGTCTAAGTTAAGTCAATCACAAAATCTTTTCTTTATTAATTACTATGTAGTTTGTCTAAATATAATCTAAATAAAAAATAATCTGGCTAGTGTATACTGTAGATTCCTTATCTTATGCAAGCTAGTACTTAACATTGCAAAATGACTTATAGACATCCAATTGCAAGAATAAGAATTTGCAAGTGCTCTTTTTGATCAGGACCTTTTACATAGATTTCAGCAACGTAAGAATAAAAGCGAGTATTTAGTGAGTGGTGTTTCTTGCAAAATTACATGATTATAAATCCCTCCCTTATATTTAAAAATCTGCAGCAAAATAAGAAGGATACTGGCTTCTAGAGATGCCCCTCCTGTCAATTCGTTCACCTTCTCCAAGATAAAGGGAGTCACATCTTTCCCTGATATCTTCTCTTTTCTATATAAATATAAGTATGCATAATAATGTAAGTATATGTAACCATACATTTTATTTCTAAATAAATATCATTTTATCAAATACACTGACGTAAGTCCATCATAAGTTTCAGAATTATAGCAGGTAAACAAAAACTGCTAAACATCAGGCCCTGGGATCATGAAGCAGACTAGACTTAAGTCAAAATTTCATTCATCTGTCAGATGCTTATTAATTGCGAACCAAAACTCAAAATTTGCAGATAACAGCATTTTGGTGATGCACTGTTTTTTTTTACTTTGGACTGTTTAACTGCAACATTTTTTCTCCCCATTATATACATTTTGTAAGCTTATGATGTTTCGCGATCCCAGAGCCTGCTTACTTTGCTTGTAATACAGCGGAGTCTATAGCTAGCTGAATTATCTCCCCTGAGGTGGCATCAGATTCAGGAATGGGCACACCAATCAGGATCCCTGACTTAAGGTGCATATCCATGTGAGCCTCTAAAAGCAGTGATAAATAATGATGAATACCACTGTCCAAAGGAAACAAACATCATGAAAGATTACTCAGTCAGTATAATGCTACTTGACTTGATATTTTTGGTAACAATATTTTGGGGGGATAAATTTACCAGTCCTTCCTATGGATTATCTTTTTCTTTTTTGATATACACGTATTAAGAATTGATAACTAACATAATAAAGAAATAGGACATTTATAGTGTTTGTTGTAAAATTTCACCTTTCTACACAACCATCAACATAACAGATTTCAACAGTTTGAAAAATGTCTTCAGTTTAAAGCAGATTTTTTTTAACAAGAATAAGTCTTAGAGTTACTTCCCTTTACTTGGAACTAGGATCAAAGTCATGAAATCCTCTTGCACCATTTCACTAACACATGGCCGGCCTTACCTATAAAGTGTGCAGCCTGGGTTGGGTTAGTGAGATTGTACGGCACTTGGAAACCACTATGTGGTGTGAAAAATGCCGGGAATTCTCTTGAAGAGCTGTATGTTGCCACAGCAACCCCCTCTGTCTCCTATCATATAAACAGCATCATTAGTTTGAGATTTGAGCAAAAAAAAATCTCTTTTTAATATCTGACAAAATTTTCTTACAACATATATAAACTTGCATTGTTCATTTTTTAGTCTCTGTTTATTTTTTTTTTAAATAATTATTTTTGTTAAGCTAGTGGTGAAACAACTACTAAGTCATATAATAGTCATAGTTTTTGCAAGTACCAGGTATTCCAGTGATTTGCCAATGTCTAAGATAGACTTTATCCCTGAAGATATAACAGTGATAGGAGTTCTGCCTAGTTCTGTTAGATCTGCACTGATATCCATAGCTGAAAGAAATATCAACAAAAGGTGAAATCTATAAACAGACCTATATCTAAATGATGACAAAGTGTCAATGAAACACATGCCTCTGGTAGTGGCAAATTCCACTCATCATGAATTTTAAAATCCTAAATATTGAGTCTCTCTCAGATTAATATTTATTTGATGTTTAACATTTGTTTTTAACTAGAGATGTCCTCATGGGGCTATCATTTGGACCTGTAAGAACTAAGAACAGGGCATTTTATGACATATTAATTATGTAATAGAAGAGGAGAAAAATGTGACGGACCAGACTGTGATTCAAACCCAGGCCTCCTGAATCTCCAGTCAGGTGCTCTACCAACTGAGCTATCTGGCAACCGGCGATCAAACCCGTCTGACCACCACAATTAATTAATCAGTAAGTTTTGACCCTCATATTTCCAATAAAATGTTTTATCCTTATTATCCATATTTTATGTAAAAATATACCAGATTTTCTACCTCATCATCTACAAAGATTTTGAATTTATGGAGTTTTCAACAACTTAAAAATTGCCTGAGAGAGAGAGAGAGAGAGAGAGAGAGAGAGAGAGGGAGGGAGGGCTTTACAGACGATCATGTCATTATAATGTATTTGGGACAGAAAACAAAATGAAATGTTTGTAGTGAGTTCCATAGATACATGTACAAAGACAGACAAAATCAAAACAAGAAATATATAACAGTTCAGTAGTGAGACCTGACACAGACTCAGGGTCAAAATGGCAAACTCATTAAAAATGCTGAGAGCTCTGGGCAGTCTACAAAATGAGTTCTCTGACATAATCCAACTGTTTACAGCAACTGAATAATTTTCTACAAAAACTCATACATGTAACTTAATTTTTATACATGTATTTATTGATTGATCAATTATGTATATTTTTAGTTCATTTTAACAAAATATGGAAAATTTCAAAAAGTTGACTTGGTAGATGATTCAATATATATACATGTACCTATATATTTGCACATACTGATAATTATTGTTTGGATGCCAGTTTCTAGTATACTGTATACCAACTTTTAATTGCAAACAATTTTTATTTGCAACTTGTCAATTTGGAATCTATCCATAAAAACTAATTTTCCTGACTGAAGATATTCATAATGAAATAAACAGTTTGCGGTGAAAAATTTTCCACGGTAAAAGAGGGTCAATGAAATTTCTTGCATGCAAATAAATGTTGGTTTACAGTATTAACAAGTTAATCTGGTATATCCATGTTGTTGATCAACTTATATGCAAGATATCCATGGTATTTTAGATATCAGTGTTCAAGATACTGAAGTTCAACTGTACAAAAAAACTTCCAACTTAACTAGCTTCAAATTTTTGGGTTGGATTACATCAGAAAACATTTTTTAATAATGACCATGTTAATCTACCCACAGCAATCAAATGTTACTTCAAAATTAGTAAAAGTCATAAGGTACATGTGTATCACTGCTAAAGAAATTCATACTCTAGTAACATCAGAAAACAGTAGATATTTAAGATAAATGAAACATCCATGACTGCACGACAACATCAGGCATAAAAACAATTCTTTGAGGTTAAAGTCAAACCAGAGACATAAATAACTGAGATTGACAACTGCTTGAAATCTTGCCTTATCTGCTGGCCCACAGGATTTTGAGAAAAATGCAAACACCAATTAAAATAAATTACATGTATATCTTAAAAATTGCCAAGAATAATGAGATAAACCCTCTAAATCCAACTAACAAATTACCCAGAATGTCATTTTTTTTATGTTTTTTTTTTTTAAATTTAAAACAATAAGGAAGGAGTTTAGGAATGCAACAGGTAGTCAGCCAAATCTCTGAGACTTTACCATAGTTACCTCTTTATAATTGGGATACTTTTAAGCATTGAATTCTTGTTTTTGGATGTCGTTGGTCCTATAACACACCTGGCCGTGCCGACAAATTGAATACCACGCGAGCGTGGAATGATAATTTGTAGGCACGGCCAGGTGTGTTATAGGACCGACGACATCCAAAAACAAGAATTCAATGTTTATACATGTATTTACATTCTCTAATTTTCTCTCTTCATAATTATTTATCTTTATTATGAAGTTAGTGCCTTTCCTAACTGGTGTGCTTAGTTAATAGATGTAAGCGCCATTTGTGACTTTGGAAAGTTAAATAACGCAAATGAACATTGGGAGGAAAAAAATGACAGATTAATTTTAAACGCACAGTTGTTGTATTTAATGTTAATTTAACAGGGTAGTAGTTTTGTATTAAATCGAGTTAAAACAATATACATTTTGGTGTTCCTAGATATTGAAAATGCATATAGTTCCTACTGTGTATTCTATCGCGCGGTGACAAGGTTTCACGTGTGTTATAGAGATTTGAACGTCGTAGATTTCTAATGGATTTAAAAAAGAAAATTACACTGAATGTAGATATTGCTTCTTTAATGAATGGATAGTTTATAAACTTTACAAATCCTATCCCCATACATAATAGAATTAAAAAGGAGTTAACGTCAGATGGAAGTATTCAAAATAATGCCTGGTCCAGCACATATTTTGGCAAATAAACCTGTTAATGGCAGAGCTGCTAATCATCTCTATTTAAGTCTCTGGTCAAACTAAACAGCCTGTCTCTCACCTCTCCTGTCCCAAGACCTCTATCCATACACCTGTACATTGTATTACATGCATTAAGATAAAAATATACTATAAATTTAATGGTAGAACTTTAAACTGCCATTTTTCCATTACTTTTATACTGGTCAATTTAATTACATGTATTTGCACTTTGTCTACCAAAATTTGTTCAGTTGATATTCAAATTACCAGCATGCAGAAATTTAAACTGGACCTGAATCCAGGACTTGAATGAATCAACAATTTAAAATTGTATCTTTAAATTACATCAATATTAAAGGCTTGCATGTGTTAATACACAAACAGTAATTAAATCACTCATCTTTCATGATTGTACTGAAGTGCATGATAATTTACTGTTTTGTGTTGACACCTTGTAGGAAGAGGAGCAAAATACTTTAACTTAGCTCAATGTATTAAATGCTTTCAAAAACTAATTAATACGAAAAATTGCAGCTCAATGATCTAGCATAAAATATAACATGCAATTACAGTTTATGAATACTCATACATGCCAAATAAACAGTACAATTGACTTACTTTCCTGTACCCCATGGTGAACCCCTCCTATACCGCCAGTCACAAAGATCTGGATGCCTACCATTTCTGCCACTACCATTGTACCACTAACAGTGGTGCCGCCATTCAGTTTCTTCAAACAGAAAGCAAAACCCTTCAGAAAATTTCTCTTAATAATGATTCTTCATTCAATAAATAGGTTTACAGACTTTATCTGCTTTGCTCCTACTATTATTATACATAAGATAATTTACTAAACCTTGCATATTTACTAGTAACAATATGAAACAGATTTATTGCTAAATTGATGTAAGGTGAATTTTGAAAATGTTGCTTGTTACTTGAAACTAAATTCAATAAATTATGAAAAGACTTACAGATATTTTCAAATATATCAATCTATATAGTTATTCCTGTATAAGAAAATATATTATCCCCCATCAATACCAAGCTGATCACCCCTGGAAAGTCCCTTCGTGACGTCTTGATGGCCGATGTAGCAGGATCAGCTAAATACTCGGTCTCCATGGTTGACAAGCCTGTCAATTCATAAAATAAAAGAATAATCCTCAGCACCACATTCAGCATGTATGCAGTAAATCTTTAGATGTTCAATGTACATGATGGATGTATGACTTTATTCAATATGACTTGAAATGACTCTGGTAGTGGTATTAACGAGCACTAACCCATGACATGATATGATTTCAAATTGCATCATCACATAAGAAATCTATCTCATTCAGTTTAAAAATGTAAAACATGAAAAATAATTTTCAAGACTTATTTGAATATCAGGTTATCCATATGTAAAATAACAAACTGCATGTACTCATTAGAGCACACTTGTTAGCTAGTTTTTAAATAGATTTAAATAAAATGCTATCGCATTTGTCTCCCTTTTCCTCCATGATGTGAAGTTGGATAACAGAGTATTTACCCACTCGGACTTTGCCTCCCAGTATTCCTATAGTGGCTGGAGTTGCCCCATTCTCCCTGACAATTTTCTCCACAGATAATGCAGTTCTGAAGGCAAAATATCATAAAAAAATTAATGTCAGTGTTTCCTAATATGGCAAAACTCCTTTAAAACTACTTTTTTCTACAGAGATTTTTTTTAAAAAGTATTTGTCCTTTTGCAAATGTTCATGGCCTGTCCCAGAACTGATCCTGTGCCAGTAGTCCAATAACAAGAATAGGACTAAAAATCCTCCCTTCCATGGGTTGTAAACAAAATCTCTTGGAATCCCTTTTTGCAAGATTTCTATTTGATCATAACAAACTATATCATATATAAGTTTGATGCATTTCTCTCTAAGCTGTTCACAATTTCTGATATGTGAAATTCAAAATACAAGGTGTCCCCAGAATTCCATTCAGGTACTCCGGATTTACTTAAAACTTTAACTCACTGAAGATTCTGGGGATGGGGCATGCCATGAGTGATGATGGTCGACTCCAAAGCAACAACTGGCTTCCCATAATGCAATGCTTCTCTTACCTCTTCTGATATTTCAATGATATCTGTAGAAAATGAAAATATGTGTATATTCACACCATGGAAACACGCATATTAATTTGGCAATATTCAGGGTCCTAAATATTAAAAAGGGATATTGATTTTCCTGTTTATGGCTTACAGGGTAGTTCTTGTCACACAAGGCTTGTATTTGGAGTCCCACCTTAATTAAAGGATGACAGAGTCAGTGCAAAACTTATAAATGGTACTGGATTAGTCATTTTAATTTTTAATTTGAAATAAATACCCATTGTGATGAAGATTTTTATTCTTTTTCAACACAATACAATCCTCTTGTAGCCTAGGCTGAGTCTAATGTTCATCATCTGAACAAATTTAAATCTATACAATATTAGGATCCTTGCATATTCATTTAGACCTTTGGCTCAAGTGAGCTAATTAATGTCTTTAAATCTAAATACCACATACACAAAGAGCTAGGTTCACTTTATGCATATAATGGCCCTGTAGATATACCGATTTATTGACTAACATTTTATGTTCCATTTTAAACATCAAGATAAAGTAGAGACTTAGTGCTTTCATTTCCTATTAAACAATTTTCTCCTTAAAGCCAAGGTCTTGGAAAACAGGCTTCATGGAATTGCAATGTTCTTGAATTTTAAGGAAAACAGGTATATTTGAGTACTTTCACAGAAGAGAAATAATATGAGCGCACCCTCTGATCTAAAAAATAAAACATGTTTCGTAATCCTCAGAAATAGTTCTATCATTTAATAGTTGCATATTTTAGATCAGAGGTGCGCTCTATATTAAATATCGAAAAATAGCTTTAAAAATTTGGTGTTTATTTGTAGAATTTTTCAGGATATGAGGAAAATGATGCATTTCATGACGTCATAATGCATTGACTAGCCAGAAAATTACGTCATATTTGATAGATACGCAGTCACCAAAGGTCTAAATGATATTTAATGCATTGTCAACTAAAACTAAGCAGTTTCAGGTTTTCTGAAATTCACAGGGCCAAAAAAGGCCCTAAGTGAATCTTGTTCTTTCTACCTTTAAAGTCATATATGGCGTATTTTTTATAAGTTCAGACTAACTAAAATTAAAAAGATCTTTCTATTTGTTTTATTACTTTATATAAAGATAGGACTTTCCTGTAAATTACACAATTTAAATCAATAATGTTTCAAAGATATTAGAAATTTTAAACAATAACCGATTTATTTACAGACTCCTCATTTAAATAACAGACAGTTTATTTAAAGTCAATATAACTATAGAAACATGAGATTATTCAAGTTCAAAATCGGTGAAAACTTTAATTTGAACATAAATAACATATATCATGTTTATCTACACTCAATCTCGTATTTTTATTTTTGAGCTCAGATACGCCATATATAGCTTTAAAAAATCGTTCATACATCTTACACAACATTTTCATTATGTACACATACACAGGTCACTTGTCTACAATGTTTAAATGCACAGGTGATTTCAACATTTTTTTTTCTTTTTGTATATATTGCATAATAATTACAGACACTACATTTGTCAAGGATTATTTCACCTAAACAGTTAAGTTATACTTCTCAGTAAATATTTACTTTTTTCCCAAACTTTCCACCTAATTATGAGAGAATACTTGTACATGTATATTACAACTAGAAAGGTTCTTATTAGCATTTACAAGTACTTACTAGATGAAAATTTTCTGCCTTTTAAAAATGTTGTTCTAGGAGCAATTGTATTCCACAGTCTGTACATTTTGGTGCTCCAATTATTTTTTTCTTCTTCAATATCAGTTTCTCAAACTCATCCCTAAAAATATAGAAATAAAAAAAAATACAATAAACCAACTTTTATTCACGACTATAGCGATACACTTTTACTCGAGAATATTTCTTGCCACAAACCATTTTTATGTAAAATTTTTCCTCAGTCGCAAAAATAAAAAAGTAGCAGATGGATTAACCGAACTGACAAATCGTGAATAAAAGCAGTGAATAATGGTCAGTTTACAGCAATTGCAGAAAAGGAAATTCTTTTTACTTTTTTACTTGAAAGTCTCAAATTTGTTCAGAGTTCTTTTTAGCACAAAAGATCACAAGCACATGGAGCATGGACACCCCACCCACCCCAACCTTATCTATTTTTTGAATCAACAACCTTGTTTTCTTATTCATGCTTTATATAAACAATAGCGTGACCTTTATCATCTTTATCATAAGCTCTATGTAAATATCGTGTTTGACTGAGAGAAAGGATTTCTCATCATGTTGGTAACTCCATTTCGTTTTCCGTTATCACCAAATAACAGATAAAGTCCCGTACGCCTTTTTTTCCAACATTAAGAAACCAAGTTATGGCTGCAATATCTGATATAAACTTCGCTGTATTTCGATTGCGATAAAAACTGTTGCACATGTATAACAGTTTTAAGGTTTTGTCAAAGGTCAATATGCCCAAAAATTTATTTTTACAATAGCTCCAAAACTATGTGAGATATAAGGTTAAAACTTTTACAGTTTATAAATATATCATTGATTAACAGATAGAAAGTATCATTTGAAAACAAATATTTAAAAAAATATATTTTTTGAGAAAAAAGTTTCAAAAAATTTGCATATTTTAAAAAAAATTGCACCCACTTAATTCTGTACTTTTAGTGAAAACCATCATTGCAGAAATAATATATGTTTATCAATGAAGGGCAAGTTGGACGTGAATGGTCTCTGAAAGGCTGTTATTGAAAGCATGACATGTATAAAGAGAAGACCCCTATAAAATCCGCCATTTGCAATGTACTTTCGGTTTCAAATCTTAACATTTGGACAAAATAAACAGAGAAAACAACTTTCCAGAGGCTATCGAAGTCCAACTTGCCCTTCATTGATATTAAACATATATTGTTTCTGCAATGATGGCTTTCGCTAAAAGTACGGAATTAATTAGATGTAGTTTTTAAAAAATATATGCATTTTTTAAAATGAATTTTTCTCAATAATTTTTTTTTTAAGTATTTGTTATCAAGTGATACTCAGTCTAGACGAACTCCAATAACAGCGTTTCCGGAAGTAAGAAATTGAGACTGAAAAAGACTCCGAAAAAAGAGTCCGCGCATGCGCACATACACAAAAAATGGCGATTTTTCGGCAAAATTGATGGGTCTACAAAAACTGTCGGTGCAAAGTTTTGGAAAGTATGGCAATTAAGACAGTACTCAGAAATGCTAAATAAAAGACTTCGGAAGAGGTCGTATTTGTCAGATTTTTGATTTTATTTGCAAAATAGGAGATATTTACTTTCAAAGTTGACGTTTGAAGTCAGATCAATTACAGAGAAAATGATACGTTTGAGAAGTAAATATGCATAATAAAAAGGATATATATGCATAATGGGACAATATATCTTGTAACTGTTAAAAACTTGACTGAATCTTACATATAAATTAGCATTCCGGTTTTTTTATTTGTGTACGACATCTGAATTGAACACGTAAGTTCTTACCGTCGTTATTTACCGATTTCTTATCACATACGAACATATATTATTATGAAAACATTTTTAAAAGTATAATCTATCAATAAGAAAACTTTAAAAACCACTCTTCTAGAAATTAAGGTCACAACATGTCTTCTAAAAATGAACCTGTGAATATCTCTGCTCCATGTTGAAAAATACGCATTTTCTGATTAAAACAAATACAAGCTGGGTGTCTTCAAAAACAAATAAAAGCATCTTTATTTTAGGAACGACATAAAATTTAAATCAAGGAGACAATAAATCAAATAAGAAAATAATTCTTACCGGCACTATTGAATTCGATGTCGTATATCCAATTTACTAGTATGCAAGAGTTTGAAGCAATAAATAAGTCAATATCCACAAAATAATTTAATAAATGTAATTATCCATTCAATAAAAATTAAAATAAAGACACAATGCATTAAATACAGCCATTATGCAGCCGTATATTTGGAGAAAGCGAACGACAATCCATCGTTTGTTTACATCGGACGCCATTTTGCCGCAATGCATGATGGAGCCATTGACTTCGTTTTCGGAGTTCACGCCGTTTTTGGAGTTCGTCTAGACTGATACTTTCTATCTGTTAATCAATAATATATTTATAAACTGTAAAAGTTTTAACTTTATAAACCACATAGTTTTGGAGCTATTGTAAAAATAAATTTTTGGACACGTTGACCTTTGGCAAAACCTTAAAGCAGTTTTATTGCATGCAATTAAAAAAAAATCACCACTCAGCTGTCCTGCTGCCGTGCTGGGCAGGTCAATCGACAATCACTCAACCGGAAAATGAAACACAGGTTCTAAAATCAAAATCAATCAGTCTCGTATTCCGGGTGTTTCCAAGTTTTTTTTTAAAACACCAATGAAAACTTTTTTAACAGGTATGACATACTCACAGTAATCAAATACAATATTCAATACTCAGATTCTATACTGAATTATATGTGTAATTTCAATGATACTTGCACATGCATGAAACCATGAACAAAATTCATGAAATTATAGAAGGGAGCAGACTTCTGATGATGATTAGGGCCGGGGGTAGGTGTAATAATTTGAAAGGATTTCCATTTTAATACAAGAAAAACTCTTTTATTTAAACACGTTTGAAACAGAGTTACAGGTGTTATTTTCGGATAATTACAGAATTTCAGTTCAGAATTATGACATTTGGACAGAAGTCAGTGTACTAAACTGCATGGTCATACGCTTCTAACATCAAGGATGTTTTCCATTTTTTTTTTAAATAATAATTTTTTAAGCTGGACAGTGGTATGATTCAAACAAACAGCAAAAATTATTGATTCAAACAAACAGCAAAAATTATTGATCTACGATATTATGGCGTATACATATGTTACATATGTTACAGGTAATAGAGAATGGTCCTGTACATTTTTCAAACAAATTCAGTCAATTCGAAAGACACTGAAGGGGGAAAATCTTCATGAAATTTTAGGGCACAAGAATTTGATTACTAGTGTAACAGAAAAAAAGCAGTTTTTTAGTGCCCCTGATAAAGTTCAATCCTTGTCGTTTATGCTGGCCAGGCCCGTAGGAAGCAAGGGGGGGGGGGGGGGGCACAACGGAAAAAGGTCATCAGAGATGAGCACGTAAATATTGAAGGGGCACATCCATAAAGTAGCTTTATTTTCTATAGAAATCTGTTGCCCCCCCCCCCGTGCCCCTTCACCGGTTCGCCGGGCCATGGTGCCGTCAAGGGTTTACAAAATATACATTTATCATGAATTTACTTGGTATAGCGGTTCAAAATTTATATGTTATAGTAGGTTATACATTTTGGATTTATTTTGTGTCCTTTCAAAATTTGCAAATGAATTTACATGATATATACATATATTTACATTTCCAATGTCTTTGTCCGAGATAAAATTACAAATTGTAAAAATACTTTATTTCTACATAAATCTACTGGTTCATCGATAGGCGCGGTTAAAAAAAATCACGTGCGGGGCGGGACAAATAGAGACAGAAATGGGGCTATTAGCACGGGAATTTGCAGAATCAGGAGCATGTAAATATAAGGAATAACTGACAGATTTTTTGGATTCATGACGATGATCAATCGATTGGCTTGCGTGATAATTTTATGCATAAACGCCTTCGGCGTTTATGCAATTTATCACGCAAGCCACTCGATTGATCACATCATGAATACAAAAAATTAGACAGTTATTCCTTAAGTAAAACAGGCTGTAAAACGAATATTTTACACCGGGGTTGGGGGGGGGGGCTGACCCTTTTAAAAAAAAAATACTCACGAGCATGAACGGAATTGGCCAACAGGCATAGCCTGTTTTAGCCCCCTTTTCGTGATAAAAGAAATTTTATGGATTTTTTTTTATCGTTAGGCGCCCCCAAATGAAAACTTTGAGTTTTGTGAAACTGCATGCATCTTTCTTTTTTGGGAGGGTGGGGGGATGGAAGGGGGAGGGGAGGTTGAAGAAAAAATGTCAAAGTACATGTATCTGTCTTGTTCCACTGTATAAACAAATTCTATTTTTCCCCGCATGGAGTGGGGAAATATGGATTTGATAAAAATAAACAATCCAAGTTTCACACTGCATATTCATATTGAATATGGCTAGTTTACGCTAGCTTTTGAAATAAATGTAATTCGTGATTTTTTTAGGGACTCTGCACAATTATCTAATATTTTGGGGACACCTTGGATTTCCTGAAATGACTAGGATTTACTTATACACAATTCCTGACTCGATCATTCAGTCACTGCAATAAATCCCTACAAACTATATATACCTATGTCATGCCCCATAAACACTTATTTCCTATAACATACATTGATATGCGGGTACTATCAATGATGAACGAATTCATCTTGATTCTTTGCCATAATTATAAAAATTTATGTTTTAAAATAATGATTCAACCTCGGACAAGATGTTGTCAAAACAAACAAATCTTGTTGTAAAACAATTTCACAACGATCGAGTACATTCGACCTAAAATTTGACCGCATACGAGTATATTATTTACCACTGGTAAAGTATCCCTGTAATTCTAGTTAGAAATAATTAACCTGCTATGATTTACGTGAAAATGCATTAGGATAATAAATAGCACACCTAAACCCTGTGGAGAAAGGGAGAGAGAGATAATCATTTAATCCTTACGTTATGCAATTTCCTTCGTTACAAAGACACAATACATATTGTACATTCAAAAGGATGTTGTATGAGTAAGAGTTAGCATATGTAGAATAAACTATAATGTAGTTTAAACTAAAAGTTAAATGATGTAAACAAGCCCGTCGGAACCGGTGCACTCGAAGAGGGGGGGGGGGATCCCCCGTCCTTTTGAAATTTTGCCAAGGTGTACTATACAATGGAACACAAAGCAATACACATTTGTACCCCCCTCATGACCATAGTAATGTCTGAGAAGTTATCAAGGAATTTCTGTTAACTGAGCCCCCCTCCCCCAACTGTAATGGCTTCCTATACAGCCTAAAGTAAATATTATCACATATTTTAGTTCTAAATGGACACTTATTTAATTCTGTAATAAAAGTTTATTCCCTCTAGTGCAATAAAATTATTATTAATATTATACGGTGGAAGTAAACTTTTATTGCAGAAACAAGTGTCTAGAAAATTGCTAGCTTTTTTTCCCCTTTTTTTTTTTTTTAAAGAGTTCTTGACAGTGGACCTCAATAAACACTCGCACACGAAGGGCACTCCTATGTTGATTTCAATAGATATTTCGATTGATGGCATTTTATTGCCTGGTGTTAAAAATCAAAAATAAACTATACTTTCTTTGAGTAAACGGCTCTCGGGTTTTAATTGTTATTTATAAAACATTTTCTAAAATGAGGTTTTATAGATATCGATCAAAGCGAAAGCGTGAAAATTTGGAACGGTAAATAGCAAATACATCTGAAAATTGGGGGATTTCGAAATCATGCGTATCCATGACTCTTTTTTCTAAACATTATGTATTTTTGTAAATTAGGAGTTGCATCTTATGACAAGATTAAAAAGTCTAAAGCAAGACGACTGGCCACACAACCTCGAGGTTTTCTCTTGTAATGGTAAGTAGGTATATACATGTCGAATCTGATTTTGCTTCGCGTCTATAGTGTAATATTATATTGATCCAAGCTAAGTAAATTCCCTTCATATTGTTTTTTTTTTAAATGCATGTACCTGTATGAAATTTTTTATCAATAAAATAAACTTACTTCAAAAATATATACTCGTGTTAAAGGACGACAATTTTCGGAGAATTTGGTCTCAAATCTAGCATACAAATGTAAAATAGACACAAATATAAAGCACAAGAATGAATCCAACCAAAGAGTGAAAAATTAATAATATTTATAAATTTACGTAAGTTTATCATTAGGTTTCTATTTTTAAATATTACAGTGGTTTAAATTCATTAGTATATTTAGGAATTAGTAATATTACAACAACATATACGAAAACTAACAATCAAGATTGTAATACATTGTGTAATATAATATATATACATGTATTGTTAAATATTACCTTTTTTCGATTCAAAATTATGCTGAGGACATGGATAAATGGATAAGTTTTAGAGATTCTACAAACGTTTTGCTATAGACAATCAACAGAGCCAGGGGGTGGGTTGGGTTGGGGTAGGGTGGGATGAGGGTGGGAGTTTCACAGTGCATTGCTGAAAATGAACACATTTATCCTATTGTACATTCATATATTCAACATTTGGTAGATTTGATTGATTATTCTTGCATAATACTGTACATTAGCCATACCTTATATATATTAAGACTGCGTACAAACTAAATTGTGTTGTAAATACATACAAGGAGAGTGTGTGCCTAATTCCACTGTATAATTTTCTTCCATAATAAATATTATGTTTATAACTTAACAAGACAAAATCGTTACATGCAGTTAAATTAAAAGGGAATTCAACACCAATCTTTTTTTTCGGTTAAAAACCAGCGAATTCTATTTTCAATATGTGAATTTGTATAAGTATTTCTGAATATCAATAATCTTTCATTAATTTTTGAGGTTACATCAATAAATTACGTCGATCGATAATGAGTGATTTAAATATTATGTAATCATATGTAATACTAATAATTCACTGCGCCGTTCAGGCCTGCAAGCCTAAAATGATAACAGAGGACCGTATATATCATATTTACATTAATTTGTTGTTACTAGGGGTAAGCTATTCATTTTGATAACATATACCATAGCATTTTGATAACATATACCATAGCATTTTGATAACATATACCATAAGCTTATTATGATTTTTTTCCCCGAGTTCTTTACGCCTTGCCAGTTAAATCTGTAGATTACCCCCAGAATGTTGATATTCTCATTTTTACATTAATTGATAGAGGATATTCCCCTGTTTCATATTGAACTAGTATATGTCCCAAATACATTTGCTGTATTTTATTTTTTTTTTCAATATTTAAATATGTATTTTATTTCACAAGCATCTAAGTAAGACGGACTTTTTTTTTTATTTGCATGTGACTAGAAATAATCATTCACTATTAATAATTTGTCCACAAACTTTTTATTTGACGTACCTATAGTTGGTATGATGAAATATATATTCATATATTTTTATTGAATAACAAACAGTTCAGCACTACATGTGAACACATGAATAGCAATCTCTCACTCAGAACTCCGTTTTACTGAAATAAGAAACGAAGTTTAATAAATTCAATCTCGATCGATACATAATTTGATCTATATTAATTAATTTGTAGTAGAGCATAGTGCGGGATATTCTAGGTTCAGAATCAGATTGTGAAAGAGATATAAAAAAAATCATCATGATTTCATTAACATAATATAATAACGGAAAAAAGCCTTATATATTTATACTATAACAGGCTTATATATATATATATATATATATATATATATATATATATATATATATATATATATATATATATATATATATATATATATAAAGCAGCGATCCTAAATGTTATACTTGTCACCACATTCGAGTTAATTCTGCAAACTGCAAGTCGAAAAAAGAAGCTTTTTTCAATCTCCTTTATCATAGCATAAATTTACTTTTCCCCCAACAAGTATAAGTTATAAATATGTTCTTTTAATTATATCTTTTCCTGTTATTTAAGGGAAAGAGGAAGTGTTTATTAACTGAGCATCTGAGTTAATTTGAATATTAATAATGGATTTGAAAATTTTTTGGAACCATGAACGGGTAGCGTAAGTCGTAAAGTAGGTCAAGTGGTCACAACAGATCATGGTACACACACCTCATGCTACGCGTGGTGGTTTGTTATGATTCGTATGGCCTGATCAGGTCGCGTGAGAATATACCGTGACGTCACGGAGCTCTCAATTTGAAGATTTATTCACAATTTATAAACACTTTCGTAAAGAAACAGACAAAAAATTATTTATATGGAATATTTAATGAAGGTAAGTGTGAAAAGTATACTTTATACCCGGAAATCGACATTTTGACAGTTATTTTGTATGCATGTAACACTTTCCTGGGACAGGTGCACAAGTCTACTTAGCAGTAAGCGTACATTCGTTCGTTGCGTGATAAGATTTCGTATGAACGTGTAACTTTGTCATGGCCGTAGGAACCGGGGGGGGGGGGGGTGCCCCCCAATAATTTGGCCAATGCATAGAACCTATAGAAAACTTAGCTACTATATGTTTGTGCCCCCCTCAATAAAAACGGCTGATGACCTTTTTTTTTTTTTTTTTTTTTTTGCTTGTCAAGGAATTTTGGTAGTTCATAGTGCCCCCTCAACTGAAAATGTTTGGCTGTGCCCCCCCCCCCCCCAAACTGAAATTGCTTCCTACGGGCCTGTTTGTTTATCTAATGATTTAAATATTATAGTATAGTGGTCAAAATTCGTGTGTAAAAATCCAGGAAACATTATAGTTACATACAGTGGTGTAAGGTTTTGCAGTAAATTTGCTGAAATAGTGTGAGGAGGGGGGTAATAATAATATCGAATTGTGAGGGCCTTAGAGGGAGACTTATATTTACATGTATAACCATTTGGCTGCCAGAAAAGCCAGGACTTAATAAATCTTTTGCATGCAGGACCAATAAAGGGACCCTGACCCAACTGAAAATTGCCCCCCCCCCCAAAAAAAAAGAAATATTTTTTTCCCAATACATATTGCATTTTCCCCACCTAAACACTCTTTTAAAAGATCTGAGGTGCATAGAGGATAACGGTACAATCTAACTGTCTTAAAATATTCTACAATAGTTAAACAATTTGTCGTCTATGATATTTTATTGCCATTTTTTAAAGGAAAATATAATTCCCAATTGAAAGGATACAAGAGCTTGTACCATAAATGGCCAATTAAGCCCTATACAAGCATAAAAATAAAAATATTGTGATTGGTTGAATACAGATTGAACCCTCTCAAGCTGAAGATATATTTTATGCATATATGTTTTGCATATTACATTAAGCCATTTTACGTATTTTTTTCAATTACCTGTACGAGGACCTACCTTAAGTTTGAGCTCAGAGCTGTTCTAACAGTTGCTCCACGTATCTGTTTTTCTGATATTCACCCCCACCCCGAACCAATTCTAATCTTACTCACAGATTGAATTTTTTTTTGTTTTCATTTTCATGTAAAATTCTGAAAAATAAATGTAAAGATCTACAAAAAGTAAATATCTCATTGAACAACATTTGAATTAACTGTGCAGAGAAGAAGACATTCTGGAAAGAATTGTTGCACTAGAGAGAAACTGGAAACATTTCCAAGCCCCCCCCCCCCCAATAAATAAAATAATTGAATGAATGAATAAGATTCAAACAATATTTAAAGAATTCTTTATTTATAAAAGAAGCCAAGATGTGCAATATACGAATATTGTCAATCATATAATTTATTTTTTAAATGAAGGAGCAATACAATTAAAATTGCCGATGATTAGTGTTTGATATCAATGAACAATTGGCATTAAACAAAATCAATTGTAAAATTGTAAGCAAGACCATTACTTCGGCGATTTCAAAAGACAATCTAGATATACAGTATATTATATTGACTTTTGTGACGTATGAACACGCGCGATGATATATGTAGACTTTTTAACGCTACACAATGGTAGGTATTATTTCAGATTTATCGCCGCACTGATCTGTTAAAACATGTAATAATTCCCAATGGATATTTAAATTGATTGATCTGCAACGATTGTCTGGATTTCGAAACTTATTTAAACAATTTGTAGTCGACCATTTTGGAGAGGAGCGTGTTCAGGTTTTGTGGTTTTGATTGCTATGGCTATATGTATTTGGATATATGGACAGTTGTCTGGGTATCAATTTTACATTTAACATGGAGGTGTCTGTGTTATTATAAGGAATCATCTCTGTGATATGGAGGTAATCAATATCCATTCATTGCTCTTTCAAATTTGGTAGCGTGCAAATTTAAACGCTTCTTTCCCTTTTAAATAAATTAAATATATAATATATCATGTATTTCAATGAATTCACGCACATTTTCAAGCTATGCCATATAAGGAAGTAATAGGCGTGAATTTGGAAGGCAACTTGAGGGTATATTCATTAAAATAAACATTCATTTTGAAAATAATGTGAAAATTAGGTGAAATCAAAAGATTTGTAGGGATTTTTGCATAAAAATAATTTGTGGTGACACCAAGATTCGTTGAAATCTGCTAAGCGTCTTTCAGAAGCCCTTCTTGTTAGACAAGGATTGGATGTCGAAAGCTTTGTCAATATTTTGTCAAGGGTGTTGAATTTCCGAGAGTAAAATGATTTGAAAAGATTGGGTTTAAACCATACCTTATGTAAACTGCTTTCAAGAAAGTCGATATGGCAGACATGCGAACACGTTTAATACATCGTTTGTGTTATTGAGTCCTAATAACTGACATTACACTTAATCTCCAACTTAAAATAATGTAAAATATCATTGTAGAGGAGTCTCAAGACATTTATAAAAGGACTTAAGTTCTCTCCGTGTACGAAATGAAGTGCTTCACATGCAGTGCTTAAAATTGGTATATAAAGTTGATATACAAAAATCTATGGTGGACCATTTGTTCGCTTTAATGCACTGTTTTTTTTCTTGTTATTGTAGGTTGGACTAAGGGCCAAGGCATTAATCAGATACCTCCACAAGAACCTGCATACAGAGCAAGCTGGCAGCCAAATGACAGAGGATGAGACGCAAGAGAAAGCAGTGGCTTTTCTGGCGTTATTGAAAAAGGACGAAGAAGCCTTAGTGACGGAAGTTAAGAAACTTGTGAAATCTAATAAAGAACTTGCCAAATATATTTTTAGTGCACAAATTGATGGATGGACACTATTTCATGCGTGTGCCCTAAGAGGATGCCGGAAGTTATTGAAGTATGCCATCAGGTCCGGTGTTGACGTCAATCTCAAAATGGGAGAACCGGAAGGTGTCCCCGGCGGATGTAGTGCTTTACATATGGCGGCTCACAGAGGTGACGTAAGCGTGATCGAAATCTTGACCACTTCAAGGGCAGATCTAGACCCGAAAGACAGTAATGGGAAGACTCCCGTATTTTACGCATCCCGTGCTCATAACTCTTTAGCAGTGAAAACGCTTAGGAAATTAGGGGCTGACATCTCTAATTGTGAAAATGCTGTTATAAGAGACGAAGGCTCGCTTAGATCGCCACTCAATAACTTCCGGTTTCTGCCATTTCCGGGATGTTCCGGATCTAGGTCGTGACCATTTAGAAATTCCGTCCATGAATCAAATTCTCAACGTGTTCAAACATTATCTATACAAACAAACATATTTAATGTGTTAATAATTTACAGAAGTTCTATTTATGTGTAGTTTATACATGTATGATTTTATTTATAAACAGATTTTTCCCGCATACATTTTGTAGCATTTATGGAGGTATTTAACTGAAATTAACACAGTACAGTAATACTGAAAGACCTTTAAAAGCTAAGAAACTCAAAGTACTCTTTGTATGTAATTCGTGGAACAAATAATCATTTACAGAATTCCTTAAACATTATAGCTAGGTATACTAGCGATGAACAAATGTATTATATGTTTATTTATATTGCAAATTTTCCGCAAATAAACCAAAGAAATCTGGGTTTTTAAAAATATTTTTTGGGTGAAAAATTCATTTTCTTTAGCCAGATTTTTTTTGAGGAGCTATGGTTCACATACGAAGCTACTCTTTTGTGTTTTTATCCCAGCCTACATGAAATTTTAGTGGCAGTCAATGTGATTGGATACATTTGACCAGCCCCCTTTTTTTCGGGGTTTACACAGGTAAAATTGACAAATCGGTTGGATATGCAAATTTCTGAATTTATTCAAGCCGAAGCTTAGGAAATGCAAATATGTTTTAGTACTGTAGATTTTGTTCAAAGGTGCAATTTTACATGGAATTTAGTGTCTATATATATTCTTCACCTGCTTAAAACTGTATTTTAATTGTTCCCTAAAATATTCACATTTATATCTTATCTTATATATGTTGGATCCTAAAAAAAACCCATGTAAAACCAAATCCTCATTTGTCAAAGACTCCTTTACCGGTAAAATCAGGACTCCTTTACCGGTAAACATGGTAAAATCACGGTTGAATTTTAGCTTCATCAAATGCGTTATTCGCATAAACCAATTTTTATTGCATATACTGTATCACCAAAGTTTGACTTAAAAAAATATTATCGATAATGTCGGTTCATATTCCGACTCTCAGCTCCAAATAAAAAAAAAAATCCATATACATGCAACTGCATTTGAAGTAACACGATAAAAAATTCAATTCGACATTATTATCTAGCCAAATGCGAATATCTGGGGATTTTGGCTTTAATGTCTTACAGTTCTTTTACTCAGTTCGCGGTGTGAAAAAGACAGCTGATCTGGAAAAGTGTCTAGTTATAAAACTGCTGATCTTGACAATACTGCATGCATTGGCAAATGTTCCCATTTTAAAAATTCAAAGAGCCCGACAATAAATCAATCTTATCGGTAAGTTTAAACGTTTTAATTCGTCAAGGACTTTAAGCATCCACTTTGTATATTGATAACACGTTAATTAACACTTCATAACAAATATCTTTTATTCGAATTTCAAGTGTACTTCACAAATAAGCCTCTCTTCGTGCAATATTTGGCAGTATAGTTACTGTCCTCTATAAAAATATAGAATATTCAGTTTAAATTTTGTATATGACAATTAAATTGAAAAACTCTAAACTTTTATAGAGGACACTACGAGGGCATTACTAACATCCGCCTCTCGTCAGAAAAGGCGTTACGTAGAAAGACTTGAGACAATCCTTTTTCTTTTTCTCCTTCAGTATTTTATCCTTCCTTCGTCATTATTTACGATGGCCTAGTAAGATCAAATTAGGAAGATTGAAAAAAATATTAAAAACTTTTATAATTTTTATTCAATTTCCTAATGCCTTCATAAGTATTACTTATTCTTGACCTTTTTCAATTTTGAAAATTCTCTTACACCATGAAAATAAGCATTTTCCTCAAGATTAAAAAAAAATGACTGAACTTGGACATATTTAAAGCTGTGTGTAAACCATTGACAATTTGTGCGATAAAAGATTAAAAAAGTCTTTGGTGCAGTAAGTGCTTTGAGTCAATTCTTTTTAATTCTAAACAGTTAAGAATTGACAAAAAGCAATTGCCAAGTGAGGGGTATTTCTCAATATAGTTCAAAAGAAATACCTGTTAAAATCTCAGTATCAATTTTCAAGTAATGTAAATATATCTTTTGAAGTCAGTGTCTTTATAATTTGGCAGGCCTTTATAATACTTAGTTCCTCACAAAGAACAAGGAAAAACACCCAATAACTTTCTTAAAAAGAAAACCTTGGTTAAGGACTAAAGGTAATCGAGATTTTACTTGAACATAATGGTAAAAGGCTTTGATCTTTGTAACTTTAGATATCTATAGGTCCCAGGTCAAATTCTATACATTCATAACATAAAGGTCACAATCCATTTCAATACAGATTGTACAAGTTGAATTGTGTGGGGCTTTATAATCACATAGGGAATAGAACACAGAAAGCCTTACACCAAATTATACAAAAATTATATAACACTCTCTCAATTCATTAAATCTGATCAAAAACACAATAAGATGAGGCAACGGTAAAAATCTTTTTAATTCAAGGGAAAATAAATTTGTACACGATCCATTTCTTCCAAATAAAGCCCGACTTCATTTTTAGTCATTTCATCAATTTATATCTCAGGTCAATAATCAATACTGATATCATGTTATACAAATATGCTCTTTCTTGAATTCAGTTAATATATGACCAGTGAAATACACTACATAGTTCACATGCTCACCCCCTCTTCACATGCTCACCCCCTCTTCGCGGACAATGGAAAAAGAAAGATAACTCTTGAAAATTATCTCGAGAGATTCCCCTCCTTGAATCAAGCTAAGCAATACAAAGAGGACTTAATACCTCTGGATAGCCTGATCATTAACTTTTTTTGTAGTACATGTACTCCTGTTTAAAAAAAAAAAAATAACAACCTGGGGAATAAGCGACCGCCCATTTCGATTTTTCAAATTGAGAAAACAATGACATTTTGTATTTTGATTACAAATCTACAATTATCACTTATAAAAGAAAATATGCAAAACAAATATACACCAAAGACCTAAACAAGAGCTTCTCTGAATAGAATTCCAAAGAAATAACATGATCAAAATGATGTGTATAAACTTTCAATTATCATGAATGTACAGTGAATGGAAATTTGATGATTAAACACGAAGTATATGTACAGCTAAATTCTGATTGAAAAGAAGAATGAACACTAACTCTGGCTTGGGTTTTACAAATTACAGCAGACACGGAAAATTTTCCACGTCACCTACAATTAATCCATGTAAGGAAGAAATATTCTTGTCTTTCAGTCATAAAGCAGTTCTCTAATCATAAAGGGGAAGCGTTTTCTAGCCAACTCTTATCAAAATTTCTCAGTAATCTTAATACAGAATGCATCTCAATACAGAAACATTAATACACTACTAATGTAAATCACTTCGATATTACTCAGTTAAAGGTTTGGTTTGGTGTATCATGGTTTCAGTAAAAAATTTCTGCTGCTATGAGTGCCTAAGTCAGCTATCATCATCTACAGTTTTTTGGAGTACTGGAAATGCTGCGATGACTATGTCCCTCATCACTCGAGGAAGACGATGATCGTCTACGTTGGCTGCCGTTAGGGGTCAACAATGTCTTTTTACTTGTTTTCTGGCCCTCTTCACCGGAGGAAGACGAAGACCGTCTGCGATGGCTGCCATTGGGAGTCATTGATCTCTGTTTGCTAGTTCTCCGTCTGAAGTAAAAATTACAGTAATACACAATTGAGCTTCAGTATTTTGTAGATCTTCATGCCTAATACCAAGGATATATTAAAGTGAAATCATGTTTACACTTTAACAATAAATGGTTAGCTTGAGATAAAAATTCCTCAAATATATTACTCTAATAATAGAATCACTGGAACAAGCTCTTGTGATACTAATGGAAAAAATGGGGGGAAAAAATTATATCTTTTAAAAAGATTACTGATATTGAAAATTGTTACATGCATTATTTAGAACATGCAAATTTTAAATTCAACTAATTTTTTTTTTGTCCCAAATGATCAGTTAATTCCATTGTCCCCCCTTACCCGCCATTTTCATTACACATAAAAGTGACAATTATATAAGCTGAATAGATTTACTGATGCAGCTATCTCTCTTTGGTGAATAGATTTACTAATGCAGTGATCTTCCTCTGACCTTTTAGTTTTTGATTTCTGCTTTTCTTCCTCCGAGTCTGAACTCTCACAGGTGCTGCACTCACTGGAGCTGGAACTTGATGAACCAGAACTTGAACTGTCCGAGTTAAATCCAGTCGGTTTGTTCAGATCTACTTTATCAGCAATGGCAGCAACTTCTGGACGCTCTTTCTGTCAATCATTACAAAACATGACAAATGAAAATTTACCGCTTATAAAATGCTGTAAACTAAATATTGTCCATATTTGTTGAAAAAATATTTGCACTCTCTTTGAGAGGTTAAAGTCAGGAAGATGAATCATGAATAATAAAAGTTGCAAATTTATTTTCCAGTAATCAGTAATTTGTGAATTAAATCTGCTGTAAGTACATGTAATTGTTGGTCTATAGTACTTGCAAACAATATCACTCAAAGTATTTTAAATACTTTACAATCAAATCAAATATGATGTATAGAATTATAAACCAGCAAGAATTTTCCACTGTTTACTGAGATGTTATGATTCAGTTTTAGCTTTAATCACAATTCATAAAAGATGTCCATAATATAAGTATGTAAAGAATAAAGAATACGAATTCATAGTCCATTAAATATTTCCATTAAGCCAGTATTGAAACTTTACTGACCTTGACAAATCTTTACTGACCTTGAGAACTTTGTACCACTTTTTGGACAGCTTCGGTCTCCCTCGAACGGTTTTATGCCACACTATTGGAAAGTTCACAACACTAGAAAAGTTCTGGGTGACAGCTATTGTACTGTCTAGATTCAGCACAACATGCCACCACCCTCCAGGAACAAACACGGTCTCCCCTGGCCGCTGAAGAATCTCCAGCTACCGAAACATACATAAAAAATATCATTAGTATTGAAAGAGCTAGGTTCACTTAATGGATAAAATGGCCCTGTCCATATACATGTACCCATTAAATGACTAAAACCCTTGACCATCAGTAAAAAAAAATTGTTTGATGTACTCTGACCCACATTTTGCAAGGTGGGTAGATAGGTAGGTATAGTTTTTTTTTTTTTAAATTATCTTACACAATGATAATCGGAATAAAAATCACAGACTAAAAGTTTATCAATGTTTTCATTATCCATAGGATAGCTAGACAGATTCAAATATTTATTGCTTTAAAAATGTTCCATTCTATGCTTTTTAGAGAAATGATAAAATATTAACTTCAAAAATGATATGGTCAATCTGTACTTCTATACAAAAAAAAAAAAATAAATAAAATAAAATAAATGATCAGGTAGGGCTTCAAACAAATCATTTTTAATTATTGGCCTTATGTTCCATTCCAAACATCAATATCAAGTAGAAACTTAGTATTTTAATTTCCTATAACAGTTTCCTCTGAGAGTCCAGGTACTGGAAAACATGCTTTGTGAAATAGCAATGTTCTTGAGTTTTAAAGAAAACAGGTATATTTGAGTATCCTCTGCAAAGAATTAAAATAAGAGCATCACACCCCTAGATCCAAAATATAAAACATGTTTTATAATCTTCAGAACAGTTCTATCATTATATAGTTGTAGATTTTGGATCAGAGGTTGTGTTTGATATAAAATATTGTAAAAGAACTTGAAATATTGATCATTTTCGAAGGAATTTTCAGGATAATGGAATAATAAAGCAATTTTTGATGTCAAAATGCATCAATTGGCAAGAAAATTACATCATTTTAATGAATACGAAGTCACCAAGGGTCAAAGTGATATTTGTTGTATTGTCAAATAAAATGGAGCGATTCTGATTTTTCATAAATTCACAGGGTCAAAATAGACCAAAAGTGAACCTTGCTCTTTTAAATAAAAAAATGTTTGAAAATTTTTCATCCATTTAGTGTGCCAAATTGTTGAAATCAGTTATGCGACTACATGTATTATGCCTCATGCTTGATTTTTTTTTTTTTTTATTATTGTGCATTTATACTTAGACACTTATCTTTAAAATGTTGGTATGTGTTTACCGTGTATGTTTTAATACTGAACCATAATGAAACTAGCTGTATGCTTATTTTGTACTCCTGGATAAATAAAGGAAATTAATTATTATAAATCATTTTATTTTATTTACTGCTGATTTTATCATCTTTTTTAATTGACTAGTATTTTAATTGTTAATTAATGGATTTTTCACATTTTTTTTCAACATTCATAAAAATAAATGCATATAACTGAAAAATATTAAGGAAATAATTTATACCCCTCCCACTTTACATATGAGTTTAAGAAATATATTTTACTCTGTGAAAGGATTTGTTCAACACACAGGAAATTTAAAAGCAGAGAAAAAAAATTAATAAAAGTTCTCTTAAGAACTTACTGGGGCATACTCCTTGGGCCAGGAAGGGTCCTTAATTCTGGGGTAAACATACTTAAACCACGTTATAGCCTCATCTCTCTGTTTCCCTCCTTCCCCTGGGCGGGGCTTCACCAGTTCCTTTGGGGTGTTGGTAGGCAGTAAGCACCACCTACAGGCATATAAACATGATAAAGTTAGTCTAAAATCAAAACCTAATAAATTAGAGGACATGCACTATTTTTAATACATGTAATTTAGACATTAAATATAATTTTTTGATCATCTGAATTTGAAAAAAAAAATAAAATTAAGCAATAATTTTCTTTTTTTTTTAATTTTAAGTACATGTATAGAAGTACATGCAATATGATTTTTATTAAAGAACACTTGTGCCATCCAATCCCCCATTGAATATGGAAATAAGATACTCTGTCCTTGGACGATAATGCTACCTTTTATGTCCAGACACCAGGGCATTCCAGGCACTTGTTCCCAAAGGGTCAATGTGAATTCCTGTCCCGGATCGGGCAGGTCCCATCACAAACCAGCTAAAATTCAAATCACATGTCAAAAACATAAAATGTACAGGTACATAATTTAAAACCAATAAACCTTACAGCTTTGGTTTCTTGAACCTGAAATCTCAGATACATTAGATATGTTAAAGTGATGGGCCTCTACTGAACTACATAAAAAATTTTAGTTTCAACTTTTGTTTCTCAAACCCTTGAATTCCTTCAGGTTATCTGAGTGTGAGGAACTAAGGTTTGCCTGTTTATTAAGTACAACGGTCATAGAAACTTTTAAAAAATTTTAAACTTTTAGAGAGTACTCTTACTTTCTTTTAAATAACAATTTACCGATAAGGAGGACGTCGTCTTTCCCCTGCGTATTGGAAGAGATCATCTTGGAAATAGTCTGGTACTGCATAATCCTCTAGGAGTTTCTTACGCTTGTGATGCTTAAAAGAAAACAGCAAAATTTAGCATCTAAGAAAGTAGTACAATTTCCAGACCTCAAAACTGTCATTTTTTGAAAAAAAAAAAAATGGCTATCACGTACATGTGATGTAAACAAAGTGCCGTACAAGACTACAAATCATGTTTCTGCCATAATTTAATCAAATCATTTGAAAATGGAAAACAAATCTCTCATCTTAACCTGTTAACAAATGTTAATTTAGTTACAATTGTAAATGATATGAAAATGGCAAGTTACTGTAAATCACAAGTTTTTTTCCTTTTATTTTCACGTAATGATGAGAGACTATCTGCTCATGAAAATTTCAATCTCGTGTATTTCAATCTCATTGTATTAGCAATGATCAAAATTTGTGAAAAATGACAATCTCGTGAAAATAAGGTGTCACAAAAATTAAGTCCTCAATAGTACATGTAATATGTCAACAAACATGCTAGGTAGTACACTACTTGTGTCCCACCTAAACTATACCTCTCCATAACTACTGTCAAATATATAAAGTGGGCTGTCATCTGTGTTTTCATCCATGTATTCCACAAAGTACTTCATCTTTAGCTTCACAGAATACCCTTCATCGTCCTCCCCACATTTAAACCGTTGGTTACGATACTTCTTTGACAGCCTCTGCACAAAGGAATAAAAAATTAGACATTCCTTGATATGGGCAAAAAAATTGGTAATTTAAAAACATAAATGTCATATTTGAATGTCTAAAAAGGGGTCTTCTTTGTTTAACATGTTTTAGGCTATATTTTTATAAAAAGATTTTAAATGAAGATGTAAAATTCAAGAATAACTAGTTATAACATGTAACTATAATTAACTTTGAAATATTAAAAACTATTTCTTAAGCTTATCATGTTACCCTCTCTGTCCATTTTTTGACCGCTCCCCATTCTATCTGAGCATTTGTTACAACCACTGGTTTATAAGGTCGTTCATACTTTTCCACAAACTCCTCCTTTGATGTGAACCTTGCATCAACTCTCTCCACATTGTCATGTACTGTGGCATGACTCAAATCAAATGTATTGGCATACTGAAACTGACACCATCCATCTGGTATTCTGTCAAGCTCTGAAATTTTTATATCCACATTGATAAGTCTCAGTACTATTTCAAATCATAAGGATAAAAAGTCAAATTGTAAAACCACATGAAATCTCATTACACGTAGATGAATCATGATTGAAACTTTACATATATAGACATACACAGAGTCATATAAAAAAAAAAATTATGGTCCACATGGTCCAAGACACACATGTTCATTGAAAATTAAAATGACTTAACATCAAGATAAGGTCTAAAGCCCATTTTACAAAGAAAACTTTTTTGAGATTTCTGGAGCATACAAACAGATAAACACAACACTTTTATTCCATGAAATAAATGTTTTTATTCCGCCACCTCAACAGGTCTGGTACAATCATTTGTTTTAACTATGTAGCTAAAATATTGCCTACATTATAACACAGCTTTATTTAGATATTCAAAGTAGCTTAATCATACTAATAAAAATCATACTTATTTCTTATAATAAACAAGCATTTGCTGAGTTGCTTTATCACGTCCAGTACATTTAGCTACATAGCTAAAATAACCTACCGTAGCTTTATTTACCTACCTCAGGTAGCTTTATTTAGCTATTTCAAGGTAACTTTTCACAATTTTGCTTTTTATTTTAAAAAGACAAAAAGTCGCAAGTAAATGTCTACTAATATTTATTCTAGGTATTATTTAAAAAGCAATCTAAAGCAGAGATAGTTTTAACATTGCTGCGTTTGAACACTTTTAAGGAAAATATGTATTTCCATTGTTTGAGTAACTGTACACCACCTTGTGTGCGATGAGGCTTGGATAAGTATGATTACTTCACATGGTGCCCATGTTAACCAAAACTGGTTTTCTTTGTTATTTCACTCAAGAAGTAACTGTAAGGTCACAAATTAACTGTTATTTATAGCTCCAAAACTTTTAGAACTTTGATTGCAATTGCGCAGAAAAAGGCACATCTCCAAGAGTGATTTTTTCATGAAATGTTTTCAGATGAGTTCAAAGTTGAAAATTATCACTGCATCAAAGTGCAATTTTCTGCACTCTCTGGAAAAATGCTAATTTAAGAAATGAGTTTGATTTAGTAGCTAAATAAAGCTACTTCGGGTAGGTAAATAAAGTTATGTAGGTAATTCAAGCTACGTAGCTAAATCTAGTGATTGTACCAGACCTGTTTATTATGCACTTATCTGGTCAGGTCTGAGGGGTATCTGAACTTTAAATCCGTGCTATCGTATTAAATATTTCTATAATAAATTCTAAAGCAAATAAACACAGTGCTTACTAATAGCAACATCGATCACTGCACTGATTTAAAAGGTTAGAAGAAAAACTCTAAGCATACTCTAGTCAGATGAGACCTAAAATCATAACATTTTGAGTGAAAAATGTACCTGGTCTGGCTTTGGATTGCGCTTCTCTAATTCTTTTTCTTGCCCTGTTGTCCATACAAGTAAAATTTAAATCAGTAGCCTTTCATTACCGAGAAATTACAAATAAACAGAGTTAAAGTCCTCCAAATTCCCTTTCTCAAAATGTTATAGGAAGTGATTGCAAGCATAAACTTTAAACCGATACCGAAGAAATTCCGGACAAAATGGGGATATTAAAAAAAGGGTGCACGATGTTTCGGGACCACGACGTTTCGGGACTAGCAACAAGACGGTTCGGTACTTGGGTACAGACGATTCGGGACTTGAGTTAATTTTTTTCTGGATCTAAACAAATTATTTTATTATGGTGATATAGCATATTATTCTAATTACACATAGTACGTAATATTTCAAGCTAAATCCGAATTTTAATTTTTATGTAAATATGTGATAAAAATTGTCATAAAGATATACTTTGATGGGTTTTTTTTTCATAACAGACGAAGGGGGGGGGGGGGTCCAAAATTTAATCTTCTCAGGTTGATGATAGATATTTTAAAATATTCAAGTGATCTCCAGCTACCGTCGAATATATCTTTTAAAAACATGTCAGTAAATTGTACATGAGAAATTATACATGTATAAGCATAAAAACACAAGTAAACAAGTTTTATTTCATTTCCTTTACAAAATATTTAGAAGTCCCGAAACGTGTTAGCCCAAGTCCCGAAACGTGTTAACCCAAGTCCCGAAACGTGTTGTCAGGTCCCGAAACGTCGGGGTCCCGAAACATCGCGGTCCCGAAACATCCATAATTCTTAAAAAAAAGGGGGGGGGGGTTAGAATTAATTACACTAAGAGACATTAATAATCAAATTTTGCGAAAATATATCCACTAAGTTTGATTCAATATACAAAACTGATAGATATCATACATTGTAACGAAACGTTTGCAGCAATTTATTTCATTCACACCAAACTATAGTAAATTAGTAATACAGGGAACGACATCATTGATCATGGTAAAAATTTGACTGTGACAAATAGTTGCAACGCATCTTATCAGGTACATAATTAGTATATCCTTTCTCCTTTTAATAGTGTAGACAACATCATTTTTGTTACTAATTGATATAGACAGGATTGACAAACGTCGGAGGGAGGCATATACAATATAGTCGACCGTTAGAGGACAACTAGATAGAATGTTCTATATCGTTAAAATGATAAATGTCCTACGGACCCGGTTGTGGTGAGGGCCTGTCCCGAGACACAGTTAGATTATTCTAACTAGTCTGGTTCTATTAGGGACCTAAGGTATATATAATATATACTAGTTCGAAACGTCCCTCGTCCTATGGATACTACTCTATCTCCCACAAATGTGACGTGGCTTACATCATAGAGTGTATGTATATACTATATCTCCTGGAATTTGTACTTTAATTATTTCTGTAAATTATTATTCCAAAACTACCGCACACAGTCAGTGGTATAGATGGGGTGGGGTCGGGCATGGCCACTTACCAAGTTCATGCATACCCCCATATTTTACAAAATATCTTGCCTAAGGAATGTATCTAACACCTTAAAGAACTTGTGCGAAGGGTTGCCGAAATTTGGAAATTCCACATGAATTTACAAGATTACTACATACTTTTAGCATTCCATGTTGCTATGGGGAATGGGATCAAATTTACACGAAATTTTCCCTCCCATGAAATTCATTCCAGCCACGACCGGAATTCCAAATTTGTTGCCTCGTGAGACTCAATGACTCCTACCACGAATCTCTCTGAATACTACGAAAGCCTATTAGGATCAAACTACGGTAAAAAAAAAAATTTAAAGGCGTTATAACGCCTTTTCAAAAGGCGTTATAACGCGAAAAAGGCGATATAACGCAAATAAAGGCGTAATAACGCCAATAACGCCTTTCCAAAAGGCGTTATAACGCGAAAAAAGGCGTAATTACGCCTTTCCAAAAGGCGTGGAAAGGCGTTATTAAGCCTTTTCAAAAGGCGTTATTACGCCTCTTATTTTTCATTACATGACTTACTTAGCCCACCCTGGGGGCTGATTATAATTAGATTTCCAGGAGAAAAGATTTTTAAATGTGTAAAATATTTTCAGTGTTAAACAAACTTAGTCCTTCTCTGATGCCAGACACCTCTACCAAGGTGCATGGATTTCCGAAATTTGGTTGAAGTTAATTGCTCATTATACCTATGCAAATAGTTTGCCTGTTTTTTTCCAAGAGGAGAGAAAAATATTTCAAATTTGACATGAATTTTTAATATATGGCTAGTAAAGCACAAAGCTGGCTCTGCCTATATCCTGGATTTTCAAAAGTAGAGTGTTGACTTCTCTTAATACGCATGCAAACAGCTGTCTTCGAGATGTGCAGGAATATAGAAAATACTATAATTTATAATATAATTTATATATAATATTAAAACTATTTTAGGAATGACTCTAATTCTTGGCCAAATTATTCGAGTATAACCTGGTTTGGGTCAGTTTACGCTTTATAATCCGCGAAGCGGATTATAAAACAGCGTAAACTGACCCAAACCAGGTTATACTCGAATAATTTGGCCAAGAATTAGAGTCATTCCTTATAATTTAATTTTAAAATCATTAAATAACTATGGGTGTAAAATTTCGTTACTTTTTATTAGTTCAAATTTGCCGCTCAATAATACAACCATAGTAACGGAAGTAACGGAAGTGATGGGAATCGAGGGGAGGTAAAAACTGATACATAGGCCTAGCAGCCATGTTGTTTGGTTACATGTGGTAAGATCGAATTATTGTTTGAAATTAAAGGTACATTTATTAAATCTGGAATTTTCCATGAATCCCAAGGACTGGAAATGAGAGGATAGTATGGATACAGATGATTCAGCTGGTTGTCAGGGGGGTGTGTCCCCGTACCAAACCAGGTTATACAGAAATAATTTGTGTTCCTTTTTGGATATTAACCAATGAGAGGCTAGAATACAAACAAAATTAAATTATATAATATTAAAACTATAATCTAAATATTGCATAAATAAAGGTGGCTTTGGTTCAATCTTTCATATATTCATTATTTTAGAATAACGCCTTTCCATTTTTGGATATAACTCCTTTTCAAACAAACAGGCAGGTAGTACGAATGCGAGGGGGGGGGGGGATTCCCCCAACCTTTCTGGGAGAATAGTCTTGCTATAGTTTAAATAAATATAAAAAATCATTTATTGCTTGCTTGGTCCCTTAACATTTTGGTGCAGTATGGTTAAACTCGGACAAGTAATTGCATTTAAAAAAAGTTTTACCGAAAAGTTAGAAAAAGATTCCCCTCTAGGCAGTTTATTTTTTTGGGGGGGGGGGTGTTTCTTGTTTTTTTTTTTTTGCTTGTCAATTTTATGGGAGGCTGCCCCCTCTTCAAAATCATGGGCCTGTCAAAGACATAATAATGGCTCTTCTAAAGGCATAATAACGCCTTTTGGAAAGGCGTATTAATTCCTTATAGAAAGGCGTAATAACGCCTTTTGAAAAGGCGTAATAACGCCTTTTGAAAAGGCGTAATAACGCCTTTTGAAAAGGCGTAATAACGCCTTTTAGAAAAGCGTAATAACGCCTTTTGGAAAGGCGTAATAACGTCTTTTTAAAAGGCGTATTAACGCCTTTTGAAAAGGCGTAATAACGCCTTTTAGAAAGGCGAAATAACGCCTTTGGAAAGGCGTAATAACGCCTTTATTTGCGTTATTACGCCTTTTTCCGCGTTATAACGCCTTTTAATTTTTTTTTTACCGTTGATCCTAATAGGCTTTCGTAGGATACATTTACTCACATAGCATGTACTCCATCTTAAGTATCCACGCAGATTTTAGAAAGGGATAGTCAACTTCGATCCTTATCTATGTAGCAATATGCCCTTTATCACCTGTATATGGGATTTGTCTCCCAGTGGAGTTGATTCGCAAGGGCATGTTCTTTGTAGGAATAAATTTCTAAAACGAGGCAGACTACTGACAAACAAGTTTAGGTAGAAATTCTTCGGCCATCATTATCATAATGAATTGACAGTGGATTTCTCTGTTTACAAGGTTATGACAAAGGGCACACGGCAGGTGTGACCAGTCGATAGGGAATGCCTTCTCCTTCATGGTTCCTTATCCCATCTCTGAAGTTTTCAGAGGTCTGGGTTCGCTCTGCTCATAATTTGTATTGTTTCACTGGGCTTTTGAGATTACCGTTCGTTATCTTCACATTTTATTGAAATTCATTTGATCGAAGTTAGATTTTTTTTTTAATTTTTCGTCATTATTTTAGACGTACATAAGAAAAGTATAAGCTTTAGTTGTACCTTAGAATTAACTTCATCCATGAAGTTTGTTTCGAAAACAATGTCAAGTCAAACAAAATATAGTACTCTAGTAAACTAATTAGAATAAAATAACCAAGCAAAATCTATTTTGAAAGAAGACTTCCTGAGGTTGTAATCTGTGATGCTCATGTAAGATTTGCATACACACATTTTGAAATATATCACTAGGCCTTGTGTAACTAAACATGGTATATTTATTCATAAAGACAGTATCCATTATTATCATCTTTAAAGTCTTTTTTAAAAAATACAAGAGTGTGAGTATACTGTAGTCGGACTGAAGTGTATAGGTCAACATAACTAGGAAGTACTGTAGTCGGATTGAAGTGTATAGGTCAACATAACTAAGAAGTACTGTAGTCAGATTGAAGTGTATAGGTCAACATAACTAAGAAGTACTGTAGTCGGATTGAAATGTATAGGTCAACATAACTAGGAAGTACTGTAGTCGGATTGAAGTGTATAGGTCAACATAACTAGGAAGTACTGTAGTCAGATTGAAGTGTATAGGTCAACATATCTAAGAAGTACTGTAGTCAGATTGTAGTGTATAGGTCAATATAACTAAGAAGTACTGTAGTCAGATTGTAGTGTATAGGTCAACATAACTAAGAAGTACTGTAGTCGGATTGAAATGTATAGGTCAGCATAACTAGGAAGTACTGTAGTTGGATTGAAGTGTATAGGTCAGCATAACTAAGAAGTACTGTAGTCGGATTGAAATGTATAGGTCAACATAACTAGGAAGTACTGTAGTCGGATTGAAGTGTATAGGTCAACATAACTAGG